TGCGGGAATAGTGCATTATGTTGTAGATAACATGATATGTTTGGTACTTTTTGATGGCATTAGACATGGCTATGTAATCATTTTGGTTTTTATGCTATGAATTATTGATATATAGCTATTTGGATAGTGTGGTTTATTTTTGATATATAGCTATTTGGATAGTGTGGTTTATTTTTGATATATAGCTATTGGATAGAGAGTAACATGATGGGAAACCCATGAAGTTTTAAAGTACAGTGAAGTCTGCCAAAACAAATCATATACAGTTAAACTAAAAGACCTAGCTCAGAGCCTCAGCCCAGAGCCCAGAGCCCTAGCTCAAAGCCCTAGCCCAGAGCCCTAGCCCAGAGCCCTAGCCCAGAGCCCTAGCCCAGAGTCTTAGTCCAAAACTTTAGCCCAGAGTCCTAGCCCAGAGTCCTAGGCATAACCAGAGTAACATAGAATTACTATAACATCTACCTTATTCTCAGTTTCCGCCCCCTACACTATCCTCTACTGTAGCTCTCGTTAGCTCTAAACCACTTTTGCCCTGATACTCTATTTGTACTATACCCTATAGTACGTTAGTCACATTATATATTAATAGCCCATCAAACCAATTTCTTCATTTAAATTTTAAAATACAATGTAAAAAACAAGAAAAAGTGCGAATCAATACCTACACGATTGTACTATACTAGAACGTGTTGTTTTAGCTAAACAGAACACGAAAATATGAGAAAACAGAAAACACTTTGTGGATAATACAATTTTAACAAATTTTTAAAAACATATTTTTTTAAAAATAAGATAAATTGACGTACACACCGTTTTAGTACTAAGCAAGCACAGTGCAAAATAAGTACACAATACTATTACTAAAAGAAGTACACAGTACTAGTGCTAAGCATGTACACAATACAAGTGATAAAGCAATTACACGTTACTAGTGCTAATCAAGTACACAGTACTAGTGCTAAGCAGATTCATAATACTAGTACTATAAAAGTACATATTACTAGTTTTAGGCATGTAAAGAGTATTAGTGCTAGAAAAATACACAGAGCTAATGCTAAGAGAGTACGCAGTACAGTTCTAAGCTTGTGCACAGTGATAGTACTATGTAAGTATACAGTACTAGTGCTAAGCAAGTACACTGTACTAGTGCTAAGCAAGTACACTGTACTAGTGCTAAGCAAGTACACAGTACTAATGCTAGGTAAATACACAGTACTGGCAGTAAACAAATATTCAGTATTAGTGCTATACACAGTACTAGACAAGCAATAGATAAATAATGATCATGGTAAGCTTTTACAATCAAAACATTTTTAAAAACTTTTACCTTCTTGTTCATCCCTTCCCCCCCCCCCCCCTGAAAACTTTTTTTTTGTTTCATCAAGCTCTAAAGGCTAGCCTCAACTTAAAACCCAAAACCCCAAAAAACAAAACATGAAAAGAGGATAAAAGTGGGTTGGGATCCGTCTCTTAATAAACCCAATTACTACTTTTCAAAAAGATTGTTTATGTGTGCTTAAGTGGGAGTACTTAATTAAGGTAACAACTGGCGGATTAGTGTCATTAATTATGTTGTTTAAGGTCAGCATATTGGCTTCCCTATGTTTATCATTAAGAGTTATAAATAAAATGTGACTATTTGAAATTGTCACGTAATTTTTGAGGTATTTTTAGGTTTTAGGTGTGGCACATACCCTACCCTTTTGTAATCTGGTATTTTATATCGTATCTTTTGCCTTGCCTTGCCTTGCCTTGCCTTGCCTTGCCTTGCCTTGCCTTGCCTTGCCTTGCCTTGCCTTGCCTTGCCCTGTCCATTCTACCCTGTCTCACCCTACTTTGCCCTGCTCTGCCCCAACCTTACCTTAACCTGTGTCATACTCTCTAGAAAGCCAGTACTTTTAAGATATCAAAAAGATCATTTTGACTCAAAAAAATTAATAATAATTCTAAAAATGGCATCTTCACCTCAATAAAAACCAACTTTTCCCAGTATATGTACCCCCAATAGCAATATCACAAAAACAATCAAAACAGCCATGAGACTTGCCATTAATATTTGGCCAATTCCAGTGAAATATTAACATGTTTTTGCTTTTACCGAGTTATTAACAAAACAATAGAGTAATTGCTCTAAACAATTGTTATTGCTTACTTAAATTAAGTTCAAAAAAGATGACTAAACAATTACTTTTAAAGTTTTTACAAAAAAAATTTAAATTTTCAAAAAACAGAGAAAAAACAAGTTGGTTTATTTATTTGTTTAAAACCGGAACCAATCTAGACCCTTTTTCACATTTCCAAGACGTTTCAATTCCCTCAGGGCATTAAAATCAAGATTTACAAAGTGTCACATCGTGATGTCAGGACTTTAATTTAAAAATTGGAATGCACTTTTAAATAAGCAAAACTTCAAAATAATATCCCTTGCTCTAAACCTTATATAGATCTGGTCTTCGTCTAAGCCTGAGGCTGGCCCTGAACCTGAGCTTGAGCATGAGCATGAGCATGTGCCTGAGCTTGAGCCTAAGCCTAAGCCTAAGCCTAAGCCTAAGCCTAAGCCTAAGCCTAAGCCTAAGCCTTTTTTAAAAAACACGTTTAAATTTTAAAAAACAAATTCCAAACACTCGTATTTTACCATATTATCACAAAAGCCTACCCCGCCATTTCTTTTCCACAGTACTAAACACATAGATCTGGTCTTCGTCTAAGCCTGAGGCTGGCCCTGAACCTGAGCTTGAGCATGAGCATGAGCATGTGCCTGAGCTTGAGCTTCAGCCTTAGCTTCAGTCTCAGATTCAGCTTTAGCATATACCTAAGCTCAAGTTTAACTCTGGCTGAACCCGTAGCTACAATTTTAGCCTCTCTCTAGCTTTGTCAACCCTAGAAATTAAAAAAAATATTAGCCACGGCCATAGTCTTAGGCTTAGCTCATACTATTATATATGGGCCCCTGTTCAAGCCGGAGCCTTAACTTTAGCTCCTTTCTCTAGCTTTGCCTACCTTAAGAATCTTTAAAAATTACAACTTGTCATCTCCCGATTCTTAAAATATCTCTAAAAAATATCCCAATTTTCCCAAAAAAAAAACAAAAAAAATAAAAAAATTAATGAAAAATGGTCTTTGGCACCTCTAACAAAGCTAATCACACTTTAAAGTAACCTTTTATATAACGGAAATATGTTATTTTTAAAAACGTATGTTTTCACACTTGAACAAACGCTGGCATAGCGACAATGCGGACATTTTAACGACCAAAAGTTTAGAAATTATAATAGAAGTATCATACCACGTATTTTACAATTTGAAAATTAAAAAAACTTTTTAATTTTCAATAAAAATTTTTCAATTTTAAAAAATTTTTGTTTAAAAAATAACAAAAAAAATCTTTTTAACTTCTTAGTTACCTAAACACTTCAACTAAAATTAAGTTGTTACCTAAATTACCACTGTTATTGTTTCCCTACAGGAAGTGTGACACTCCCCCCCCCCAAACAACAATTAAACAAAACACAAAACATAAAAAAGGAACGGAACGGTGGGGACGTCATTCTGTACTTCAGAACATTCGAATTGGCGTTACATTTTCTCATAAGTTTGGCCTCGAGGTTTGCACACAAAATTAAATATTTATGGTTGAAAAGTAGGCGTTTAGAACGGATTTTAGGTAACAAACTGGTGAAATGCAAACTTTGTTCTTTGTACTTTTGTTTTGTAGAAGTACTGTAAATTTTGTTAAAGAATGTATTTTCTAACCTTAACCCTAGCTTTAGCATCAGCCCAGAGCCCTAGTTCAAAGCCCTAGCCCAGAACTCTAGCTCAGAACCCTAGCCTAAAGCCTTAGTCCAGAGCACTAGCCCAGAACTCTAGCTCAGAACCCTACCCCATAGCCCTAGCCCAGAGCCCTAGAACAGAGTCCTAGCCTAGAAACCTATTCCTAGCCTAAAACCCTAATCTAAAGCCCTATTCTAAAATCCTAGCCTAAAGCCCTAGCCTAAAGCCCTAGCCTAAACCCCTAACCCGGAGACTTAGCCTAGCTTTCACCTTAACCCTATGTCCTAAGGATAGGATAAGCGTGCCTTAACTGAGCCATGCCCTAACCATAGCTTTATCTCTAATTTTAGCTCTACTATAGCACTACCCTAAGGGTACTTTAGCTATAGCCCTAGCCTAAACTCTAACCTTGCTTTGTCTTACCAAAGCCAAGACCTACAGTACCCAAATTCTAGCCCTACACCATATTTTAAGCTTCAGTTTAGGTTTAATTTTGTGATTTTACCGTACCTACATACATCTAAATTTGTAGACTAAAGCTCTGAACCTTATCTTAATCTACCCTTAGACAATGTAATTTACTGCAATCATTATTCATTATCAAAAAATGTCTAATTTTACTTTCAATAAAAATATAAAAATTTTTGATTTAGCCAAGCCCACATTTTTAAAAATTTCCAGCAAATCCGTTTCCACACCCAGTTCCAGAAGAAAGTTCGAAAAAATATCGCTTAAACTTGGAAATATTTACAAACAACCCCTCGAATTCCCTGTAAATGGTGCCAAGTTTTCCGCCCTTTCCGCTGAACCAAACAAAATTTTTGAGACATTAGGCAAAAAACAAAAAATACTTGAAATTCAGTTTTCCCTCGCCGATTGCCTAAGGGTTTTCGTCTAAATAAAAAGGGTGAAAAGGTGAAAAAAGTGGATTATAATGTTGACCAAAATTATGTAAAATACGGGCCAATCAACTCTGCTGTTTAATAATAGTACTATATGTATAAGCAGTACTAAATAGTAAAACATAAAAGCAATTATAATACAAGATACTGTGTTATAAAAACGGTTACTGTAACTTTACGATAAGCCATAGGCTTAGCTGTAACCTTAAACATAGCTTTTTCAATAGCCTGAGCCTGAGATTGAGTTAGAGCCTGAGCATAAGACTGAGGCTGAGACTGACCCTAAGTCTGAGCCTGAGCCTGAGCCTGAGACTGAGTCTGAACCTGAGCCTAAACCTGAACCTGAGCCTGCGCTTGAGCCTCAGCCCAAGCCTGAGCCTGAGCATGAGCCTGAGCCTGAGCCGGAGCCTGAGCCTGAGCATGAGTATGAGTATGAGCCTGAGCCTGAGCATGAGCATGAGCCTGAGCCTGAGCCGGAGCCGGAGCCTGAGCCTGAGCCTGAGCCTGAGCGTGAGTATGAGCCTGAGCCTGAGCATGAGCCTGAGCCTGAGCCGAAGCCTGAGCCTGAGCCTGAGCCTGAGCCTGAGCCTGAGCCCAAGCCTAAGCCTAAGCCTTTTTTAAAAAACACGTTTAAATTTTAAAAAACAAATTCCAAACACTCGTATTTTACCATATCATCAAGCCATGCCCATATACAGCCCTAAACACAAACTAACGTACCAAGCAATTAAAGTCATAATTACCTCCGACCAAAGCGATCTTTGATAAACAATTGACAAAGTAGTACAATTACCCAGAATCAGACCATTAGTAATTATGAAGTTGGATTTGTACTTTATCTCGTGGGAAGTACGTATTTTTTCATAAAACTGTTTTTTACACAAAAAAATTTAACAGAGTATAATTATGTTTTGGTCAATAAATAAAAACTAAAAACGTGATTTTAAACTTTTAACTTGAACTTGAGCGTAAGCCTAAGCTTAAAAAGTTAAAAAATTTTGAGAAATAAATAAATATCAGGCGCCGACACAAAGAACCCGCCATACTTTTGCTGTAATTTCCTGCAAAAAATGGCGGATTTTTTATGTCGGCACCTAATGTATAATATAAAACTTTTTTGTTTTTTTTCAAATCAATAGCTTTAGCCTTAGCAAAAGAAAAAAAAATAAAAACCATTGAACAACTATGCTAAATTTAAAATTATTAAAATAACTTAAAAACAAACCTTTGCTTTGTGCAATAAAGACTAATGTAATTGTTGACGTACTGTACCCACTATACTTTAATCAATCATAAGTGTAATACTTTATGTTAACACCACTTAAATATCAATTATTACAGCCTTCAATGACCTTTTCAAACAAAATTTTTTTCAAATTTGTACTTTTTGACTCAAGCTCAGCCATACTTTGCTTCACCCAAGCCTACTGAGCTCTACTTCTCCGTAAAGTATCATACCGTACCGCGCCCTACACTAACTTACCTTACGCTACTATGCCCTACCGTATCCTAAATTACCTTATTGTATCATGCTTTACCATAACATGCCGTACAATGTTCTACCCTTCACTAACTTACCTTACATTACTAGGCCCTACTCTACTTTACCCTAAGTTACCGTACCCTATCATGCTTTACCTACAGTGATGTACTATGTACTACACTACTCTAACTTACCCTACCCTGTCTTACCCTAACTTATTCTATGTCCTACTTTGCCGTGGCCTACTCTATCGTACCAAATTTTTCTCCGCTGTATCTTAAAAATTTTAAAAAAGTTAAATTTGAAAAATGTACTCCACTCCAAAAAATTTACATAATACTATAATTATTATAAATTTTTAAATTTGTAAATTCAGAAAAAAATAATCAAAAGCCTGTCAATCTTAACACCACAGTTCAAACATCTAAAATAATGTCCTAATAACCCACGACTGTCAGCCTGTCACTATTGTATTCCAACCCATGCCCTCAGAGCATAATCGCTAATTCCGACAAAACAAAATAAAAAATAAAAAGTATTTACCGCGGAATCAGTTGGTTCGTATTTGAATTGTAAGCAAAGCCTTTGAAAACAGAGTCCATTTTAAAAGAGCTTCGGAAGGAAGTCGGCTCTTCATCTCGCTTCTGGAGCACCGTGCTCATTGCCATAATTGGAAAACAAATTCCGAAAAAAACAGAATGATGATGGGTAAAAGTAAATAAATAAACAAACTTAATCTGATTATACGGAGGGAGTTACATTAAGAGTTGTTTTTTGGTGTTTAGTGTAGAAAGAGTAAGGATTCAGATATGATATGCGACAGAATGAGTCAAAATTTTTTTTTTAATTTTAAAACGTAAAAGAAACTTAAAGTAAAAATATTACTTCAGCAAATTTCAAAAATAAAACTTGTAAACCAAAACAAAAAAGTCAAACTAAGGTCAACCCAATGCCAAAGCAAAGATAAAGCAATGCCAGAACAAGTCTAAAGCAAAACAAGAGAAAGGTTAAGCTAAGGCTGGAACAAAGGCATGGTTAACACCATAGCAAAGCTACAACAAGACCAAAGCTAAATGACAGCTAAACCAAGACAAGTGTAAGGCAAGGCCAGAGCAAGGCCAGAGCCAGGCCAAAGCCAGGCCAAAGCCAGGCCAAAGCCGGGCCAAAGCCGGGCCAAAGCCGGGCCAAAGCCGGGCCAAAGCCGGGCCAAAGCCGGGCCAAAGCCGGGCCAAAGCCGGGCCAAAGCCGGGCCAAAGCCGGGCCTAAGCCAAGCCAAGGCAAGACCAAGACAAGGCCAGGGTAAGACCAGGGCAAAGCCAGGGCAGGGCCAAGGCAAGGCTTAAAAATCGACCTAAACCAAAGTTTAAAACGGCAAAACTTAAAGACACAGAATTACAAAAACTGAACAAAAACTCACCCTAACGACAAAATTTTTATAAATTGTAAAATCATTATGTACATTAATTTCAAAATTTCAAAAAAAACAAGCTCCAAAACAATTTTCCTATTTTGCTCAAAACCGCGCTCTAAACCTCCCAAACCCCAAAAATACCCGCCTTATCGTGTATTCCACAACAAACAATCTCGAGACCAATAGACCAGTACAACTTTCCTACACTTTCGGTTATCGCTTCAAACACTCCATTCTTTTAGGTATGAATGGGGGGAAAGCACGTTGATGAGCGCTGGAATTCCAAATGTCATCGTGACGTTCGAAGCAAATCGGAAATTGAGCGCACAAACTTTATGAATAAATTACAATTTATTTGTTTGCAAATGGCAATGTAAAATTAATTTGGTAATGTTTCGTTAAGTGGTCATGACTAATTGTTGACGTTGTGACGAAACAACTTGACGTACTCCGTAGTACGGAAGAAAGTAATGTTGCAATTGTAAATTTAATTTTAGGCCGCTTTAATAAAACTATTTTTAAGAAAATTAATTTTTGACGTTGTACTGACAAAAAGAATCACGTGCTGACGTTTCAGCAGTGCTGTCAGTGCAATTCTTGATGTTTATTCAGCTTGACTAGACGTAGAGGGTGGGAGTTGGATCGTGTTTGCAGTAAACTGCAAAGAGCTTTGATGTAAAGATCAAAAGGCAACTTATACTGTATTACAAAATCAAACTTATTGCAATACATAAAAGATTCGCTTTAGCCGAAACATAAGCTGGCTCTAAGCTCTAAAACCTAACTTCATAAAAGTACTGCCTAAACATAACCGTAACTCTATTACATTACGTACTACTTAGTCTTAAAACTAGCCCTAGTTCTATCATTACTATACTGTCTCGCCCTAGCCTTGGCCTTACTTCTATTACAGTACTGTTTAGCCTTAACCCTACTCCTAGCTCACAATGCTGCTTAGACTTAACCCGCGCTGTAGTAAAGTTTAGCTCTAGCCCTGGCAATATTACGGTCTTGCTTAACCCTAGCCTTATCTCTATATCAATACTTCCTAGCCCAAGCTCTAGAGTTAGCCCTATCAGAGTATTGCTTAATCCTAGCCCTAGCTTTTATTCTTTTACAGGACTGCGTAGCCCTAGCCCTAACCCAGTTCTAAGAAAGGTATGCTGAGCACTAAACTTTGATCTAGCTCTATCACAGTAAGGTTTAGCCCTAGTCTTAGCTCTATCAGAGTACATTGGGCTCTAGATTTAGGCATAACTCTATCATAATACTTCCTAACCCAAGCCCTGACTCTATCCCAGCCCTGCCTAATCGTAGCCCTAGACCTAGCGTCCTCACAGAACAGCCTATCCTTAACCCTCACACTAGCCATGCCTTAAAGCTTTAAAACAACGCTTGCCCTATCACCAAATTATTCCAAACTTTGCATGCCATTTAGCTCAAAATTCCATATTTAAACGGCCAACCAATGAAAATGGTTATTTATGGCAACCAAATTTGTCATTTTTGTATCTGACACATGAATAATATTCGCTTGCAGGCGTGGCGAAATTAACTTTGCTGGAACAACTTTGCAATTCTTCTTTGATGCCCGAGGCAATTACTTATGAAAAGTCAAAATACCACCTGTAGAGTAAATTTAGACACGGTTTTACGTTACGCAATATTTTATTCACAGTGCAAGTTGAAACATTACTTTTTTACAACGTGACCGGTAATAAGGGGTTCTGTAACTCATAATTTAATTTAGGTAGTAAAAAGTAAGTTTTACTAAGACTTATCGTATTCTGCAATTTTGTCTTACCCTATCCTTTCCTATTCCAACCACCTTTACCCCACCCTATATTACACTAACCCCTCCTTCTCTATCCTACCCTACCCTACCGTTCTCATGCCATACTGTTAGACCTATAAATAATCAGCCCTAACCGCAAATGCAATTACCACACGCATCAAGTGAATAACCTAATTGTCTAGTTATATGGTAATGAAACAGTTAATATTATACTTTGCTATGATACAGTTACAGTTATAATACATTATAAAAAACACATTGTAGCGTTCTTCAAATTTATATTAGCATTAATTTAGTAACTACATTATCTTTGAATTATATAGGCTTGTACTTACTATAAATGAGACTTATTTAATAATAATCTGCTAAATTAACGTCAAAAGTACGAATGTGCAAATGTAAACTCAAACTACAAAAAAAAATCGTTTTAAGGTATCAGTTCTTCATAGCAAGCACAAAATTTTAAACGAAAAATTTATAAAATAAAATTTTTAAAAAAAATTCGGTTTAGCACGTTTTTAACATGCTAATTCTGTTGTTTAATGCACGTACAATTCAAAAACATAACAGAAACATTACTATGCAAATAACCGCAAGCAACGTAATGTAATTCTACGTTTTTGGACTCTCTCAGATCAAAAATTAGACCACACCGGATCAACTAATTTATGTTTATAAAAGTTTAGCTTTCTCTTCAATAAAAACCTTAAATAAAATTTTAAAATTATTTTTAAACTTCTTATCACCCCATTCGTAAAAAAAATGCAAAACAACTTTTTAGAATTACCCATATCACTGTAAGCCCAAAGAGGTATGCACTAAAAACAATCAGAAAAACTAACCTAATCACTTTCTAGTCTTTCTAGTTGAATAACAGACTAAAATATCAATGTTTTGTACTAACTTTACACTACACTCTCACCCTAGCCATAAAAACCTTGCAGTTTTAAGTTCATTCTATCTTAATCCTACTGTAGTTTAGTCGCAGCTCTGCTACAAGACTACCTTAAGAATACACTAGCCTTAGGCCTAGCTGCAGGTTAGCTATATTCCTGGCTCGAGTTCTAGCTCTAGCTCTAGCTTTAGTTCTATTTCTAGTTCTAGCCCTAACCCTAGTTTGGCCTTATCAAAAGCTCCAAACTTGTTGTGACACCGTACTGTCTAACCCTGGCTTACCCCACCAAAGTTTTGTTCTAAAATATCATCATGAAAAACAAATTTAAAGAAACCAAATTTACAAAAATCAAACTGCATTGTCAATACGCAATCTAACAACAACCCTTTACTGTCCCATAAGCCTTTCAAATTCGAAAAAAGTCAAAAACAAAGATTAAAATTTAAAATGCAAATCCTATTGTTTCGGATGTAGCCATGCACACACTTCCCCTCATATTATTTTTATTCGAATTAGAATAAAATATATCGCAAAAGTGTCGTTTATTAGCTTCAATTCTTTTCGGAAAAACGTTTTGAATGTTTCGCGAAATTAGCATATACAGTTTACATTTTTTGGGAGTACGTATTGGAACGTACAACGCTGTAATGAAATTTTTTTTTAATTGCCCTGTCTATGCCTTGCCGTACCTTGGCTTGCCTTGCCTTGCCTTGCCTTGCCTTGCCTTGCCTTGCCTTGCCTTGCCTTGCCTTGCCTTGCCTTGCCTTTGCCCTGCCTTTGCCCTGCCTTTGCCCTGCCTTTGCCCTGCCTTTGCCCTGCCTTTGCCCTGCCTTTGCCCTGCCTTTGCCCTGCCTTTGCCCTGCCTTTGCCCTGCCTTTGCCCTGCCTTTGCCCTGCCTTTGCCCTGCCTTTGCCCTGCCTTTGCCCTGCCTTTGCCCTGCCTTTGCCCTGCCTTTGCCCTGCCTTTGCCCTGCCTTTGCCCTGCCTTTGCCCTGCCTTTGCCCTGCCTTTGCCCTGCCTTTGCCCTGCCTTTGCTCTGCCTTTGCCCTGCCTTTGCCCTGCCTTTGCCCTGCATTTGCCCTGCCTTTATGCCTTTTTTCAATATTAATCCAAAAAGTTTAAAAATACCCCCCTCCCCTTCATAGATCACATGACCGAATGCTTAATTAAGCCTCTACCGTAACCGATGCTACGCGAAATCAAAAATTCGCTAAAAAAGTTAGAGTTTTTGTCTTCATGGCCCAATTAATCAACAAAATAGAAGATACTTTGCAAATGTTTCAATTAATTTCATTTTCCGGTCTGCGCCGAATTAGCTCCGTCTTAATTGAAGCCCGCTGCTTCTGACAATTCTGGAGCCGCTTAATGCGTGTAGCATTCTTGGCCGGCTACGCTGCTTGATTACAGTGTTGTTTTTGGGATGTAAACAAAGGGAAGCATGATTACATATTGGAAAGACGAACGTTAAAATTATTTGATATAACTCCAATATACGTAAGAATACCCTAGTCTTTCCTACACTACCGTACCGTACGATACCCTACCCTACCGTACCGTACCGTACCGTACGATACCCTACCCTACCCTACCCTACCCTACCCTACCCGACCTTACCCTACCTTACCTTACCTTACCTTACCATACTCTACCCTACCCTACCTTACCCTACCTTAATTTCCTACTGTATAATTGTGATTTTAGATGGTTGTGTCAAAGCAGGTAAAACGCACAAAAATTAACAAATTTGCCTGACTGTAACTGTAAAGAATCTTGCCTGTCTTGTCTTGCCTTACCTTGCCTCACTCTGTCTCTACCTTGCCCTATACGAACCCTACTCTACCCTATTCTATCCTACCCTAACCTTTATCAAACTATCAATAGTAACAATATTATGCAACCCAATAAGTTCAACAATCGCAAAAACTGTAGCAGATTCATTTCCACGCATCCCCACCTACTCTCAATTCCCACCGCTTCTCGTTATGCCAATTAGTACAGTTGCAACAAAAAACAAATAAACAAAACTGAAGAGTTTCATCCTGTTCGAATTACATCTATTCAAATAAACTATCGAATTCGAGGATACGCATGACTTTTGAAGCCCAAAAACATTCCAACCGACCGGAACTGCTAATTGAGCCCTCATCAAGCTGATTATGATATTACATTAGACTTGGCGAAATTAGAAATGAGCCAAAAGTAGAGTAAAATTAGCTTTTGATTAGTTAGATATGAGTAGAGTACTTTAAGGATCAGTTGTTGGAGTTTGGCAAGAAAAACATACCGTATTTTAGCGTACTCTCCCCTCTCAAACTTCAGTCTACTCCACTTTACCCTACCCTATCCTCCCTACCTTACTCTACTTTACCGTATCCTACATTACATTATCTTACCCTACGACACCCAACTTTATATCACCCAACTCTTACTTGTGTTGCCCTAATAAATTTTACACTACTTTACCTATCCCTACCCTATCCTACATCTCCGTACCCAACTCTCTTACTCCACCCTGACCTATCCCATACCCTGCCCCCCCCCCCCCCCCCCCCCCTATACACTTAATTTACGTTTAAATCATGCCTCTTCAAAAACTGCTTCCAAAATTTCCTGAAACACAATAGTACACGAAGATTCGCCGAAATTGACGTCGAATATAAAGAAAAAACTAACTATGCGCAGTTTGTTTCCTAGAAGTGCAAATTGTATTAAATTAAGCTGCGTCCATTCAACTTTAAGCAAATCTCCCAAAACCGTTCCAAATTCATTTTGAAACAAAGAGTCTGTCTTAAACCAATACAGAGATTCTATTCAGAATCATATTGATACTGAAAACTATCTTAACATTTTCAGAAACAGTTTGAAATAATATAGACATAGCAATAGCTAGAAACACTGCCATTTCTTATGAAACATCCATAATAATACCGAAATTATGCGGCCCAAAACGTTTATAATTATATTAAGAATTCGAAAAGAACCCGATAGTGACATTAGTACCAGCACAATACTTTAATACTAGAACAATAACTGCATTAAACACAAGTCATTGACATTAACAGTATTAATCCTCCCGGAACTAAAAAATAATGAAAAGCAGCAGAAGAGTATGTTTACTGTACTAATACCACAAACGAACATGTTTTGCAGGGCTAATCGTATAAATAAAACATGATGACAATTGAATAATATATGGTTTTGTTTAGGCCGCTATGATGTGGTTTATGGTGAATGTTTTTAAAGTTTAATGTATGCTTGTGATGATTAAGATCACATTGCGCTTTATCTTACTAGTTGCAGTACTCAAGCAGCATAATAAAATTTTAAATTAAACCAAACAGGTTCAAAAAGTATTTTCCTTGTTAACCAAGATATTAAAGTTTTAAATTGCTGCATTCCAGTTTAAAAAAATTGAAAATAGCCTATGTAACCCACTACTCAACAACCAAAAGTCACCAAATGCCAAAGACCGTCAACTTACCGCAAACTTACCGGCCAGCTGTAAATTTGTAAGTTTAAAAACAACATTGGGCCGATTGGCCATTAATTACAAATATAACATTCTTTCTTAATGAGGAACTAAATTAAGCACTCCGTTTCCGAGTAAGTTTCTTATGACTCTCGAAATGACATGTAATGGCACAAAAAACATTTAATGCAATTCCGACCAAAAAACAAACGTTAATCCGGTTAGACTTGCAGCTATCATAATGTTGTTTTTGAGTAATCCTTGGGTTCTTCGTTTGCACTTTCCAGATTTTGTCTTTCTAATAAATCATTCTTGTTTTTATCATTGGTATAACACCTATGATATATTTTTTGTTTAACTTATATTATGTATCAAGCAGTTTTAGAATTGTTATTTATTAACTAGGTAGGGTATTACAACACTAATAATAATAAATATTCCACAATGTGTATAATTATAAATAATCTACAACAGGTATAACAATGAATAATATTAATAACCGCGTCTTAAAGGGCTTCTAGATTTCCTTCTCGATAAAGATGTCTGACCGTCTCTGTACGAACATCCTCCCTTGTACGGAGACCTAGAGCATTTGCGCGAAGAAGTTTTGTAGTCACGGTACGAAGAATGTCTTCTGTATAGTAAGGTCGATCTCTTCTTACATCTGTCACGGTCGATTTCCCGATTATAGTACCTTCTCGAGTTTTCATTATTAATTGTACTAACATTGCCTCTTTCATTCACTTCACAATAAGCTTTAACTACTTTTTCATTTTCATTATTGGCTTGCTCCATTTCTTTCCGCTTTTTCTCAGCCTCTTTTCGTTGCTGTTTCCGAGTCCTTCTTCTTTTATTCCTGGCTATCTTAATCTTTTTATGGTCATACCAGTCGTAGTAAATAGGTCCCTCTTCCTTTATTTTGGTCATCGCCTCTACGTTCCTTTCAAATCGATCTACTTCATATTCTTCGTCAGATGTAGACATTTTGTATCTGAAGTAGTGTAAAATAAATTAAGAATATATACAGTGAAACCTCTGTATAATGAACCTCTATATAAAGAACTCCCTGCTCCCTGTCTAACCAACAACTTCTTAGTATATTTTACTCTACAAATCAATTATTAAAAAAACGAATTAATATTTACCATTTTCGTAAGCCGGGTTAATACGTCGATCCAGAAAGAAGAATAACTGAGTATAAGGTAAACGCAGGTTTATAAGGCATTAGTACGCATTCGCGCAGACAAACTCGCAGTCTATTCTTTGATGTTTTGACCTTTAACGTTATTGCAAGGATTTTTAAGCTCAAAGCCGTAGCCTGAAGTATTATATATTTGAAACTAATAGCTGATCCTTATTCTTCCATTCGATAAGCTTCCTTTTTTGTTTTTCTGCCCAATTTTAGATCAGTATTAATTTTTCAATACGTTTAATATGTACTACTTTTCAAGAAGCAATCCAACAACAAACAGTTTAGATTTTATGGAATCAACACGTTGGGAAAGTTTACTATCTAATATAACAATGCGAAAGTCGTTCCTGAGACATGTTGGCGGCTTCAAAACAGTCGATTAATGTGAATGTATGATAAATCTATATGATTAAGTTAGTCAAAAATACACCGTTTTTCAAGAAAGAGTCCAAGAACCACCATTTTCGTTATTTTACAGTCTTAAATTCAAAAATATTACAGATTATTACAAGTCGTTATTATGTTTTTTACAGATAGGTGAATGATAATAATAAAAATGTTTTAAATGATACTCAACTTTGAAAATTCAATCTTTTTGTTACCTAAAAATCCAAAAACTTGAGTTTTTTGCTAAATACCCACGTCAAAAAAAGTAAAATCTTACTGTAGATTTACTGTTACGTTATCAAAAAAGTCAAAACAACGTAGTTACTTTTACTAAACACGACTGCCTAATTTAAAAATTTAAAATTCATAAAAATCGACCATCTTTGTCCTGTAAAATTAGTGATATACTATATAAATTCGAAAAAAAGGTTTAGTGATAATAGCCTTGGGGAGTTTGCTTCACATTATCCATGATTATATCCGATTTGAGCACAGGACGTCTTGAAAAACCAACAAAAAAAAGAGCGCTTCGTTCACAAATACCCGCAACAACACCGACACAGCTGGCCATCCTACAACAAAATTGTTCAATCGATCCAAGGACATTTGCCAATCGATTCTACAACAAACGAGACTCCTTATACGTTTATAACGTTGCTTCTTCACAGAACGTTATAGGGCTACTCGGCCGTTGTTGTTGACTGAGCCGCCGTTGCTGGCGGGAGGCCGGGAAGAGTTGATAAGGTGGTCTAGCCTGAAATTTGAATAATGTAAGTTTTTTTTGCTCAAACATTAAGAACTTCATATTAAAACTCATTTTTTCAAAAATTCAAAAAATTTACAAAAAGCCGGTGGTCACCAATTTAAATCCTTGAGAGCAAAATTTAAAAATAAATTCAAACACGCGTATTTTACACTACACATTCAATTCACCCACCTCTGATGTGCCGGGATCCTGTTGAAGAAGGGATGTTGAAGAGCGTCGTTGAGCGTTAGTCGGGACGTTGGCTCGTAGTCCAACATTTTGTCAATCAAGTCGAACAATTCCAGCGTTTCTGAGTCTTTCTGCTCCATGTACCTCTGGAATACAATATTTTATACTTTATGAACTTGTGACTCAAAAAAAGTCATTTTTTATAAATTGTTACCTAAAATAATATATTTTTTAATTTTATCTAAAATAACCTTTTATTGAAACTTGTTATCCATATTGTAAAAAACATTTTAATCAGTAACTTAAACATTAGCTTTTAGTGAAATATTACCTAATTTAAAAAAATTAAAATTTCAAATTTATATTGCACATGTTTTTCGTATTCTCTGCCAATTCATGTTTTGTTTCAAACTTTTTCGTCTCTAAAATTAACTCTTGCGGCCCGAGGCGTTTCGGAAAGGGTCAAAAGTGATTTTCGAAAAATCAGAGGGCGTTTCCCGGAATCAGCCGACCGACTTTCGGCCGGTCAGGTGACATTTTGAACGGATTACTTTTTTACAACACATCATTCGTTAGGGTCATGGATAGTTAAAGCGAAAAAAGTATGTATAACATTACTTTTAAGTAAGGTTTTAAGGCATTATACTACAATATTAGGGTGTTAAAAAATCTTGTCAAGCATTATTACTATAATATTGAAGCGCTATTAAAGTCTTTTTAACTTGCAAAGCTTGCAAAATTAACGACAAAACTTTTTTATCTGCTTCAATATATCAAGGATTACCTAAGTACGGAGTAATTTATAAAACAACTGAGCATATAAACTCGGTATAAAACAAAAATAAAACAATAAAAATAAAAATAAAACACCGTATTTTACCAAAAAAAACTTACATATAAAGGTTTGCACTGTTCTCGAACATATCTGCCTGACGTCGAGTTGTCGTTGAAGTCCAGTTTATTGTGGTAAAAGTATTTTGTCCTGAAAATAACACAAAATGTTTACCTATATACCATTTTTAATACGATTTCAATTTTTTCTCTTTTTAACAACCTTCGCGTCCTTAACCTACTCTCCCCAAACATACCCTACTACACCCTACCTTATTTTCTCCTACCCTACCCTCCCTTCACCTATCCTACTTTACCCTACCCTACAATTACCTAAAACTCTTCCTTATACTACTGTACCCTTAAGAATAAAAGTTTAAAACAAAAAATATAATTCAAAAATTTTCGTACTTTGTCCGCTTTATCATTCGATATGGTATGCTGCCGAGAATCCGCTCCATCATTGCCAAATGTTCGCGGTTTTCGTGGGTTTGGAACAGTGTGATACCCATGTGAAGCTCAAACATTATACAGCCGATTGACCACACGTCGCATGGTTGTGTCCATCCTAGTTCTGAAAAAATAGTACTGACAAACATAAATGAGTCGAAACGTATTTTACAACAATATAAGCTTCAAAAGCGTTAAATTAAAGTTTAAAACGCTCAAAGTTAAAAATCTTATTAAAATCATACCTAAAGTTACCTTCAAGTATACGAAATTTATAAACACCCCCAAAAACCCTCCAACCCAAAAAATCCCTACCTAGAATCACTTCGGGTGCCCTATAATGCCTTGTCGACACTATTGTGGAATGATGTTCATGATCGAAGGTCGCCGATCCCAGGTCGATTAACCTCACGGTGGCATCTTCGATGACTTTGATCGGTCGTTTCCGGCCTTGTTCTATTCGATAATCACTATTCACAAATAAAATGTTCTCCGGCTTCAGATCCGTGTGTGTTAGTCGGTTTTCGTGCATGAATTTGACCGCGTGACACAGCTGATAGCTAATGTAGCGGACCTGGTCCATCGGGTACCCGTTATAGTCGTTGTTTTTCTGAAAAATTGAAGATTGTGTTACAAAAAAGAGCAAAATATGCTCCAAAAATCAATTTCTAACTCCAATAAAATCCCTTACCATAAAATCAAACACACTAAGCCCAAGTAGATCGAAGAGTAAACACATATGACCATGAAAATCAAAGTGATCTAGCAGTTGAATGACCAAGTGTGATCCTGATGGATCTTTCTCCATTAGCTTCTTTAGCACGTTGATTTCTAACCGTGCCGCATCTCTGTATTTTGGGACATTTTTAATGATTTTTAGGGCAAAACGATGAGATCCACGACTAGAATCCTTCACTTCCACGACTTTACCGAACGTGCCTTCGCCCAACGTTCGTACTATTTGATCTGAAATAACATGCTACATATATGTATTCAATCTCGCTCAGCTTTAAAAAAATGTACTAAGAGAGATCGTATTTTACTCTGCTCCAAACCTCCATCTAATCTTCCACTTTAAAAAAGTTTGAGTAATAACATTTAAAAACTTACACTTGTTTGCAATAGAATCCCCAGCCTGATAAACTAGATGGCCGTCCTTGTCGTCCTGGATCGGCGGTTTATATGAGGTAGATTGTGCGGTCGATGGGTATTGATCCCCACGCCCACCCGAGCTTCCGACCTTGTAGTTGTAATTGTGATGATAGTCATTCTACAACATTTTAATTAGTTACATTTTCAAACAATCATGGCAAGAAAAATTTTTAATTTAAAAAATATAAAAATTGCGTTGATTTTTGTAATTTTATCTTTGATAAGCCAAAAATTAATTAAAATAAAAAAAATAATTTATTAGATAACTTTCTCGCTGAAGCTATAACTAACCGTAGCAGCCGCAGGCTTTTTAGTACCGCCAGCAATAATATTGTCAATCTTTTTCAAAACCGAATTATCCAGTTTAAGCCGACTTAACAGCTCCGGATCAATCGGTTTTTTCGGCTTCTTTTCCTCTTTAGGCTTATCATCAGAAGTCGTCGCTAAAGGCTCTTTAACGTTTGATTCCGCAATTTCATTCCCCTCATGTGGAGGCAATTTCAACTTGTTCGGCTGTAGCACTGCCACGTTGACCTTGTCGTTGTTGAACTTTCTTCGTTGGCCCAGTGACGGTGAAGCTGGTGGTTTTGCTGTAACCTTAGTTATAGCTGGAGTAGCTTGGGCTGTAACATTAGCTGGACTAGCTGCAGTTGAAGTGCTTGGTTGACTTTGTAATGCATCTTTTTGTGCTGCTGTATGTGAAGAAGTTGAGGATAGAACGGCAGAAACTCCTGACGATTCTGTACTGTGTTGTGGCTTCGAATAAGACCCTGGTTCTTTTTGAGAAAACGCTGCTGTAACCGCATTTACTGTGTTTTTTGCCTTGACATCGTCACTTTCTTTCGGCTTTGGAATCTTGGATAGCTGGGGTAGCTTGGCCGCTTCTCGTAATTCTTTTTTGATTTGACTCAACTCTTCAGCCCTTCGTCGTTTAGTAGCTGATGCTTTTCTTTCTAGATTAGTTCGACTATGTTTACTGTCTGATTTCTTGACAATCTTTTTCACTGCCACTTCTTCCGGCGGTTTTATGATGTTAGTCAAGTCTTTTGATGACGTTTTCATTGACACTCGTGCACTCTTCGGTTCGGCCGACTTCTCCGTTGATTGGACTTCAATCACTGCTAACACGTCCTTCTTTTGCAAACTATTCCATTGATTGTAGCTTCTGTAAATCTGTGGATCCGAAGTACATCGTCGAAGTTGTGAAGCACGATTGTTTTTCCTTCTTGACACAAAATCTTTGTGTTTTCTTCGCTTTGGTATTACAACCAAAGGTAGGCGTTTTATTCCATCCACCTTCTTCGACATGTCCTCCTTCTTCCTTATTTGACTTGTCGATTGATTTTTGTGGATTACCCGATCTGAATAGTTGAGTGATATGACTGCTGGTGATCTACTGCTGGCTGTGGAGCAAGCCGATGATCCTGGCGCTTCTAAACGATCTCTTCGCCACGATACGTTGCTTCTTGTTGAGTTGCGGTTACTGCCGAATGCAGTGTTAAGAAAGACGTCAAATTCTTTGGTAGAAATTGCCAGCCGGTCGGCCGCTGGGCCCGATTTCTCGTGATGGGAAGACGTTTTTGGCAATTGCTTGATGGAAAATTCTGAATTTCAAACTTTTTTAAATAGAGCAAACAATGTACAAAATTCCTTGTAAGATAATTTTTTTTAAACCTAACTACACTATAATTCTAGTTAACTACTAGGTTACTAGGTTAAATAATCTTAAAACCTCGTTTAAAAAAATAAAAACAATCAAGTGTCATAAAAATTAAGTAGCAATATAAAGTCGTAAAACCATTGTCATCAAAAAACAAAATCCAACTATACTACCTAACAGCTCTAATTACCTATACTTGTACAAAAATTGTAAAACTTACAAGTCGATGACAGTGTTAATCACAAGTTCAAAACGGAACCCGTGGTCGACTGATCAGACTTTAAACCTAGGACAAGAAAAAAGCCGAAAGAAGACGATAATCAGTTGTTTCTGGCACAAAAGCCTCGTCGATCTGCAGCTGGTTTGGGCGCACATGCCCAGAGGACAAAAACTTGCCGATGGCCACAAAAAAAGAGTGAAATTAAGGTGAAAAATAGAAGCCGAACGAAGAGAGTGCCATGATGAATAGCAGCTGCTAGAGATCATTATCTTCTTGGCCAGCCTCAGCGAAAGATCAATATCATTCTGACAAATCGAAGCCTGAGATCAGTATATTCAAGTAGGCAGTAGTGAGATAGCACCGTTATCTTCCCTCATTCCGAGAGTGGCGAGAACAGCCGTGGGTTTCAGAGAGGCGAGATCAATTGCCGTTTCGAGGGGCCGATTAGTTAATCGAGAAGAAAGACTTCTCTCGGATCAAGCTCTTTCAAGCAAGTGCCGACACCTGCGAACTTTCCCTTTCTTCTCCTTCATTTCGTTGAGTTTCCATTCGGACTTGAACCGATAGGACGCACATGTAGGTGATGTGATGGCCAACATCACCCGTTTTTTAAAGTGAAGATGTATTGTCCCCTTCTTTGTTCATATCTTTGAGATCCTTTTTCGTTGCCTTCAGAATCATTATGTTCTCGTTTGTTTTAAAAATCTTCCTCTGGAATATTAAAAATCATCGCAATTTAAGCCTGAATTAAGCAAAACCTTTTTTGCTATGATAGTGTTAAATTCTCGGGTGCCTTGTTCCTCAAACCTTCATTTCTTTTCTCGCCACAACAACTGCCGGGCACAATGACGCGATGATCAGAACGGCCAAGCACTTTTCGACTTGATGCCTTCACACTCCTGGTCATCGAAACTCTTTTTTTCGAGATAAAACAGCTCCATTATGCCCGCATATGTTTTGAGCTCTTGTTAATGCAATAACAAATCCGTTTTAAAAGCCATCACTTCACGTAGGAGGTGGAGTGTTTTCGACAATAAATTATTAACCTATAAAAGTTGTCTTGTCCAAGAATAGAATTGGTGATTAATTGTCTTCCAATTATAGCATTTTATGCTGAAAAAGTTACATAATGAAAGAATGATTACTTAGACATACAGACTATAAAAACAATTTGATTCTAAAAAACAGTAGTACAGTGGAACCTCCGTATAAGGAACCTCTATATAACAAAACCCCTGTATAACGAACAACTTTTGAATCCCCGGCTATCAGTACCACAGTGCATTTAAAACTTCTCTATAACGAAACCTCTTCATAACGAACAAATTTTAATTCCCCTAGCGGTTCGTTATACAGAGGTTTCACTGTATAATAAAACAATACATACGAAATGTTCTATCAATAATAATAACGCACAAAGACCTATCAGACAGTACAACAGAAATAAAGAGGCTGAAAGCATAAAAAATGTTAACAGAGGTTTATCAGATAGGACAAAAGAAATATAATTTTTTAAATTTTGTGTTGCAATACAATTTGTAAAGAAAATAAAAATAATAAATCCGTAAAAGTTCAAAGATCTCGATCAACTTGCAACATGAACATTAACTAAACAAAAACCCACAGGCCAACGTCTGTACATATTATCAATATCGTTGATGCCCAACGATATTGATAATAATCCCACAGCGTAGCTTATCTTAATTATTATTTATCCATAACTGTAATTTTGAAAATATAAATGAATGCATTTCTACTTTTATTAAATTTATCTTTAATGTCACAAACCTGGCACTAAAAAACGTTCAGCTCGTCAACTTAAAATTTTTAAAAATCAACGCAAATTTCACTTTTTCTAAAATCTTAATACAAATTTTTTGTTTTTAAATTTACAATAAAATCGCTTTACATCAAAATTTTAGTAAACTCCGTTATAAGGAACTCTCAATTTGAGAACATAATTTACTTCCAGAACCTTATTTTATCCGTAAATGACCTCGCAAAAAAAAAAAGCCGATAAAGTCATATGTTTTTCATCAATATACGTTCCTTATATTGAAAGTCTACTTTAATCCCCACTGTTCCAGTCCAAATTCATTTCTTTCTCTAAAAATCAAAACAATAACCGAAATACCCACCTTATCCTTGTAATTCGACCTCTTGTAGTCGTCGTACCGGTCCTTATCATGTCGTAACCTTTCGAACCGTTCTTTATTCTCCTTCGATCTTCGTCGTGCACGTTCTTCTCTGCATGCATTTCGTCTGTGTCTCGAAGACTCACGTCGACGTTTATATTCTTCATAAGAGTCGTCTCTGTCATTTCTTCGTTTACCCATTAGGGATCCGGCTTTGGAAGCTGAAGATCTCCGTCTTGGTAACTTCGAAATTGTCACTGAAACAAAAGAAACATTAAAATTGGTACGACAAGGTTGTTTTAAGTGTGAAACATAGTCGTGTACGTTTTTAGGTATAAAATCAACAGAATTTCAAGTAAAGTAAAGCTATAATACTAAATATTGTAAAGATGAAAGATAAACAAAACAGATTAATTAATAATCTTGCTTTTACATTACTTTTGAAGATGTATAATAGAACATTAAACTTGATCTTAATAATATTATAAAGTCAAACCAAAATCTACCAAAATTCCGCTAAAATTCAATAAATATGCAAACATTACAGTAAACACAAACAAATTCAACTCTAACAAAAACCGAGAACGTATCAATAACTCCTCCAGGTCAATATCAAGTCAAAAATCAAAAAATTTCCTCTAAAAACCAAAAATATTACCTAAAAATAAAAATACCAAAATTTGAAGAAAAATTTAAATTTTGATAAAATTATGTTTCAAAAACCTTATGTTTATCCTTCTTCCGCGCCAGGGGCTTGCAGGAATACCGCGCATCTTTTTGCGAGCAAGCGAAAAATAGTGAGTGGCAAACTGCGTCCGAGGTTTAAAAACCTCTGCAGGCCGCGGTTTTATAATTTTCCTTTTGAACTTTAAAATTGTAACAGTATAAAAAGTGTAAAGACAAGTCGTAATTAGTAGCTTTACAACCATTAAGTTTGTAGTCATGTCTAAAAGTGTCTATTTTTAGGTTTGAAGTGAATGTATAATAGCAGAACTGGTTTATAATGTCTTATATTTGACTGTAGATAAAACTAGCGTAAAAGTGCAACTAAATTGAAGCAACATAAAAAACTAATAACTTACTCATTTATGCCGGAGTAGAGACAACAATTTATTATTGTTGTTATGGCAGTTGACGCTTCTAATTTTCGATCAAATCTTCAATCTAAAAAATAAATAATTTAAAAAAAGATATCAACATTAGCCAAAATGTTTACGTTATAAAAAGTATAATATACATCACTTCCTCATAGAGCCTTTTTGCACTTTCTATTACACAACGCCGTCTATTTATGTAAGTCCCGAGACGAAAACGATATTTGGCATTCCGTTTCTTACTACATATTTCGGCGAAAAAAGCGAGAATTTCGAATTTTTAGATAAACCTAAAATGGCAAACAAGGAACAGAAGGAATTACAGAAGGTGTTGAAAGAATACCCGGTTTTCAAGGAGCTTGAGAGTGGCAGGGTAAGTTTTCTTATCTAGAAATTTTATTTTTGCTTTATATCTAAATTTTTTCTCTAAAAATCTAATTTATAATCTGTATTTTAGCTCCAGTGCCAACTAACAGGACACGAAGTGCCGAACACAGCTAAACATGTTCAAGATCACGTGAAAACAAAGCGATTTGTCAATGAATGGTTAATCAAGAAGGTTATCGATGAGTACGAGGAGTATTTTGAGAATCTTGGGCAAGTATTCTTGAAATTTAATTTATTTTGTGTTTAGGCACAACCTACTGGGTTGCAAGTTAACTTTGAAGACAATTGCGAGAAAAGGGAAGGATTTGGAACACCACATCAATGGGCAGAAGTTCAAGAACGCTTGGAAGAAAGGTAGCTAACATAATATCGACAATTTGATGCTAATTTTGATTTACTTTTTGCATATTTTACACGGAAAAGCTTAGAAGCGGCTTTTGTTTTATTAAGGATAGGATTTTTTCGAAATTCATTAGAATTTGTTCAAAATGTATATGTTAGTCAACATCACTTACCAATCTTTATAACAACATCTTTTTTCAGAACAAGAAAAGAAGGCTGTTGAAGCAGCTCAAGAAGGTGGTTCTGATGGAGAAAAGCCAGATGAAACGCAATCTGATGCTGAAATGGAAGAAGAACCAGTAGAAGTGGAAGAGAAGAAGCCTAAAGCAACCTCAAAGGCTAAAGCCGGCCAGAAAAGGAAGATTGTGGTCAAAAGAAAGAGTGGTAAAGTTGCCAAAAAGGCTTGAGAATATTTTAACTTTTTCTAATTTTGAATTGTTACTTGTTATTGTTATAAATTTTGATTTTAAAGGTTATACTTATCGATTTGTGGGAAAGCGACATGTTTTTCATAGTTTAAGCTCATTTTTCTTGATAATAACCTTGATTTGTGGACATTTGATATTTTATAAGTAAGATATTACTAAATATGAGTACAATAACACTAAATATTTCAAAAAACTAAGCAGTTTATTGACAAAGCGACTATCTTCTCTCGGAAAGGTCCGGTCCAATGGCTGGAGCATCTTCTTTTGAAACGCATGTCAACGGTAGCTTTACAACATCGGTGGCCGGGGTGTTTTTGAACAGCTCCTTGAAGTCGGTATCGCTTGGTTTGCATTTAACATAGTGCAAGGCGAGTTTGTCGGTTTTGGGCGGACCTTCCAATCGAGTGATCAGCAGGTTGTTGCACTGACCACCGTCGATGAAGCAGAATACTGGATTGACACGATACAGGTTATTGTCACTGCATTTAACCTGGAAATAGATTTTCGAAGTTACAACAGTGTTTGTGCTCAAAAGTTTTGTAGGTATAGTTGTATATGTAGGTATCGGTCAGATTTGATTAAATTTTAAGAAAAATAGACGTTTTTGTTTGAAAACAAGTCTTCTCAAGCTTTGTTATCAACAAAAAACTCTTCGTCTTCCTGCTAAAATACGACTTACTTTAACGGCAATTCGATCACGACTCAAGTTGACGAGCATGTGTTCGGATCGACCGCCTTTTGGTCGGAACGCGGCATTGTCCGGATCCACGGACAACGGGATTTGTGGGGATCGTACACTGTCCGAGGCAGGACTTCGTGGGTTTTCGGCCGGCTTCGTCGGTTCCGTTGGTTTAGCGGCCGGTGGTTGATCGGCTTTCGCAGCGGCCGGTTGCTCCATGATAATTCTTGAAAGTGGAAGTGAAGGAAGTGTTTGAAATGATGAGGTTTAGAATGTTTTTGAATGTACAAAAAAAAATTTTCAAATTTTAAAGTGATTTTGTTTTTGAAAAATGATCATAATGACTGATTTTTGGGAAAAAATGGTCAAAAAAGCTTAAAATTTTGCATTTTTTTAGCTACTTTAAGCTCATTAAAACGTCTTTTTTAATTCTAAATGTTTTAATCGTAACTGCCAAGTCTTGTCTATGAAAATTGACGCAAATCTCATCATGTTTGTCCCCAAAAAATGATTGTATTGGCCACTAAATATAGTTTATGTTTGCATAGCTGACCTTGAAGCTTTGACCAGGACAAAATAGATGTCATTCTGACCTTGGTCATTTCTAAAATTTAAATTATTTTATTATAGTATATGTAGAAACTAACTGTAAGATATTATTAGAGTTTTCTATTAAAAAGTTATCTAAAATTTTAAATTTTTATAACAATATTACCTAAAATTTGAAGGTTTAGCAAATTTTTAGGGTTTTAACCATACATTTTGCTTCAGAGCTTAGTTTAGGTATAACACAACTAATAACTATACCTTTAACAACTAGACTATTTTACAAAAACTTATTTATACCGGACTATTTCACAAAGACTTATTTATACAGGACCATTTCACAAAAACTTATCTACTTCATTGCGTATGTTACTAAAACTTGTAATACTATGTATGACATGCTATTTGTCATCATCGGAAGAGGTGCCAGATAGTGGTTGGCCATCACCTCAAGCCACTACACGTGGTGAGGTTTGGCCACACCCCCAGAAAGCTGAATATGGGAAAGAAAATCGAACGATTAGACGAGGCTCCATCATGATATCATGGCAGGGCATTCGAGATGTGGATTGTGACATTTTGGAGTTTGTTAAGAGGACTTATCGTAGGTTTTGGTCGTCTTTTAGGCTTAAAATTTATTTTTAAAACTTTTTGAAAAACAACAGGTTTACTGTAGAATACGAACTTTCTTTATCATTTTAAATATAGGATAAGAAATAAAATTTATGTTTGGATCAAAATTGGTAGATTACCTTAAACAATATTGCTTTCAGAAAAAGACTGGTTCTTCCCAAATCGTGGTCCAGCAGCCAGTCCAGGCGGGCTAAAGTTGATCATTCGAAGTGATGCCAAATGCCCAGAAAAGGACGAGTATCCTCAACAAGGAATGAATGAAGAATGTAAGTCATTTCTGTTTTTTAGAAATTTTAAAATATTAGGTTGTTCAAATAATTCTGTCTTTTACCTCAAAACAAATTTTCGAGTTTAGGGAGCACAGAATTATTTGGACAACCTAATAGATTCTAATTACGGACTTGGTTTGGGGTCTCGTTCCCACATGTTCCGGCTTTGCCCTTTCTAAATTTGATTCGGTCCGGGCAAGACCGCACTGTTTTTATTGGACCTATTGTCAGATATAGCCCTGGTTCTTATTATAAGCTAAGAGGTCAGAATTCAAAGTTTTAGATTACCTACGTGTCCCAGTAGCCGGTGACGCTGTTTTGGAAGCCGATGAAGTTTGGGGAATATTGAGAGGCCTCGAAAGCTTTAGTCAACTTATATTTCAAACTAGAGGAGCAGTAAGTGTACTTTTACTATGTTTATGACAAAGTCAGACAATTTAAAGTATTGTACTTTGAAACTACTGTATTACAAACCTCTATATAGCGATAAATTTTTGAATGTTTGACCGATTCGTTATGCAGCAGTTACACCGTACTTTGAAAGATGAAAAGCAAAATTTCAGTACTTTGTACGGACGGCAATCATTCACGACTGGCCTGAATACACTGTACGAGGTATTATGATTGACACATCGCGACATTACATACCAAAAAAGATCATATTAAGGCAGCTTGTAAGTTTGATAATATGTTTATTTTCAAGCGTATTTTACTCACAGTAAAAAAGTGTTATGAAGTAAACTAGGGTAGGGTAAGGTAGGGTATTTAAAAACACTGGTCAACATAAAGGTCTTGCTGTTAATCTTGCTTTGAATGGGAGACTACTGTATAGTCTTGATGTTAGGTATGAATTTGAGCTACTACGTTTACTAAAGAGTGTAATATTATAGCAAATTGAATGAAAAACTGTACAATAATGGCTTTTAGGACATAATGGCTCAAAACAAGTTCAACTTGCTACACTGGCACATCGTGGACTCACAATCGTTTCCTTATGTGTCCAAGAAGTACCCTCATCTTTCTGAACGTGTAGGTCTTATAAACTCATAAACTTGATAGAATTGGACGTATTTTACAAAAAGTTAACTTAATTTTATCTTTTTACTTAAAATTCATTATATAATAATATAGTATTATCTCAAAGTGAAGTGTTATATTATGCTACAGTATTACTAAAAATCTTTATGTTATAGTAGTGTATTACCTAAAATTCTAGCTTTATATGATGGTAAGTGCCTTTATTATATACTTAATCTTTTATTATACATTATGATATTACCTAAACTTTCAGTCCGCCTACTCCCCCTCCCACGTCTACAACAAAAACACGGTGCAAGAGATTCTGGATCATGCTAAAATGCGTGGAATCCGAGTCATGGTTGAGTTCGACACTCCAGGCCATATGGCTAGTTGGAAAGGGGAGTTGGGTCTACTAACCGAATGTCATGACACTAATGGGCACAGTGTAATGTCAAATATTATTGACCCAACATTGGAAAGGAACTACGCATTCTTGAGGAACTTTTACGATGAGATTCTGAGTGTTTTCCCAGAAAAGTTTATCCATCTAGGTGGGGACGAGGTTGGATTCTGGAAGAGTTGTTGGTTAACCAATCCTAAAATACGGGATTTTATGTTGCACAAGGGGTTTGATGAAAATACGACAATGTTGGAGAACTATTACTATGATCGGTGGGTTTTTAGTGGTTTTGGTGATCATTTTAAATTTAATAATTCTAAGTAGTACACTAATATTGACCATACTTAATATTGACTATGCATTATATTAATTTGTTCAAATAATTCGGTGCCCCTATCAAAGCAATTTTTTGGGGTTAGGGGCACAGAATTATTTGAACAACCTAATAGTAATATTGACCTTATTTGACTTTTGAAATCTCAGTTTTCATTTTTGGAAAAAAAAGTAAAAATTTTGAAATTTATACTTCAAATTTTAGCTTACAAGACCTAGTGACAGATATCATAGGAGTGGACAAAGATGCTCGTATGATCTTTTGGGAAGACGTGTTTCAATACAATAATCCGGTAAGTCAACAGGGTCAAATAGGTAGTGTAGAATTCAAAAAACAACAGAGAGTAAGGAGACAAAAATTGTGGCTACTGCAGTTAACTTTATAGTATTGCTTTATCTTATAGTAAATGATGAACATTTCATTTCCAGTTCCCCAAAGCAGTGGCACATATTTGGTATTCAGCGTCAGAGAAAGCTCGGAATGATGCATTACATCGCTACACAGCAGCCGGACATGAAGTGATATTGTCATCTTGTTGGCAATTAAACTATGTGAACTATGGATCTGATTGGAAGGATGAAGGTAGTAAATCTGGTCAATTTTACTACTGTGATCCACGAGGATTTAGTGGAAGTGAAGAACAAAAGAAGCTAGTGTTAGGAGGTATTGTAGGCTTGTGGGGAGAGTTCATCGACGGCACTAATATTGAATCGGTATTGTGGTACGTTTAACCATTTATTTTTAAGTTTACCCTACTCTACGTTACCCTACCCTATCCTACCCCACCGTGCCCTGCCCTCCCCTACCTTACTCTACCTTACCCTACTTTACCTTTCCCTACTCTGCCTTACTTTACCCTACCGTGCCCTACCCTACCCTACCTTATCTTACCCATTATAATTCAATAACTCTTAAAGGCCCCGAGCATCAGCAGTAGCAGAACGCTTATGGAGTAATCCAAAGCAAACTACAGACGCTGATCGAGCCTGGCCACGACTTCACGAACATCGTTGTCGTCTTGTAGCACGAGGCTACCGTGCTTCACCTATTAATGGTCCTGACTTTTGTATCAATGAGTACGATGATCCAACAGCCTAACTTTGGCTAGCATTTTACAACTTTAAAGTTTACCAGTATTTTAAAAATTTTGATTGAACTGTCTGTAAATATAGATAATTTTTCTAAATAATTTAAAATAAATACATAACATATAATTTAAAGTTGAAAAAATAGTGTTTTAACTGTTACCACATGCTTTTTTTGAAAAACCGGTTTACAATGGCCATAAAAGAACCTAGCTCAAGCTGCTGCAGCCATAGCAGTCCTCTACTAATTGCGTCACTGCGTTCAGCAGCTTTATTTGGTCGCTTATTTTTGACCGAGCGTCGTTTATTTCCCAAATTTGCGCGCAAACGTTAGGTGTTTTTTAAAAATATTTTTTGTTTTTTAATATTTGTCAATTTGAAATTTTTTCCCCTAATAAATCCTTATATCTTGCCCTACATTGCTATATCCTAATCTGCCTTGCTATACGTTAGCCTATCTTACCTTACTACACTCTAGTTTATTCTTAACTAATTTACTATATCCTGCCTTGCCTTATATTATCTGACCCTACCTTACCCTACTTTTCTCTACCACACTCTACTCCGCCCTATCCAACTCTACTATGCTTTATCCCACTCTACTCCGCCATAATCTACCTTACTAAAATCTAGCTTATATTACTTTTCTTTACTCTACTTCATCCTAAACTACCCTATCCTATTTTATCTTAACCTTTTCTACCCTAATACTCCTTTATTCCCTTACCTTGCTTCAACCTAAACTACTATAACATGGTTGAGCTACTTTTAAGATCTTCTTCGAAAGTTTTACATTAAATGTTTTAAATTTCAGCTAAACGATGCAATACCCACACATAGTACAAAATCCAGGAATTGTAGTACCAAGCTTACAATTTATGAAGCAAAATATAATCGTAAGAAAAACGCTTGAAGAAAAAGGATCGAGAGAATTCAAAACAGATGATCACGCTTACTACACAGAGCAAAACCAGAAATTCCTGCAAGATATGAAGGAAACATTAAGGAAGATCTCGCTTTACAATGAGACAGTCTGCAACGCTCATATTTTATCGAACGCCTTGAACATGTAAAATATCACAATAAGGAGTAAGCTTAAAACATTTTTGATTAAATGTGCCGTATAAAATGATATTTGGTACAACTAGTATCGTATGGTTTTTACACCTTCCTAAGTTAAATCTTTCGCTGCGGGACCTAAGCGAGCGCCGCAAGTACTGAGTTTGGGCCCTGACCAGGCTTACCTTTCCCGGTTCCTTTCGAATTGCTTGTCCGGGCCAAGCCCTACTTTCTTTTCAAGCCTAACTATCATAAACAATTTACATTCCAGACTAAAATTGATAATGGCCGCAACGACTTCAATCATACGAATCGAGAACGACAAGTGTTGTATCTGTTTCGAAGACAAATGTTTGAAGCCGGTGTATTGTTTACAATGTGTCAAAGTGATAGCTTGTAACAAGTGCTTTGTGAAATGGATTGATTATCAAGAAGATACTGTCAAATGCCTACGATGCCAACGGAATTCAGACACCGACTACGCATTGTTCTACTTACTGAATAGTTATAATGTTGAACGGAGACTGACACTGTAGCTCATAAAAGGCTGTTGTATTATATTTATATAGTGTGTATTCGATTTTTGTAGTTGTAATTATTGTATTAGATTTTTGTAGTTGTAATTATTGTATTGTAGTTGTAAATTACTTTGATTTACTACCAGCATTTATTTCACACATATAAGCATTAAAAGTTGAAAAATAGAAAAAAACTTATCAGCATACAATATCATGTCAATAATATACAACTTCTCATAAACACTTGGACACAAAAGCAGACTAGCTGAGAATGGAATGAATTTCATAGAAATATTTACTCAAAAGCCTGAATTCTTATCACCGCATAGATATAAAGACCTTCGTAATATTAGGTTGTTTAAATAATTCTGTGCCCCTAACCCAAACTTGCAAAATACAATTTACCATAAGAGAGAGCACAGAATTATATGAACAAGCTAATATTAAATAGTTCAAATAATTATGTGCCCCTTAACCCCAAAAACCTGTTACGAAAGAGGGCCCAGAATTAAATGAACAACCTAATACAATAAAAATTAGTAAAATGTATAGTTTTACAGTAACCGTGATGAAGAGCCGAGGTTAAGCATCAACTAGCACTAGAATTTGTTCTGTTATCATCTGTTTCACAAAGAAAAGTTATCATATAGTAGGTATAGAGGAAGAAATGGCAAAAGGGTAGTAATACCTAGTGCAAGAACGGCCATTTTACGTGGATTGGAGGGAAGAGGACCATCGCTTGGCTTTACCCCAGCCAAAAAGCGTGGCAATACTCATACCCACATAACCTAGCTTCTACTATATATGTAGGTAATAATCTCAAAGACGCAAAGAAAGAACCCGAAAGATTACGGTAATACTAGCACGACGTTTGTACAATCAGTAAGTTTTGTTAAAAGATGTTAGCATAAATAGGTTACAATATAAGTATCAAGTCATGGGCGGTTGTGTTGTAGTTGGCAGTTCCACTGGCGTTGACTTTCCTCCAAACACATTCCATATGATGAACAATGAGAACAGGCCTAGGAGTAGGAAGCCGGCTCGTTTTCTGGAAAATTTTAATATTTAAGTTTGGTTTTTTAAATTGATTTGAAGATGTTATACCTCATAAACTACACATCGTTTATATTAAACTACATGTCTTTTAGTACACAAACTATAGTAACATGCATTGTTAAGTTTGTCGTATTTTACAATCCCTTACCTAGTACCAGTAAGTGGCTTTACTGAATCCAATACCACGGCCACCACGTACAATATAATCTTCAGAACCTCGACCACAATATTAGCAAAGGATAACATAACATGGTTCCACTTGAAGGTACCTACTCCCAGTAGTTTTTCCGAGTTTTCATGCCAATTTGATTCCATTCGGTACATCTAAATTTACATTAAAATCTTTCTTTTTAAATATTATATTATACCTATATCAAAATTCAACTTTTTAGAGAAAACTGACAATTAAGAAGATAACCATTTGTCAAAAATAAAAAAGTATATAATTTAGAATACCTACAAAAGAGTAATCACCTTAAGATACCTATAACAATATAAGTTAGAACATGTGAAGCAAAAAAAGTTAAAACCCTACCCTATTCTGTGCATTTTCGATGCTCTCTTCAATCTTCTTGAACCTATCATTATATTGATAGTCCATTCTTGTGCCAATTAGATTCAGCTCATTTTTCAGTTGTTTCACTTCGTTTTGATGTAAATCCATTGTTTCGTTTAAGCTTTGCTCGAGCTTCTAAAAGCAAAATATTAAGTTTAAAAAATGCATATCTTTGTGTTGAATTTATAGTTTAACTAACTTTTAAAAATTAACTACAGTCAAACCACTTTAGTATGACTCTGATGGGACTGGCCCAAACCTGTCGTTACAAACAGAGTAAAATATTGGCTATACTTACCGTGATCTTATAAGTTGAAGCTACTAAATCCACTCGAAGATTCTTGATCTCGTTTTCTGATTCTTTCTGAAAGAATATCGTTAAATCACAATCTTTTTATAATATTGCCCTTTAAAACAAAGACAAGAAAATAACGTATTTTACCTTCAAATTCTCGTAGGCATGTTTATTCGCGCTGTTTTGTGACTTGAGATGTTCGATTTCCTTCATGAGCTTGATGTTCAACTCCTGTTCATCATAATGTGATATTGACAGGCGATTTGAAGGTTCGATTTCATTTCGAATTGGAGTTTGGACGGTCTTTTTTGGCTCTCTAAAATTTTTAAAATTAATTTTTTTTACATAAAATTCGTATATTTATACCAATTATTACCTAAAATTTGAAATTTTTACTCAGAATGCTACTAAAAATCAAGTATATCTATAAATGTTACCTAAAATTTAAAATTACATATTCCAAATTTGCCTTCTCCAATTTTTTAAATAAAGAAACACCTAAAATGTTACCTAAAAACCCCCTAGTACCTATATAAAACCCTTATCCTTACCTATCAACATTCCTACACATCTTACCCCTCAACTACCTCTAAATAGTTGATAAGTAAGATATGTCAGCCAAAAATAATACCCATAAACTTACGGTTCAGTTAGCGAAGCAGTTGATTGTGGCTGATACCCGTTTTCGTAGAAAATCGACTGACCAACGTTTGAAGCGCCACTGTCCACGGCGACTGGAATGTTATCGGCCGATCCAAATACGTTTCGTTTCACTTTTTGAGCAATATCCAAGGGTGCGTTGATTACACTTCCAGTCATTTCCTTCAGATTTACTCCCGTTTTTCTGAAAAATTTTCACTTTTATATGGCTTTTTTTGCACCATTTTTCATTTTTCCATCTTCTTGTCATACTATCTTCACTTGTAGACGATTTGAGATCTTTTTCATCTACTATAATATTGAGTTGTTCAATTAATTCTGAGCCACTAAAATGAAAAAATTGGCTTTATGAAAGACACAGAACTATTTGAACAACCTAATATCAGGTTGTTTACAACTTTATACCATTTTCATCCGCTACAATATAATTTTTTTACAAATTCATAACATTTTTCTCTACTACAATATAACCTTTTACAACTTTATACCTTCTTCCTCTACTTAAATACAACATTTTACAATTTTATATTCGCTACTGTACTATAAACCTTTCAGTGACCATCTACCGTACGTTATAATCGTTGACAGATCAAAAACGTCTGTGAATCAGAATGTGTCTCACGTGTCTTTCGTATTTTTTGATCTTGCTCTCTTTTAAGAGCTGGGGATTTTCCTTTATGGTTCCTTAAAAGTGTCAAAATTCTCCGAAAAAAGCAAAAGTCTCTAGTTTTTTAGTTGATAATCAGACAGGTCTTAGATTTTTATAAATTTTGTTGTTTTAGGTATAGAAATGTGAAATTTCAGACCTAAAATAAGGTTTTAATGGCGTTATTTTACAATATTTTTGTGGTCTTAGCCTTGTCTTGCAAAAAATTATAAGCTGAAACCTTTGACAACGTTTAAACATCGATTACGACACTATTGCACAACTATGTCTAGCATAAGATCCTCTAACTACTGTCTAATAACTTACTTAATTCCATGCCCAACATTATGAAACATCCTATGATGAGACTGTTTTTGAGTCTCAGTGCCACTATTAACTTCGTCCAACCTCCTTTCCAGCTCATCCAACTTCTTCTGTAGCTGATCTGCCTCCTGACTATATTTCTTGTTTTTCTTTTCAAAATGTTGTCGTATCCTTGCCAATTGAGGATTGTCTCCAACGTTGTCGACTCCATTAGTGATTCTTAGGTATTCTTCTACATCTCCTTCTCGTGCTATCGTGTTCATCGTGATTTTTTCGCGTACTTTGGTAATTTTTCGCTCAATTTTCCCTCTTTCGTCCAACACTAGCGGCGATCCGTCCAGCGGGACCGAGCCGGATTCGCCCGCATCCTCGGACGAATGTGCGCTTTGGCGTTCCGAGGGTTCCGTCTGCAAGAACTGCTGTTAAAAATAAGTCGTTCTGTGTATTATTAAATGATAACTATAAAGACTCCAGAACGCCAACATTCTGAGAGGACGTTTCATAGTCCTTTAAACATTTGATTTTCAGTTTTTTCTCAACACACCCAAACAAAAATACGCGTGCAAGTTCTACCACACCTTAAAAATTTTTTAACAGTCAAAATATTAGAGATATTTAAAAGAAATCGTCTCCCAAACCAAACATTATATGCTTAAAGAGCCTACGTGCAGATTATGAAGGGAACAAATCAGCGTGGTTTAGTAAAAATTCAAAAATTAACGTTCTTTGATGAAAAAAGTCAAAAAATCAACAAACTTCGACAGAAAAGCTACATTTTGCAACATCTATCCCGTAGTCTTGTTATTAGAATATACAGTAAAAAGTGATTAGAATCACAGTAAAAAATTATGCGTTAAAAAATTTTCATATTTCCACAAATCATAATCATTTTGCCTTGACAGTTAAAAAATTTAACTTTTTACCCAAAAAAACCAAATCGCTACAATACAATACATAAAAAAAGTGTTGCGAACTGTAGCCGAATCAACGTGAATCAACCCTCGAATCAGCAAGTTTTTAATGATTTACCACAGAGCACTTGATTTGTTCACTTTTCCGCTAAACCTTGTTGATTTTTTGCCTTTTTTAGCCGAAGCCCGTCAATTTTTTGAATTTTTTATTAAAGCACGCCGATTCTGTTCCTTTACAAACTGCACGTAGGCTCGTTTGTGGATGGAAATCGTGGAATGATTTCTCATGAACAGTTTGAATAATAGCGTTTATATTTAAAGTGCACCCGAACTTCGACGGAACTTTCCGTTTGGGTGCGTTGGGGAACAGGAAGAAAGCGGATGGTTACGAACCAGCCAAACTTTTTGTAACTCACTCTGGCTCGTCGAAACTCGGCTGGCCTAACTGGTGCAATCAACATTTTCGTTTTTTGGTACACTGGCCCCACCAAGGATAATATTTGTGGGGTATCGTAGGTTTTTGGGATACCTTGTGGGCTTCGTACAAATATTAGGCTACTATGAATAATATTAATCCTTTAGAAGATTACTGTAAATTTAAATAATGTTGAAATTCTACTGTAGGTCAAGTCTAGTCAAGCAAAATCTACTGTATCTCTCTAGATAGCCTAAAGTCTTCAGTAGTAAATATATTCCAATAGCTTATAGAAACCACTATCTTACATTCTAATAACAACAACTTTAATCTAATTTAGTTCTTTATACTTATCAAGTGGTTTGTTTTGAAATAGGTATGACTAATTTCGTAATTTACAACTCAATAACTTTGTAATTGAGACGTAGTTATTGACGAAACAGCGTGGTGAAACCTGTAAAACATTAATTTTAATGTTGATTGTTACACCTTACACGCGTTTTTAATATTTTTTTTGCATTAAAACGTACACGAGATATAGAACGTTATTTTCATTTTAAAAATTCATTATTTACTTTATTTAAAAATAGTATTTGAATACCTATTTTAAATTTTTTTTCAATAAAGAATACCCTAAGGTCACGTTTTTGCAATTTTAAACATCCCAAACGGCAATTTTTCAATTTTCTTAGCAAATTGTTGATGGTATTGAGCTGAAACCAGCCCTTTACCATCTAAAACTAGCCCAATACAAGAATCGTTTTAAGCTCAACAACAAAAAAATCAACCTTTTAGAACCTTATCATAAGTAGCAAGTAGCTTACAGTTACCTGAACTCGCAAATTAAACATCAAAAAGGGGTTTGAAACTTCGCTAAAATTACAAACAAAGATAAAGCGTTGATAAGAAACTCAAAATTGATATTTAATAGTCCCATGTTGTGCTAAATTAACTTTTACAACCACTTGATTACAAGGTTATTGCATTCTTTATGACAAAAACGTTAATTGTAATCAATAAGGAACCAATTGTAGCGCCCAGTAACACATTTTACTCTAGTAATTTCGCGAAAACAGTCAATTATTAACACAATTTTTTAAAATTTTTTATATCTTTTCACTATTAGGTTGTTCAAATAATTCTGTGTCCCTAAAAAATTGCTTTGAAAGAAGGCACAAAATTATGTGAACGACCTATTATAAATTTTCATAAATTTCGCTACCAAATTCACAAAAATCGTGCTCAACCCCTCAAAACCTAACAAAAAACAGCTTATACCTCTTTTACAAATCTATAACAAGATATTCCTTTCCACAATACAAAGCTTTTCAAGTTCTAGATTTTGACAAAGCTCAAAAATTCAAAACAAAGTTCGAGTTCACTTTTCGAAATTCTATTCAAAGAACTTGCTGGAACCGCGCCTGAAAATTGTTTTTTTTTTGCATGGCAAACGCGGGAAATCTTATCTGATAAAGTACATGTTGTCTAAATACTTGGCCTTTAAATTTTGGACTATTAATCATGGGACTTGGCTTAACGGACATCAATTGTTGTCTTGTGAGTATGACTCATACAAAAATCTATTTTTCTTGTACAGAAAAACCTCTTTGATATGACTCTCGATAGTAGTTGTTGCAAGACCTATTACTAAGGACGATCACAGAGCTGTCAATATAAAGAGGGTGTGCACTATCAAAAACCACACTAAGGAGACTTCACTGTAATTCAAATCTACAGTGAAACCTCCTCGGTATGACCTTCGATAGTATGACATCCTCTTTATAATGACAGCTTTCTGACCGTCCTTTGTAATAGAACTCCTATCAAAAACTAGCTGGATAGTGTGACACTCTGGTCATAACGGCATTTAAGCCCAGTTTATTGAGTGCCATGATAAAAGATTTTGACTGTATTATAATCACGTTTTGACCGACCTACCCCTACCTACAAGTCCTCCCCTATCTACAAGTTTTTTTACCACTACCAACAAGTCTTCTCCACTACCTACAATTCTCAAAAAACTTAACTAAACCTGAACCACAGTTCCTCATACCTCCTGTCAGTTTACATTTACTCTATTTATTTACTCTTCACCATTGCTCATTGCTCATACGTAAAGTACCCCGACATTCGCGTGTCATAATCATCCATTTTATTCATTTGATAAACACATTAAGCTAATTATTATTGTTTTTATACGAATACTATTAAAAGGAAGAACGTTCCTCTGTTGACATAGAAGAAGAATGTTTTTCAAACTATAGACTTTGTCACACTGACATTAGGGGTTAGTGTTATTAGTGAAAGTAATCATATTTGTTTAGTAAAGTCATCAATAACTAAGTTTGATTGAGTTGTAGCTAGTGACTTCGCTAATGTTGTAGTAGACAGATTTTTGGGTATAAAGTTCAAGTTTTGGGTAAAATATTGCTAAATTTATATTAAAAAAGTTTATTCTTTCGCCTAAACCTAATTTTTCAAAAATTTAAATTTTTTGGAATAAAAACAAATTAGAAATTAAAAACCTAGGTAAATTAACTTTCAGTTCAAAGTATTTTTCGCCCCAAAATTAGAAAGTGAAACTCACTCCCGAAAAGGTCTCGAAATTAATCGTCAATTCAAACATATCAAGGTTTTTTGTGAAACCCGTCAATTACAGCGCTCTTTATCTCCAAAAACAAATCACGCATTATCAACATGTCTTATCAACTTGTTTGTTGAATGATTTGAGGTGAGTAGGTTCAGGAGTAGGTTTCTTCGGTAGATTGGAGTCTTGTAGTTTTTTAGCATCAAGATTTAAGCTTTTAGTTTTGTTTTAACACCAATATTTTAAATTTTTGTTAGGTTTTGTCTTATCATCAAGTGCCACTTTGTTACATTAATTAACTCAACATTATTTACCACTATTTTAGTAAAACGGTCTTTACAATAATTCCTTCGTATTTTACAACACAAACTCTCACCAAACCCCACTTACATACCATTTCGTTGCCACAATATTAACCTACCCTAAACCATACTAATTTCTACCTAAATTGCATAAAACACGCTCCAACCATATCAATAACTACCCAAACCCTCTTCCATAACACCAGAAATAGCCTAATCATTCATAAAGTAAACCAAATACTATTCCCAACCCAATTAAACTGCCCAAATCGCAATAAATATTACACATAACACGTATTTTTAACATAATCATAAGATTGGTCTTTTCGAAAGTAACACGAACATCATAACCCCATCAGAAAATGATAATTATAGTCCTCTCGTCAGTTCCCAATTATCAACGTTCAATTTACTGTAATTAGAGTGCAATTTGAGTTAATTTTGGCAGAAAGGGTTCAATTTTTTTCAAAATTGTTTTTCAATTTTAAATCGATTCAAAATGCAATTTCAAAGCAATATAAACAACAAAGTTTAGTTTATCCACCTTCTCTGATATGTTTATATTCTACATAGCTATGAATCACCCAAAAATCATCTTGGCCTTGACTTAAAAACGTCTTTACAAGACTTCTGATACCAATTATAACATAATATAACCCTGTTGATTGCACCAGCCATATTCCAACAAAACCAGCTTTGTTTCGCCTTCCTTACGTCAATATCTTACTCCTACACACAAACAAACACAACAGAAAAACAAACTCACTTCGGTTCCATCTCCAAATCGGTTAGCCATGTCCAATATTAGAATATGTTGTGAAAGTGATGAAGTATATAGAATATAAAATAACTAGCACTGGACTATTTTACTCTTTTATTGACTAGATAATTACATGAATAACAAACACAAAAAACTTTTTTCTTATTTTGCGAAAAACAAAATAAGAATCAACTTGTTTGACAAGCTGCGCCCGATTTTTGAAGTTTTATATTGCAGTTTGCACGTCGTTGATATACGATGTAACGTGAACATTTATTCTCTCGTTTTCCCAACGAGAAGCATGTTATTGAAGCTGTTCGTTTAGATCATGGTTCACCCGGATGCTGGACCTAGCGGAGGACAAGATCCTGGTCCAAGCGGGCGGCCGGTCGATGCTAAGTATAATTCACCTGATAAATGGTAGGTTTTATGGATAATACGGGTATTTTTGGAAGGTTTAAATGAGACTGAATGTTAAGCTTGGAAGATTATTGATGCTTAGATATTTATGATGGGGTTTAAATTAAATTGAATTTGTTTTACGAAGTTTTAATTTGCGTTTTTGAGCGTGATGTAATAATATAGGTGTAGGTTACTGTTGTGAAAATTTGATTGATCAGTGAACTTTGATCAGAAAGGAAATGGATTTTTATTAAAGTTTATGATCTTTTTAAGGTTTTTAAAGTAATTTAAAATGTATAATTTGCTTTTTTAGTGGTTTAATATGTTTATCAAAGGCTATCTAACATACTATAATTTGATGTTTCAGTGTAATATGCTGGTCAACGTTGGTCTCGCCGTACTCAACCATTTGTGCACACACATTCTGGTATGGTTTTTCTAAAATTTTTATTTTTAGGCGTTTCTTTATATTCAACTTTTAGTCGCTCCTGTATCATGAAACACCTTACACATAAACCTTTCTGCCCAGTTTGTGAAACAACTCTTGACGTAGAGAATAAGACTCATTTGATTCCAAATCACAAAGCTGCTGAACTAATAGAATGTCAAAAGAAAAACCAGGAGAATCAGCGAGCTTTGAAGCGTTTGGCCAACGAAATGACAGAAGATCTGGCTTTGGATAACATGAGTGATTTGCTCGACACTCGCTCAGGCATTATGGCCGAGAATACTTTGATAAAACGAGAGATTGTTGATGCTTTTAAGCGACAAAAACGTGCAATCAAGATGACGGAGGAGCAAAAGAAACGGGTGTTATTGAACGAGTTCTTTGATCAGGTCATAGAAGAAAGGGAGACTCAGCTGAACAAGATTCAGGATGAACTTGTGCAGCTTAGAGCTGACAAAGCGCGGTCTAATCTGAATGTTGATACTGGTATTGGAGTGGTGGCTCAACGGGTAGTGCCAAATCCAGATTTGGATACGCCAAGGAGCTCAGGAGATTCACCATCAACTATGAGGCAGATGAAAAAGTTGAAGAAGAGGATCAATCAGAACTTGACTAGTTTGGAGCCTTGTTACTTTGATATTAAAAGCGATGTTACGCGTAAGTTAGTCTTTTTTTATGTTTTTTACGGTTTAGAAGGTTGAAACAATCAAAACTTTCTATAATAATATGTGAAAGGTACCTAAAATAATATTTTTGGCATAACTGGGTAGTAAATTTAATTTTTGAAAAATTTTAGGTAACTACTGCCCAGGACGCGACTATCTAGATGAATTTTCAAATGTTTTAACGGGTATATCACAATATGCGGAGATAAAACGGCTGGCTACATTGAATTATAACATCGAAACAACGTCGAACTTGTCAATTGTGTCGAGTATTGAGTTTGACAAAGATGGAGATTACTTTGTGGTGGCTGGTGTGACAAAGAAGATCAAGCTGTACGATTACAATGCAGTTGTTAACAGTAAAACTGGCATACATTATCCATTACAGCAGCTTCAGTGTACTAGCAAAATAAGGTGGGTATTGGATTTGATGTTATTTTTGACTTTTATGTTTGATATTATTGTTGGCTTTTAAGTAATAATTTAATTTTTTTGGTATTTTAGGTAAGAAAAAAAATTTTGAGGGTGGACTTTAATATCTATTTTTGAAAGTTTCTTGATATTGTTATAGATTCAAATTGATAAAAGAAACTAAAATATTAATATTTCAGCAACGTATCATGGAACCCGTATATAAAGAACGTGTTAGCTAGTAGTGATTACGATGGCAAGGTACAGCTATGGGACACGACAACATGTAAAAACTTTCAAACATTCAGAGAACACGAGAAACGATGCTGGACGGTGCAGTTCAACAACGTCGATCCTCATATTATGGCTTCTGGTTCGGATGATGCTAAGGTAAAATACGGAACAGATGGCTATATAAAATTAGATAAATTGTCACAGTATATAGAATTACATAGTATTTTAGGGTTCTTATTAGGCAAAAGCTTCTTTGGGGGATGATAATCTTCTTCTTAACATAATAAGGCTTAAAGGCCTTTATAAAGGATGTCTTTACCATAGGATGAGTTTTGCACCTTTATGGTACTTGTATGACCTTGGTAAAGTACTAAAAATTTTGTATCACACAATGACGATTACTGTAATTCAGGTAAAAATCTGGACCATGAATCAACCTCATTCGGTGGGCACGATCGATGCTAAAGTCAATGTCTGTTGTGTATACTTTAGCCCAACTAATCGAAACAACTTTGTTTTTGGGTCGGCTGGTAAGTTTAACTTCTTATATTTTTGGTATTTTAAAGCAAAAAAAATTTCTAGAACTGCCATTTTAAAAAATATTTTAAATTTTTATTGAAAGTTATTATGATAGTATCTAAAGCACAAAATTGTTTTTGCGTTATTAGGTTGTTCAAATAATTTTGCGCCCTTTAAACTCAAAAATTTGCCTTGAGAGTGAGAGGGAGGCACAAAATTATTTGAACAATTTAATATGAAGTAGCTTTTGACGACTTTTTAAAGGTAGTGTTGTAAAATACGGGGCGGGGCAGTTCGTCAATTTAAAGTGTTTTTTTTCCATATTTAATATTTATGTTCTAGATCACGGAGTACATTTATATGATCTTCGGAACACTACCAGGCCAGTAAGCGTCTTCCGAGGTCATAAGAAAGCGGTGTCATATGTAAAGTACTGTAATGATAGCGAAGTGGTTTCAGCGTAAGTTAGCCTTTACTAAGCTGCGTCTTATCATAGATAAACCTGCTCAACGTACTCTATTATAGCCTATCTTACCTTTACATATATTTAACTTTTTCTACTGTAGCCTTCAATTATTTCACTTTACCATGCTCTTTTCAGCTCCACCGACAGCACTCTCCGCCTATGGGATGCCAAGTCGAGTCGTTGTAAGCGCACGATGCGTGGTCACATCAACGAAAGAAACTTTGTGGGTCTGGCCACAGATGGCAATCACATGGTTTGCGGCTCAGAGAACAATCAATTGTATGTCTATTTCAAGAATGTGGAACAACCAATCCTAAAATACGACTTTACCTCACGGCAAGGCGATTCAGAAGCCAACCAGGTGTCTCTGGTGTCGCCTAATGAAACCTCAACTAATGATTTTGTCTCGGCTGTGTGTTGGAGAAAGGTATGGTTGATTTTGAGGTTATGTGAGGAGCGTATGGGAGAAATTCCAAGCAAATGAATTTAGAACTAGAAATTGAAGAAAAATTACGGTTTTAGGTAACAGTTTGGCTAGAAGTGAAATTTTAAAGTAAAATTAGATATGATTTTGGTCAAAAGTTGAATTTTTAAGTATATAATGACAACTGTAAGATAAAAATCAGAATTTTGGGTAAATTTAGGTAGTAATCTTGTTTGTTTCAGAATTCAAACGTCGTTGTGGCAGCCAATTCCCAGGGTACAACTCATATTTTGCAACTTTTGTAAATTTTTAATTTTTTTTTCAATTTGTTTTACTTTTTATATTATTATTATGTCATTCCAGGGACGTCGTTTGGGGGAGGGGGGTAGGGGGGGGAGGGTACCCCCCTCCCCCAGAGCCAATCCGAAAAAAAATTCCACAGGTAGGTACCTGTACGTGAAAAAACGAAAAATAAAAATTTTGAAAAATCGGTCCACAGGACCTGTGGACGAAAAAATTTTTTTCGACCTCCCCCCCTCCCCCAGAGAAAATCCGTAGCGACGTCCCTGTGTCATTCAAGTAATTCTGTGCCCCTAACCTCGAAAATTTGCTTTGAAAGGGGCTCAGAATCATTTGAACAACCTAATATATAATAATTGTTTCAATATAGTAGAGTCTTCTTTAGTATTAGGTGGCTGGATGGAAATGACATTGTTTTTGAATATGTAGAATATAAAGGATTGTGTTTTAAGATAATGTCATTTGTATCCTGTCCGCTTGTTTTTATATTACTCACGGTAAAAAATACACCTAATATCATCGGTAAGGTTCACTTGTTGTATTAGGTTTTTCAGATAATTCTGAGCTCCTTCCTAGCCTCTAAAATTTGGTTTGAAAGGGGGCACAGAATTATTTGAACAACCTATTATGTGTAATTGTTTTTGAGCCTTTAAATAACTTGAAAATGCCTAAAGTTCAAATCAAAAATATATTTTTAAAACGCCAAAACTTTATTTATAATTCATTGTTTGTCAGATACGATCAGCTTACAGACCAATGTAAAAACCCTGAGTGAAAAGGAAAGAGTAACAATAAACAATATGATAAAACACTTTCGAAAATACGAAATACCGGGATTGACTCTTAAATAGAATGGCAGAAAACGTACTGTTGAATACAGTATGAGACTAGAAAAATACAGAATGAAAAAAGAAAATAGAGACCGGGAAATATACTTTAAAAGAATAGTATGATACTAGAAAATACAATATGAAAAAGAAGAAAAGAGACCGGAAAAAGTACTGTATAGTACGCGATTAGAAAATACAGTATGAAAAGGAAGAATAGAGACCGGAAACGGTATTTTAAAATAACAGTACGATACTATAAAATACAGTATCAAACTTTTTCTAGTAGATCACTAAAATTGTACTGTAGTACTGTACTAAAAGCTCCTAATCGTTTTACCATTAAAATTGTTTTAGAGTACCGAAAATGATACTTTTTTAAAAACAGTACGTCAGTAGTAGTGCCATACGCAAAAAAGTAAGTAAATAGTACTATTCTCCACAAATACTACCCTAGTGGTACTGCTGTGAGAAAACAGTATCAGGAACAGTATTACATTATCTTTTGTTAAGAAAACTGATTTTACAGTATCAAAAAAAGACACTTTTAAGTACTATAAACCAGTACTGTTGGACTACTATGCAACAGTACTACCTTAATAAAATACTGTAGTAAAACACTAAAATAAGATGAATGCGTCATTGTTGGAACGCGACGACGAGGCTTTGTGTAGAGACTTCGATGACAATGACCCGGTTTCCGATTGGTATTGGGCGTACTGTAACAAATTTTTAGTTTTTTTTAATTTTGAGTATTATTGTACGTATTTTACCATAAAAACAAAGCTTCTTACCGCATCTTCGATCCATTTGAAGATATGAACATTATAAGGTACATAGGGTTGTCGTAGCAATTGTTCCTGTACTTCCAAAAAGCGTTTCAAGTCTTCCAATGTTATTCTTTCTTTACTTGGTCTGAAGGTGGAGAAATTAAAATTGTATTACAATGTTATCCTAGTCTTGGTTGATCTTACTGTAGCCTACACGGCTACTATACCTTACCAATTTTGCTCTTATTCTACCTTCCCTTACCCTAACCTTCTCTACCCTATCTTACAATACACTACCCTTTTCTACAATATCATACTTTATCCTACACTCTTCTACCTTACTCTACCCTACTCTATCTTACCCTACTTTACTCTGCACTACCTACCTTATCCTGAACCGTCTTTATTTACCCTGCCCTACCAAACCCAATAGCAAATCCTTACCGTGTCTTCTTCAAAGCGGCCATGATCTTCATGGCTTCACGAATATCATCACTAACATTGGCGAATCCACGCCTCGCACCTCGTATTTTACGCCCGAAGTAGTGGAGTTTTGTGAATGTGCGCTTCAATGTGCTACTACACAGATCCAAACTGGCAGTAACCACCGCCAACCCAATAATCACATATACGACGACGAAAACGAGGTAGATTTTGTTGCGCACACAAATATTACCCAAAGATATTGTTGTTATTGTGTTGAAGGAGAAGAACAAGCCGTGAATGAAAGACCTGAAGCATGTTGTAGTAGGTTGTCCAAATAGTTCTGTGCCCCTTCTCAAAAAAAAATTTGGGAATAAGGGGCACAGAGTTATTTGAACAATCTAATAGTAATTAATCTTGTCAAAACTTTCATGTCAAGAAAGTCTTGTCGTCAATTTACACTGTCTTGCACGCTCAAAAACGAGAAGACTTTTGTGTCATTCTATTTAGTATCTTTTTTTGGAAAAAATAGAGTAGTATCAGGATTGTCGTATTTTACAATGAAAAACTTACCATATAGGACCCTTTTCCCACCAGTTGAACAACAATGACCCTAACGAACAGTAACTAACTACCAAAGCAAAGTAGCTGACTATCGGAAGTTGTAACCTTTCTTCTTCGTCTTCATCATCTTCTGGATTCCGATTTCGTTTCCTTCTTTCATGATATTTCCTGAAAGATATTATTTTAGATTATCGAAATATCAAAAACTTGATTTTGTTACCTAAAATGTAAAATTTTGTTTTACTATGACGTTTTTCAAATAATTCTGAGCCCTCTAATAACAAAAATTTGCTTTGAGAGAAGCGCAGAATTTTTTGAACGACCTAATAAAATCAACCAACTTTCAATTGTGGTCGATTACCTTACCTAGAATCAATAGAATCATCGTCCACATCCATAATATAATTCCTCATGGCTTCCCACACCTTGCCAATCCATTCATACACAGCCAAACACTTGGCATAACCCCTTATCACCAAATCCGACAAAAACTTTCCGATGTCAGCGGCCGTGATGAACATCAAAGGAATCCCGATCAACCCGTAAAGCACGGTGAAGATACGACCAAGGTCCGTTAATGGCGACAAATGATCGTATCCGGTCGAAGTTATCACTGTCAATGCATATAAAGTGGCGGCAGCAAAGGTCCATTTGGTTGAGAGTCGTTCCTCGTTATCAGTCCACATCTGCTCTTCCCACGTGAATTTGTCGTCGTACTCGTGAGTACGTGATAGTACTGATAGTAAGGGCCGGAGACGGCGTTCTACCTGGAAGGATGTTGTTGATGATAGTAAGAAAAGTGGAAAAAATTGTTGGAAAAAGTGGGAAAATGGGTAAAAAAGTGGAGAAAATGGTTTAAAAAGAGAAAATTCGGTATATTGTTATAGGTTTTTTAGTTTTTTAAAGTCAGAAAAGGTTGTAAATGGCTTTTTATCTAAAGTAATATAATGTAAAGTTACCTACATTGTAAAAGACTAATCTAAAAGTGGAAAAAAAACCAACAAAAAACGAAAAAACAGCCAAAAAGGCCCAAAAAACAACTGCAAAACCAGAAAAAGTGCCATATCTTCCTTGATTTTTAAAATTTTTCAAAAATTTTTAAATTTCAAAATAGCCCAAAATCCTCACATTTGATATATTGGTATGTCCCGCACACATGGTGTAGGTTTCGTTGATAATGCTTCTGTAAATGGCCAGTATTTCCGTGAGTTTTCCTTTCCGTTTCTCCAATTCGTTGTCCGCCTCCAGGAATATGAACATACCGGCACCGAAGCCGATGTATGTGAAGAGTAATATGTTCAGGCCAACGTGTGGAGCTAGGATTTTTAGGGTCTGAAAGTTTTTTCTTTGTAATTTTCTTACATTTGTGAAATTTTAAAATTTCAAAAAAAATTTTTATTTAAAAATACAAAAAAAATTTGAAAAATATTTTAAATTAAAGCCAAAAGAATAAAAACTCAAAAGAATTGACATACTTTGACTATCTTTTCAATAAACGATGTAGGCCCACTCGACGTTCCATCGTTACTTTCACCTTCCTCAACATCACGGTGCAGTGGGAACTCTTCCCATTTTACTCGGCTTACATTTTCTGAAAAATAAAAATTTTTAACGCCAAAAAATTATTTTCAAAATCCATTTTTGAACTGTATTTCTAAAAAAAAATTTTTTTTATTTTTCTTTTTCAATGATTACTATTATTTTTAAAGCAATTTTTTGTCATTTTTGCAATCTTTTTCAAAAATCCAATACGTGCCTTTTATAAAGCATGAAAAATAGTATGTAAACCTACAGTGTCATGCTCTAATCTAGATTTTAAAAAAAGTTATGCTTTATTAAATATGTTTAAAATCTGAAAATGTTCGATCCAGCTTGGAAACATAGCGTTTTTTGAACTTTAAAAGCTTGTAACTCTTTTACCATAGTAGGTATAGTAGCAAAACTTTGTTAAAATATACACTTTTCTATGCTTTACAAATGGCATGTAATCAATTTTTATTTTTTAACCTGCCTTCTTAGCATTACTGTAAAAACATTAATAATATCAATTTTTTGGGCCTAAAGTATGTTGTATTAAATTTTTCAAATAATTCTGTGCCCTTCTCAAAACAAATTTTCTGGACTATAAAGCCCATAATTATTTGAACAACCTAATAAATTTATTTTAATTTCCGTGAATCTTCTTTATACATGTATGAACTTCAATAGTGTGTCATCCTCTTCATAATGACCAACTATCAACGCCAAAAACTTCAAAACCACCCCCATACCAGACTAATTTGTTTTTCGAACATTTTGAAACCCTGCTGAATTGTTTTGACCTAAAGCCCTGTCTCTGATTGTAATCCATCACTCGATTGGGACAACAATAAATCCCCAAAAATTGTGAAATGGTCAGAAAACCAGCTGTCAGCAAGAGAAACAAACGTTCGCAATGTGTCTGCTAAATAAATTATTGACATAATGCTTGTACATTTGTTTTTGAGGGACGGATTCTAGTACGAATCTGACATTTTTTTCGATTTTAATAGACATTTTTGCATATTTCAGGTTTTCGTGGCGGGACCCGAGATCTAAGATTAAATATTTAAAAAATGACAGAAAAGCAACATTGTTATTAAAAAAGTCATTTTAAGAATAGATTTTACATTTTTCTCTTTCTTCCGCCTTACTTTCTATTTTTAAAGTTTTCGTGGTGAGACCCAAAACAAACTTTAAATTTTACAAAAATTACTGTCCACTTTTGTCTTATAATTGCATCCCATTTACAATACACCGTATTTTACAATAATTTCCAAAATTATCATAAAAATTTTAAAAATATTCAATTTTTATCCCTACCATAACCAGAGTAAAGTGACGAAGGCCTAGATTCGGATGAATCTCGATTTAATGGTGGTGGTGCTGGCGGTATAATACTTTGAAACCGAAAATTTATTGAAGGCGAAGTCAACCTCCGTAGTGTGTTGTAGGCCCCGGTCGACCCCATAATACATAAGGGATTTGGCCTATATTATGTTATAGTAGGTATGAATGTATCGAAAAAATGTTTTGTCGCGTAAAAGGTAAGAGTAAGGTAAAAACTGACACAAATTGTGAAAGCTGTAGCGATTTTAAGTTGGGTCAACGAAAATTTCAAAAAATTTGCAATTTGAAAAATTTTGTGAAAGAGTTCTCCCTGCCAATTGTTTTATTAGGTAAAAACAGGAGGAGAATTAGTGTTGAAATGAAACCAAAGATCAAACTAGAGTTGTACTAACGCTTAGATCATGGCTATGGCTAGAGATAAAGCTGTGCCAGCTAAGACTAGGGCTAGGACTAGACTAAAGCAAATTTTAAAAATTTCATAAAAATCAACCCAAAACCTTAACCTTCATACAACTATGTAAAGCATGACAAATGTTGCCAAATTCAAGCTAAAAGTCATCCCCAAACCCGTTGGCACCTGCCGCAATTAAAACCACCTTCATTTCAATAAAACCCCGCCGACCCGCGACCTGCCAAAACCCGCCCGAAATCAGGCGGCAAGGGGGGTCAGAAATGAGGAGCTTAATTAGCCGTTGGATCAGAAAAACGGGCTGCCCGGCTGGTCACAAAAACCAATTGTTTCGAGGGCTGTATATCTTGGCTTTTCGTCCTCCGTCTTTTTTTCACCCCGCCAACAATAGCCCTGCTTTCTTTTTGATTTGATGTTCACGGTTAATGAGCATGGGCCGAGGAAGGGCGGGTTACTTATCACGGCTTTGTTTCGCATTTTTAAACTTTTTTGGCGGGATTTGAAGGCTGAAAATAGCCAGAAGGGGGTTGGAAATAGAAGCAAGCGCTTATAGTTGAAAAAAAGTTTAGGCTTAGTGAGTCGCATAAGGAATAGTATATTAAGCCTAGTATATAATGCAAAGAATTTTTTTAATAAAAGCAAGGAAAGCCAAAAAACGGTATTAAAGCTTAGTAATTATTGTAAGAAAATCTGTTTTAGGCCTAGTAACTAAGGTTAAAAAAACACTGTTTTAAGCCTATTAAGTAAAGCTGAAACAACGTTTTTAAGCCTAGTAAGTATAGCTGAAATTTTTTTTAAAAGTCTTAACTATTAGTATAATAAAGTGTGTTTTAAGCCTAATAGTTGGCATTAAAAAACCCTGTCCTAAGCCTAATAGTCAACTTAAAAGAATTGTTTTAGACTTGTTACCTCGGGCTAAATAAAGGTTTTTAAGCTTAATATGTAAAATAATAAAGATAATTTCATACGTAATCGCTAGTTTCTAAAAAAATCTGTTTTAAGCCTAGTAAGCAGGCTTGGACGTATGGCCAAGGCCCATTTTCACTATCAGTTACAGGGCCGGGCAGGGCCCGAAACCTAAAAGCCCTGCACCGAGCAAGGCTCAAGCGGGCCCGTGGCCAGGGCCGAAAATTGAGTCATGCCCTAAGTCCAAGCCTGCTAGTAAGCCCAGTAAAAAAAGTTGTTTTACGCTTACTAAGTCAGGCTAAGTAAAGAATTTTCAAGCTGAATGAATTGACTAACAAGGAGTGTTTAATGCCTAAGTAAAAACCTAATAAAAGGTGTTTAAAGCCTAGTAAAGGCTATTCTTAAGCCTAATATTTCAAATTAGAAAGACCTTTTTACGCCTAAAAAGATATCAGTAAACCATTTTTTTAAGCCTTATTGATGGTATTCAAAAGCCATTTCTTAGGCCTAACAAGCAATATTAAAAATCTCATTTTTAACCTGATACCTAAGATTACAAAAATGCCTTTAAGCATATAACAAACTCTCAAAAAATATTCAAATTTATGCAAAACTCCATCCTAAACATATAGCAAAGCCCCAACTCTTCCTGCAAAACATTTGAGAAAAGTTGTTTTAATCCAGGAATCCCCAAAAGTACCTTCTTCCCACGCCAATTAGTTGCATTAAAGTTTCGGGGCCATAAAGTGGCCTTTCAAACGCATTAAGACTCTCCTGAATCCATAATCCGCCAGATTATGCTAAACATGTTGAACATGAGTTGTGTTAAGACTGATTTATGGGGTTCAAGCTTTATTTAAAATTGAGTTTTATATTTTTAAATTTTTTGTTTAAAATCTTTTTTGTTAATTTTTATTTAATTTTAATTTTTTTTCATTTTTCTCAATTTTAAAACCCGGTCTGGCATAAAAGTACATATTAGGTTGTTCAAAAAATAATGAGCTATGAAACAAATATCATAAAATGTATGTTTTGCAACAAATAGTTGCTGTTGTTGCCCAAAAAAAATTTTCTGATATAAAGCTCAGTAGCTCATTACTTTTTGAACAACTTAATAAATGTCCAAAAAATTTAAAATTTCAAAAAAGATTATGCTGCTTTATTCAAGTGTTTGAAGTTTAAAAATAGATAAAACAAACAAAAACATAAAGTTTTGAGTTCTTGTTGACATTTCCAAAATAAACTCCATTAGTGCTGAGAAAAGGCTAATAGTAACAAAAAACTAAAGTAAGTTCATCTTTTGAATTTTTAAATTTAAAATAAACGTCATTTTATTGGCTTTTAGCATGTTTCCTAATCAAAATTTATAAATTTTATGCTTTGGATAAAAAATTATGATCAGGGCTAGCGCTAGATAACTTAAAGCTAGGGATATCTTAACTCTTTTAGAAATAAGGCGTTTTTTTCAAAAATTTTTAAAAAATTAAATTTTTTAATGTGGAATTAAAAAAAATTATATATTGTTTTAAAAATTAAAAAAAAACTTTGCTTTTTTGTCATAGCTCATTACTTTTTGAAGAACAATATTTTTGAAAAAAGCGTTTTTAAACAGAAGTATAAAGGTTGTTAAAGTAATTCTGTGCTTCTTCTCAAAAACTAATTTCAAAGTTAAGGGGCACAGAATTATTTGAACAACCTAATACTTTCAAAAAAAAATTTTTTTTAAACACAAGTATTATAAGTTGTTCAACTAATTCTGTGTTCCCTCTCAAAAAAATTTTTTTAAATTTAAGGGGCACATAATTATTTGAACAACCCAATACCTTCATATCTCTTTACAAAACTTTTAAAAACCTCAACTTACCGAACGAATCGGCGTGCTTGATGGAGTCGGTGTGGTCGGGCTGATGGACGGAAGCGTGTCGGATCAGCTGGAACGCGACATTAGCCCCGGACGAACCCATTGATTAACCGCGAACTATGCTGGTGGCCCGCTGTCGTGCCGGCATCCGCCACGCCCATCCAGTTGAGCCTCGGGTTACCGTAGTCGCGTCGTATTGCCACAGTAATGGGGCTGGGTATTCCGGGCGGCGGGGCGTTGATTGAATTAAAACGCCGCAGGGAACGGGTTATTGCACGCTTAATTAATTCGATTAGTATATTGTTATGGATAATATCTATAACGGAAGATTTGGCCTCGGGGGTTATATTAAGGATGGGATTGAAGACGAATGTACAGATGGGTCGATTTGAAATGGTCCGACAATATATTATGGCAAATAAACAAAATTTTAGATAATATTTCTATAAAAAACCCCAAAGCCATTTTTTATAGACTATATTACAAGAATATATACATATATATTGAGCCTTGTGACAATACAAATTCAATTATAACATTTTTACCACTCAAATTCCTCAAATAACCCATAAACCTCCCTGAACGCATTCGAAATGTCATCAATAATACTTCAACAATTTAAAACATTCCAAACTCCGCAATGCCAATATTATAGTAACAACAACAACGTTTTCATCATAGAAAAAATTAAATTGGCACGGAAGTTATAGTAACACCACCAAAAGCTTCTACGTGGGTTCGAAATAAATAGTCCTAGTAAGATATGTAAGCTACATAGATAAGTAGTTTTCAATAAATAGAATGAGTTATATATAAACATATTACTAGAGGGCATTTCTTCACGTGGGTTTATTTTTATAGCATAATGTAACAAGTTTGTTAAGAAGTATAAGAGTACTACAAAAATAAGCAGGGCTAGCTGGAAAAGTAAAAAAAAATTTTAGTTCGAAATCATTTTGAAAAATTAAAAAAATGGAAATCAAGATTATCCGCCTCTTAAAAATAGTTTTTTTTAATTCAGAGCATTCACAGAAAATTTTAATAAACTAAAAATGTATCCCTACTTATCATTAAACAAATTTTTTAGCCATTACAATTCAAAAAAACATGATAAAAAATGAAATTGCCTGCAGTAAAATCACATTTTTCACTACAATTTCAAAGCTTTTGATCAAAGTTTGACAATAAATTCAGTTTTAAGTCAAAATTGATATATCTCCGCGACGGCTACCATGGACGTCAAAAATTTTCGACCAATGCCGTAACTCGCTTCAAACTTATGTAATGTAGACGCTTTGTTAAACAAAAACTTTAACTTACTAAAGTTTAATACGCTATCTATAATATTTATATTTTTTAACTAATTCTCAACCCAAAATTGACAAAAAAAATTTCAACTGAAAATACGTATATTTCAGGATAAATTTGCGTTTTTTCAAAAATTCAAAACAAAAATATGCACTTAAAAAATTCAAAATTTTGCGAAAAAAACATATGGGGCCATACTCTCACGGTGCTAAGCTTAGCATGATTTGCATTTTTTTCATAATATTTATATGATAACTAGTTACTCTCTCACATTTTTCTTGGAACACCCTATCGACTTGTTTACCTCCAACACCCACAAACAATAATATCCACTGACCGTACGCTGACACTTTCAATAAAACCCCAGACCGCTGACAATTCCCAATCATGTAACCTGAACCCCCTTAACCACTCCCAAAATAATGACCAACCCCTTCCGAAAACCCGCTGCCGTAGGGTTCTTAAACATTTTTTGCAAAATTAACCCCGCCAAACGAAAATCTCGGGGGTCAAAAAGAATATAAAGGATATACATATATTGTCGGAAGCGGACAGTCATTTGGCCATTTGTCTCCAGAGGCCCGCAATGGAGAGGTCATATCCGTGATGGCTCCGTTGTCAACCATCCAACCTTCTCCAGCGTGTTTTTTGCGGCCGCTTGTCGGCCCCAACCCTCTACCATGAACTTGAACGAGCGTATAAAGTAACAATTTGCAACATACATATCAAAAGTCGGGGTTCGAAAGTTTTGGCACTTGTAATTTTTTTGAATTCGCTATTTCAAATTTTTAAAACTAAAAATTCTTGGTATTTAGATTAAATTTGTGTCGTTTTAACACACCGCATGGAGAAAACATCCTCAAGGCTAACAAAAGGTATGCCGTTCCAAAAACTATTTTCCCCCAACAATTTAATAATAAAAATTTTCAAAATTCTCAAAAAAAACCCTAATCCAGAATATAATCGGTAAAAGTTTATATAAATCACCGTCAACACAACATAATGTTATTTTTTGAAAATGAAAAAAAGTGTTAAATAAATCATCGTGTGCTTCACCTGAAGATAAATAAATGACCATTTTGAGCACTGGACCTTTCTGAATCCGTATGTTTCGTATTTAAAGCTTCTGAATCACTGTTATTCTGTTCTAAGCCTTTTGTATCCATTCTATGCCGTTCCAAGCCTTCTGAATCCATATTATCCTGTTCAAAGCCTTCTAAATCTACATTACTTTGCTTGAGGCCTTCACCATCCATGTTATCCTGCTTTAAGTCTTCTGAGTCAGCCTTAATTGAGCTTTGACCTCTTGAACATTCATTATTCTTTGCTTGAAATTCTGAATCCATATTATTCGTTGTAGAACCGTTTGAAGCGTCATCTGATGTACCAGACTCCATACATTTCGTTTTTAAAGTTTCTGAATTGCCTTTATTCTGTTTTAAACCTTCTGAATCCATGACATTCTGTTTCAAATCTTCTGAAACACCATTAATCAAATTTTGATCTTCAGAATCCTTATTATTCGTTGTAGAACCATTTGAAACATCATCTGGCTTTCCAGCATCCGTATCTGTCGCTTCTGAATTTCCGTTATTCTGAGTTAATTCTTCTGAATCCGTATACATCGTTCTTAAAGCTTCTGAAACACCTTCATTCTGTTTTAAGTCTTCTGAATCCATGCCATTCAGTTTCAGATCTTCCAAATCCTCATTACTCAACCCTTGACCATCTGAGTCGTTTTTGTTTTGCTTTAGACCTTCTGAAACAGTATTATTCGTTGTAGAACCATTTGAGACATCCTCAGGTCTTCCATAATCCATTCTTTTCGTTTTTAAAATTTCTGAATCACCGTTACTCTGTTTTGCTTCTCCTGACTCCTTGACGTCCTGTTTTACGCCTTCAGAATCTATTTTTGTTTGCTCAAGGCCTTCTGAATCCATGCAGTACTGCTTTAGGTCTTCTGAATCCCCGTTACTTGTACATTGACCTTCTGAATTCTTTTTGTCTGGCTTTAGACGTTCTGAAGCAATATTGCTCTTCTTAAAGCCTTCTGAATCCATTATATTCTGTTCTAAATCTTCTGAATCACTGTTAACGTAACTTCGACCTTCTGTACACACATCATTCCTTTCTTGGCCTTCTAAATCTTTATTATTCATTGTTGAACCATCCGAAACATCACTTGACCTTCCAGAATCCTTATTTTTTGTTTTTAAACCTTCTGAATCACCTTTTATCTGTTGACGGCCTTTCCTACTACCATTCACTGCCATATTACCATCTCTTTTCCTCATTACTTCCATTCCTTTCTTTATTTTCAAATCATCTTCACGTTCCTCTTCAATTAAGTCAAATGTGCCACTTCTACTTGGATACAATTCCCCAACATACGGCCTCAATTCTTTGTAGACTTCTGCAGGACATAGCGGTGAATCTATTTTAGGTAGATCAGGTATTCCCAATTCTTTTTTGATAAATTTGTCAAAAGGTGCCAGCCCTTTCAGGTATTCATCTGGAGTTCGGTTTCTTTTCAAGGTATTCTTCCTGACACCATCCAATTTCTGAATTGGTGGTCTTGATAAAGAGGACATTGAAGTAGACGGAAGATCATGTGATGAAGTTTGAGTTGATTGTGCTGTCCATGAAACACGAGATGAAGACTCTGTGGCTCGTAATACTTCTCGTAGTCGTTCTGGGACTAAAATGAGGGTTTTATTATTCAGTATAATAAAAAAGATCAAAAAGTGTATTTAAAAGCCTACATTAACTTAATTTTTTATAAAGAACTTTAAAAAATCTAAAAACAAACAAAAATGAACAAATCGAAACATACCAAAAACTTTTGAAGGTAATGAGATCAATTTAGCAGTTGCCACTCTTTGTTTATTACAAAACGAATTGTAGTATCGTTCAACTTTGTCCTTGTTATCAATAGAAGATGCTGCAAAGTCAGTGACACTATGTGGAATCCTTTTCAATTGATTTTTAAAGTCATTTGAGAAGAATGGTACTGATGTCCTTACCCAAGACAAAGATGAGTTGTACGATGGATTTAGGCTGTAATAAAGACAAGTAATTATAGGTTGAATTAAAGAAACAGTAGAAGAAATAGTTTACATCAGATTTTAAGCTTTTCAAAAGATTAAGTTCAGAAAAGCTTTGCAGACAATAATATGTACCATAACTTACCATTGACAAACTGCACTTAAGTTTCCATCGTGAATTGCATTGTAAGTCATTTGAGAACAATCATCATGAGATACACTAAAAGCATAAGAAAATAACTTAAATTAACTTACAATAAAGCTGAACGCAAGTGATCAAGCAACACCTCTTTATACAAAGTTAAGGGACCTTGTGCTCTGAACGCTCTGATCACCGCATTTAATGCATCGTGCTCTGAAATAAAGTCAATGTTAAATTTTAAAGTTATTATTGAGCTTTTAAACAATCAATTTCACTATACCCAAGCAGAACCGTGTTATAGAAGATAAACAATTCATATTCCAAGTAAAACAACAAAGAAAACATAGCAAGAAAGTCTTACCTAGCGTGTGAAGCCGGTCGGCACTTTCATGAAAGTCCAGCGCTTCTGAAGCCGCAGCCATAGCGTAATAAAAGCAAATAAACAACAATAATATCCGCTCCTGTTTGGTTATGTCATTTCTGAAAGAAAAGTAATAAATATTTAAAAAGTTGCCAAAAAATCGTTGTAAGAAAACGCAAGTAATGTTTTAATCACGTAAATATACAAGAGAAAAACAAGAATTGCTTATAAACAGCGATCTTCGGACATCCTATCGATTTAGTAGGATAATAGTGGAAAAATCGATTATTCCCGAAGAAAAACAGAAAATCAAAACTTTGAAATGAACCATACAGCAAAATAATGCATCTACCACGATGGAACAATATTAAAATTTCCCTAATTCTAATAAAATTTCATAAATTTGACCAAAACATCAATACTCGTTGATATCATAAATAATATAGCAAATAACTCCGCAAGAATTAAACAACACAACTGTCAAACTAGCCAAAGCATCACAAAAAAATCATAAAAAAACTAAAAAAATAATTTTTGTATTGTTCTCAAGACGTAATTAGGCCCTACGGCAACAACTTTCACAACAACGATAACTGCCAGTACCTTTGCCGTGAAATAAAACTTTTTCATGCGTTAAACAAAAACATTGTTTAAAGACGTAATTAACAAGCAAAACCATAATGTTTTACAGCTTTTTACTCAAATTCAGCTTCTTATTGAGTCTATTCTGCATGTTCTGACCAAATCCATCTACACGGTCAACCCAATAAAACACCAAAACTCATTTAATTTATAAGACCTTCTGAATTCCATCTAAATAAGACAAAAAAGTAAAGAAAAAGTTACCAACGACCATAAACCTGCTCCGGACACTCATAAAAAATCGAACATTCGCTTCTGAAGGTGGTTGCAGCCTCCCGGAATCTCCGTATATCTTTTTCTTTTTTTTGCAGCGGAATGCCAAACAAAATGTTCGTTCAAAAGCGCGCAAATTGAAGTTCAGGCGCGCTGAGTGTTAGCCTATTCGTTTTTTCTTTTCGGTAAAAATAATTTTTTCGGATTTTTGTTTCGCCCTTGGATTGGTGAACAATGAGGTAAGTATTTTTGTGTTTTTTTTGTTTTTAGTGCTAAATAGTACCGTTGACGTTATTGCTGATAATGAGGGGTGTGACTTTTGTGAATTTTGATGGAAAATTGGGTATTTTAGCTTGAAAATTAGCGGAGATAAGATGGCTTTAAGGATGTGTTTTTAACTGGATTTCGTTATCCAGGATTATAGTAAAGTAATAAACAAAGTTTTAGTTATTGATTTTTGTCTTAATTGTTATAATAGGTTTGTGTAAACATAACTCTTGTTGTTTTATATTATTTTTTGTTAGGTTTTACAATTTTCTCGCTATTTTTGGATAGGTTTGAGAAGACATTAACTTATAACAACTATTATAATGCAGTATAAGTAAAAAAGATGTAGAGTATAGGGTAGAACACTTTACTTCTACAATATTTTACTTATTGAAATGTTAATATTGTGTTTTTTTAGTAATCTTCGGCTACAAAAGCGTTTGGCCTCCGAGGTCTTGAAGTGCGGTAAGGGAAAGATCTGGTTGGATCCCAATGAGGTTTCCGAGATCTCCAACGCCAACTCCAGACAAAACATCCGCCGTTTGGTTAAGGATGGTCTGATCATTCAGAAGCCCAACAAGGTGCACTCCCGCTTCCGTGCTCGCGAAAAGGCTGCTGCTCGTGCTAAGGTAGGTTTATTTATTGTTTTGGGTTTTTAAGTATGAAGTGAAATTTTTGAAACTAAAACAACATTTTTATTGTGGTTTTTTGAAAGTTAGGCTAGTATGGCCTATTTTGGGAATTTTTTCGAGTAATGTTGGTTATAATTGACAAATACACTGCTTTTTCACTGAAAAAAGGTTAAACTGGTGTTTTATAAGTTTGTTTTTCTCGATTTCATAATATGTTTATAATGTTTATCTATGTTGTTTTAGGGACGTCACACTGGTTTCGGTAAGAGAAAGGGTACCAAGAACGCCCGTATGCCTGAAAAGGTACTATGGATGAGGAGAATCAGAATCTTGAGACATTTGTTGAAGAAGTACCGTGATGCCAAGAAGATTGACAAGCACTTGTAAGTTTTATTTAAATTCTTGTTAAAATAGACAAAAATTTTTGATATTTCGAAGAAAATATTGTAATAACAATGTTTTTTATCTATAATTGTTTTTTTATTGTAACTTGGCTGAAATATTGTAAAAATGATGTTTCACTGTTTTTCAGGGAATAATTTATATTTTTGCGAAATCCAACTGTTTTTATTTTTTTTAACTCTTCTATTACAGGTACCACGACCTCTACCTTAAATGCAAGGGTAACACCTTCAAGAACAAGAGAAACTTGATGGAATACATCTTCAAGAAGAAGTCCGAGAACGCCCGCTCCAAACAACTCTCCGAGCAAGCCGATGCCCGTCGTGCCAAGAACAAGGAGATGCGCAAACGACGAGAGGAACGTCTTGTCATCAAGAGAAAGGAGTTGCTGCGCAAGATTTCGGAGAGCGAGAAGGACCCAAAGAAGACCGAGAAATAAGTTTTCTGTTGTTAATATCGCGATTCTTGTTGGTTTCTGGGAAATGTTATATGAAGTTTTTTTGTTATTTGATTTTGTCGGATTTTATTGCTGATATAAGTATTATCTATAATAATATATTATATTTAACATTAAAAGCTTTAAAATGTGAGTTGAAGTTTGAGAGTGTGATATAGTCACAAGAACGGTTGTTTTTTCTCCATGTTCTTACATATGTCGTTAAGTTATCGAATAACTAGTAATGGTTATCGTGACTTCTGGCGTCGCTAGGTTATTTCCTCAACTTCATGAACTTCTTCTTGTTCAGGTGGATCTTCAACTTGTTCTTCAGGCTCTGTTTGTTCCACGGTCGGCGGTGGTGGTAGTGGTATTTCGGGCAGTTTCTGAGGTTTCTTTTCTTCAAAGTGAGGTAATGGGAATTCTGATATACGAGAAATTGTAGCTGGATTCACATCGTATCCATACTTTTTGACATCTTTGAGGACGACGTTAAAAGTGACTGTTATTAGGCCTTGTGTTGATACTCGGGTTACTGAAAAGTAATGTGTTACACAGTTACGAATCTTTATTATAGAATATTAGTTTTTGTAAGCTAGCACTTAATTTTCATGATTAGTTGTGTGACTTACTTTCCCTTCCTTGAGACATGGACACGATCCTACTATCAACGAATTCAGCTCTTCTTCCTGTAAAAAATGACATTATTCTTTGTGTGGTTGTTGAAGCTTGTGGAACGAATATGGCGATTGATCGTTGTGTTCTGAAACTCGAATGTCATATTGATTAATACTGTATGAAACAGAATGTTCATTAACTTTTTTTAATAAGCTTGGTAATCTAAATAAAGATCTTACCTCCCGGGTGCAGTCGGAATGAAAGTGGCGCCATAGCCGCGGATTACATCGTTTCCGAACATGTCATGGCCATAGCAACTAATTATGAGTTGGGGCCCTAAATAAGGTCAACGTCATTTCATAACGAGATTTTTTATCTTGAATGAAGTTCTTTTACGAACTCTGTAGTAAAAAATAAATAGCCTAAATATATAATAATGTCCTAAAAAGAATGGCGCTATCTATATAACGTCGTAAAAAGAATGGCAAGCAAAGTGAATATAGTCTCCTACATTTAAAAGGGTTAGTGGAGCTAAAAGTGGCTTCTATTGGGGTGTTGATAGAGATATGTTGAGTTTGCTGGCCTTTTTCGCAACTTGGGCTTAAGCCTTCTTCAACTCCACTGATAAACTTCCAATCCGGGCCATAAACATAGTTGTACTTGCAGTACAAGGAGTTTATCTCTGGGAACTAAAAGCATATTTTTCTTTTACAAACTGCTATATTAATACAAGTTTTAGTGAAAACTTTTAAAATTCAAAAAATTAAAAAAAAAATTTTTTTTTATTTTTTCATGCCGTTTGGCATAAAATAAAAACTTGACAAAACTCACGACAGCCTTTTCGATTTCGCCTGTAACAAGTACAATAAAGGAGGACTTTTCCGTTCGCTCAGCGGTCATTCCATTCGCCGCTGGCTATAACATAGTGGACACCCGATATGACACACGAAAGCTGTTTCCAGAAATAGTCATGGCAACCGGTGGGGGAAAGATCAAAAAAGTCGGTTTTTTGGGAAATTGCCTAAAGGTATCTTTGCGGAAAGTGTTTTCTGGGGTAGGGTGGGGTGTGGTAGGGTACGATATGTAGGGTAGGGTAAGATGAGAGAGTGTAGGTTTGGGTAGGTAGGGTAGGGTAAGAAAAGGATATTTTAGGGTAGAGTAGGGTGGTGTATTGTCAGGTAGATGTCAAGCTATCTAGGCTAGAAGGTAGAGTAGAGGGGCGTATGGCAGGGTTGGGTAGGGTAGACTACGGTGGGTTAGACCAGAGTAAAGTGGGGTAAATTTATGTAGGGGACAGGGTATAATAACGCAAAGAAGGGAAGATAACGCTAGTTTAGGCTCTTCTAGAGCAAGATATTGCTTTTTTTGTGAACGAGTCCTCTTGCTTTCCTACTATTTAAAGCCTTATTTCATAACTTCTTTTAAAGTTTATGACATACATTATCGACCACTCAAAACATAAACCATTAAACATCACAAGTGATTGCTGTAACTGATGCTTTAGTGACTAACAGCCTACAACAACATCAATTATCACGAAAAATCCGAAACGCGTGTCGACCGAAGACCGAGAACTGGGAAAATGGCCTTGAAACAAAAACTTGAAACCTTTTAAGTTGTCATAAGAAGGTTGGTGGTTGTGAGGCGCAGGAACCTCGTGTTTCTGCTTCAAAAGTTGTTATAGATAACGCTCGGAACTAACTTATTTTAAATTATTTGTATTCGAAATGAAGTTCGATTCCTTGTTCATGGAGAAGGCCATCGAGGAGGGTTGTAACGGAGTCGCCGCTGATGATGGAGGACCGTTTGGGGCTGTCGTTGTCAACAAGGATGGACTTGTGGTCACTGCTCATAACATGGTAAATTTTGTTTTGTTTTTTGGGAGGGGCGGTTTTTAGATAAGGTAGCAAAAGCTTGATAAGGGCATGGTAAAGAAGGGTCGAGCAGAGAAAAGCAGACTTTAGAAGGGCAGGATAGAGAAAGACAAGTTTGATAATGGCAGGGTAACGAAGGGCACACTTGATAAAGGCAGAGAGTAGGCTTGAGAAGGATAGGGCAGAGAAGGAAAGGCTTGATAAAGACAGGACAGAAAAAGGCAGGGTAGGGAAGGACAGGCTTGAGCAGTGTAGGGTAGGGAATTATAGGGTAGAGTAGGGTAGGGTAGGGTAGAGTAGGGTAGGGTAGGGTAGGGTAGGGTAGGGTAGGGTAGGGTAGGGTGGGGTAGGGTAGGGTAGGGAAGGGTAGGGTAGGGAAGGGTAGGGTGAAAAATGTTGCTTCTAATGATACCTCTACTATACTGTAGTTTTTAAAATTAAAAAAAAAACTACGTTCAGGTCCTAAAAACCAATGACCCAACAGCACATGCCGAAGTTACAGCAATAAGGTTTGCTAGTAAAAAGTTGGGCCGCTTTGATTTGAGCGATTGCACCTTATATACATCATGTTACCCATGCCCAATGTGTTTGGGAGCTATTTTATGGGCGGGAATCAAGAACGTTTACTATGCTGGCACTTCTATTGATGTAGGTTTATATTTTTTAATGGTTAGGGTACGGTAAGATATAGTAGGGTAAAATACGGTAGGGTAATGTTGGGTAGGGTAGAGAGCAGAGCAGTGAGGGGCAGAGGAGGGCAGGGCAGGGCAAGGCAAGGCAAGGCAAGGCAAGGCAAGGCAAGGCAAGGCAAGGCAAGGCAAGGCAAGGCAAGGCAAGGCAAGGCAAGGCAAGGCAAGGCAAGGCAAGGCAAGGCAAGGCAAGGCAAGGCAAGGCAAGGCAAGGCAAGGCAAGGAAAGGCAAGGCCAGGCCAGGCAAGACAAGGCAAGGCAAGGCAAGGCCAGGCAAGGCAAGGCAAGACAAGGCAAGGCAAGGCAAGGCAAGGCAAGACAAGACAAGGCAAGGCATGACAAAGTAGAGCAGGATAGGGTAGCATTTTGAGAGTCAAAAAAGTTTTGTCGTTTTTTACCATTGAAAACAATACAAATTGACGACAAGACTTTTTTTACCTTTTAAAATGAAAAAACTGATAAGAATATAATAAAAAATAAATTTCAGGCTGAAAACGCTGGATTTGGAGACCAAATCTACCACGATTTCCTGAAAAACCCGGAGAAAGGAACACTGACCAAGCTGAACAAGGTGGAGATTGATAACAGACTAAAGCCTTTCGAAACGTGGAAGGTGCATGACAACAAAAAGTTGTATTAATTATGTTTTGTAATGCTAAAAATAAGTTTTTCGTTTATACTAATCTTGTTAACTATATGTTATAAGGGGTCTATTGTACAATAAATGCGATCGGTTATTGTGGTGGGTATGTTACTATAGTATAATAAATACTATTTTGTTCAAATAATTCTGTGCCTCTTTTCAAAGCAATTTTGTTGAGGTTAGGGGCGCATAGTTATTTGCGCAATTTAATAGTATAAACTATGTATATACCATGTTTCTATAGTAAAATATATATATATGACGTTACTATTACACAATATACATACCTAACCATACATTTAAAATTGTATTTTGTAGAACATAGTACTATACAAAAAGTTACATCTACCATCAGTGTTTTGCCCGGACCGGTCCGGAGCGTTTTTCACCGGTCCGGTCCGGCGATTTTTTGGGTCCGGTCCGGTCCGCAAAAAAATTTTTTTAATTTTTAAAAAAAGCAAGGATCGCTAACACTGCTTTCTTTTTGCTTAAAAACTCCTAAAAGTATGTTTTATTTGCAATTTTTAAAACAGTTTTCTTACAATAAAAAAAAAAATTTTCTTCCGGACCGGTCCGGAGCTTTTTCTTCGGTCCGGGTCCGCAGGTTTTTGGGTCCGGCCCGGTCCGCAAAAATTTCTGTTTCGGTCCGTCCGGCAAAACACTGTCTACCATAAAATAAAAAAGTTTATTTCACAAACTTTTCCAAATAAGTTATATTGAACCATCTACAATAATATAATTTTAAACATAAAATACGAGATCACAAAATGTTTCCATTGACAAAATATTTTAAAAATAAGGCTGGCATTCCATGTTCTTTACAAAACATACCAATCTAGGCTTGCAGTATCATTATATAAACAAAGAATGGCGTTTTTCGCCAAAATTGGTACCAAATTGAGGATGAGATGGGATTTCGCTACTGACTGCTCGGAGTTTCTGAAATAACTATGTCACGTTCTAACATAGCTTTTAGAAAACTGATGTGTTATCAATAAATTTCAGAAACCAAGTTTAAACCTAAGGAAGACCAATATAAAGCAAAAAATTATATTATCATAGACATCAAGAGAATGAAATAGTGATTTCTGCCATTTTTAAATAACATAAACACATGGTTTGTAATTTTTTATACAAGGACAGTTATCAAAGTATGATGAAAAGTCAAAAAAATAAAAAATCAACAAAACTAAAACTATATTACCATAGAAATCAAAGATAGACCAACAGAATAACGATTTTTGCCATTTTCTAATGACATAAGAACACTATTTGTAATTTGTTACACAAGGATAGATATCAAGGAGTCATAAAAAATTTAAAAAATTGAAAACTGAACAAAAATCCAACAAATAAAGCTAAAATTATATTACCACAGACATCAGATGTTCAGTGTAACATGATTTTTCTCCTGTTAGCCAAAGGTTTCAAAAAACAGATTTAAATTATACTTTCAAACATTGTCAATATTGAAAAGGCAAACGACACTACAAAACACATTGAGATCGACAAGAACAAGCTCGTACTAGACATCAAAGAGTCATGTGTAATATAATTAAAAAAAATTAAAGCCAAATACGTTTGAAGTATAAAAATTTTTGCAGCACTAAAAAATAAAGGTACGTGACAAGACTTTCTTATATATTCACCTATCTTAATAATAAATCAACTTTAACCCAACTAAACCCTCACTTACACTCCTAGTAGTATCCCTCGTCAACGCCGCTGTCTGACCAATCTTCTCTTTGCCACTTTGATAGTGTACCCAGGTCACAGCCACCATAACCACCAACTCCACAATACCAATAAACTCAAACATGAAGCCAGGCCGCCACGTCACAGTCCATTTGTATATATTGTTGTAGACCAGATTAGTGATAATGAATGCCAAATCGGCCGCAATGCCAAATAAAGTGAAGGCTCGGCCAATCTCATCAGCCGGTACCAACTGTACTATAAATGAAACGACTGCTGGTTGTACCATTTCCGAGAATATTCCAACAGCATTGGCTATATACATGTGCCAGGTTTCTGTGGCTAGTCCAATGCCCAGTGAGCGGAGAGCACTTGATAGAACTCCGATGATCATGATGGTTGTTTCACGGAATTTAAATACCTTTTTGAATAATGGCAAGAAGACAAAAGTGCCAATGAATACTAAAATGATATATTATAGTACGAGGTTGAGTACGAGTACAGGATAGTACTGTTTTATAATTTTTGTAAAATAGGAAGCTCTGACAATAAAAGTACAGTGCAATACTATATAGTACGTATGTGAAAAAAAGTTAAGTACAGTACAGTACTAGATAGTACGTATGCCGAAAATAAGTACTGTGCAATACAAAATAGTATGCATGTTAAAAAAAACAGTACAGTACTATATATTACGTATGACAAAAAAAGCACCGTTCAATACTATATAGTATGTACTCTAAAAACGTGCAGTACAATATTATGTAGTACGTATCCTAAAAAGCATTTTTTATTTTCATAGTACTAAAATTTTAGTTTTTGTATATAGTATAATACTTACCAACAAAATAACCCATAGCATTCCAGATACCCAAATGAAAAGCGTCCCACTTGAGGCCATTTCTTCGAAAAACGTACCGGTTGAGTAATGGACCTGCAAATTGTTTATAATTTAAGCAAAATGTCATTTTTCCAATACCAAGTTAACGAAATGTAACTTTTCCAATATTAAGTAAACGAAATATCACGTTTTTAATACTATGTTAACAAAACGTAACTCTTCGCAAAAAATTAATAAAACAAAACTTATCGCCGTATTTTACACCAACCCTCCCCCCATTCCTCCCAAAACCTACTTAATCTAGTCTCAATAGTCGTAGTATACGTTACCATCAACATGACCACAGTAATGAACATGAATCCCCTCCGATGCCCTGGCCTCTTCTTCATATAAACGTTGAACCCACTCTTCAGCAAATTGAACAACTCTCTGAAGAAATCGCCGCAACTTTCCGTAGTCATTTGAGAGTTGCTAGACAAAGTCGATGCTCGTTGTCGTTGTTGTTGACCTGGCTTTTGTGGAATTTTTAAGAAAACGAAAATGAAAGCCAGGCCAAAGATGGCGATCTCAATATCAACTGCTCCAGCCAACTTGATCGTAGAGTAAATTGGGGTAGACAAGGCTAATGTGGCACCCAAGACACCTCCAACTACTGTGGCCAAAGATTGAGCGGCGGAGAGTACGCCGGCGCGGAGAGTGAGCAAATTATGGTCGTTGGTACGGTCGGCAAGAAGGGCGTTTAGGGAGACTGGGATCTGAAAATTGAACAATATGAAGTTGGTGGGGTAGGGTATTGGTCGATATTATACTTGTTAGATAGCTGAGATTCTGTAGAATTTGAAAATATAAAGAAAAACTACCCTACCATAGCCAAGAACCCAGTCATTCCAGCGAAAAACCCAAAAATCGTTGTAATATAAAATGGCGCATAGACACTTTCACTCAATGTCAACAAAAATCCATATTCACTGACAGCAACGCCCATTATCCCAAGTAGAATATTAATTTGACGTCCATATTTGTCACCATAAGCACCGAGTATAGTATCAACCACCAAAGCCGGCGACATATAAGCTAACGCTTGGTATAAGGTCCAGTCGGCCGCTTTCTTCTGAACTTCATCTTCTACACGACGGTGATTCGATTCGAGGTTTGAGCATTGTGTCTCGTTGTAGTCGTTTTCACAAATTCTGAATTTTTGGGGTTAGTGGAAACAAAGTTTTTGCATTTTTTCAAAATTTTTTTAAAAAATTAAAATATTTAAAAAAAAATTTAAAAAAGCAAAATTTAATTTTTTAAATTTTTGACTATTTACTTGTAAACAAAGTTTTCGCAATTTGACCTTATTGACAGCAATTTGCCTTGTTAGCGCAAAGCGAAAGAGCGGTTCCGTCCGATCTGTCAAGTTAAGCAACGGTGCGCGTGATTATTCCGAAAGGGTTCGAGTCCGCATGGAAACAAGCGGCTAAATTGGGCTTTTGAAGCAATTTTTTGAAAATATTTTTTGTTTTAGGTATTGAAACATAATTTGAAGTTGAAAAAATGTATAATTCTACAATTATACTTTTGTTTTCACAATGAAAATATTGTTTTTGCCCAAAAATGTTGATTTAATCAACCTATGAAGTTCAAACTTCAAGAAAAAACTATACAAATAAACATAACTCACCTCAAATAAATTCCTTCGGCCTGAATAACCGACCCGAACGCCCATCCAACATAGACCAAGAACATTATAATCGGAGGGTTGATATCTTTGAATGCCGTTCCCATTATGCTAATTTTCTTCATGAATCTTTGACATCGTGTTGGAGGCTCATCCTTTGGCAGTTCTATCTCATAATGCGGTTCAATTTCATCTTCATCCTCTTCTTGTATTGGATCATGGCGAAACACCACTGACATATACGGATATTACACTAAAAGTTATCGTTTTTGATGGAAACTAATTAAAATACAGCACTTTTTAGCTTTTTGAAATGAAAATAAACGTAAAAGTATAGTAGTAGCATTTATTGCACGTAAAAACCATAAATAATACTGTAAGATCATAAATATATTATATTAACCATCATATGGGTAAGGTTGGGAAAATGATGATTTTTGCCATTTTTAAATGAAACAAAAATGAAAATTTAAGTTCAAAATACAAGAAGACAATATTCTTTTTAAAAAATTCTAAAAAATAGTCAAAATGAAGAGAAAAAAAAAAGATAGAGCTAAAAATATATTATCATAGACATTAGATGTTCAGTGTAATATTTTTTTTGTCCTATTAGTGAAATATTTCAACAAACCTTTTAAAAAGATACTTAAAGACCTTATCAATGTTACAAAGACAAATGAAAGTCCAAAACATATTGAAATTGGCATGAACGACCTTGTACTAGACATCAAAGAGTCATGTATAACATGATTTTTGAAATTTAAACAAAAAGTCACTAAAATTGATAAAAACTGATACAAAAATATAAATATGAGGTTAGACATAGTATGTTAATACTATGTAAAGTAAAAAATTTACAAAAGTGCAGGAGAAAAACTTCAAAAAATGCAAAAATCAAGAGCAATATCAAGTGATATCCCTTATCATTGAAATGTTGAAAATTCTCGATTAAGCGTTCCGCGAAACAGCCTCCGGCCCCAGTGGACGATAATTCTTGTCCTGAAAAAGGCTTAAATTAGTAACGTTTTGTGAATTTTCACTTCGCTTCTTCCTTATCAGTATTGTCAAGGTCTTCGAAACACAAAAGAAAATTGTCATCAGGCGCATTAACAACATTATATTTAGAAAGCACAAGGTTGATCAATTTAGGTTTTGTGGTTTTTAGTAATATGATGATTTGGGGATAGTTTTTGATATTGTAAAATACGGAATGCGTGTTTAAAATTTTTTTTTTATTTAAAAAAAATTTTTTTTTATTTTTTTTAAATTTAAAAAAATTTTTTCTTAATTTTTATTACTTGTAAACAAAGTTTTCGCAATTTGACTTTATTGACAGCAATTTCCTCCTTTAGCGCAAAGCGAAAGAGCGGTCTCGTCCGACCTGCCAAGTTAAGCAACGGTGCGCCTGATTATTCCAAGAGGGTTCGAGTCCGCTTGGAAACAAATGAACTTTTTGGTCGTTTTTAGTTAAAAATTTTTATTTTTTCATTTTTTTATTGTAAATTAGTGTTCTAGGACGTATTTGAAATACGTTTTTGTTAGAAATATTTTTGTTTTTAGTAAGAAAAAATGAAAAAACATGAAAAAATGTATAAAAATGAAAATCTTAAATTTTTAAAACAAGTTTTTCGAGTAAAAAACGTTTTTCTGTCAAATAAAATAATCAAAAAAATCAAAAACTTACAGTCAAGTACTTAGAATACCGCCTGTTGATACCAATAATGCAGGTAATCGAAGCGGCCAACATGTGGAACAAAATGGCACACAAATAAATCCAGAATGGTCCTAATAGAGCCTCAAACTTTTTGTCGTTTACCAAATAAGATGGTACACTTTGGGTGAATTTGGACCTTGATCCAATAGCCATTACTGTAACCAAAGCCAAGGCTACCATATCACTTAGGAAGACCAAAGCTGTTAGTAGGAGGCTTTGGAAGGAAATAAAGGATTTTTTTTCTAATATGGCTCCGGCTAGCTGAAAATTTTGAAAATTAAAAAAAACGTTTTGTAAAGAAAGTTTTTGCAATCTTTAAATGTTTTAGCTTCGAAATGCATCTAGTCTAGCCCTAGCACAGAGCCCCAGCCTGGAACCCTAGACCGAACCCAACGCAAAAATTCTTCTTTGTAAACAAAGTTTCTTCCAGTTTGACTTACCGCAAAGACAATTCCGACCAAATTGGCACCGCCAATAAACAACAAAGCCGGTCGAAACACTTCGACCGCATGAATAAAGTCATTCTCTTCAAAGTAATGGTACAATATCGACAAGGTGACGAGGAATGTGGTCTGTAGAGCTACTGCAACATAAACAGCATTGGAGGCGTGGACGAATTCACAAAAGGCGGGTGGGTAATATTCGGCCGATTCTTCGTCAAACGGCTGCTGAAATTGATGTTACTTTAGGTGGTTTATGATGAAAACGCCATTAATGTTTGATAGTTTAGGTCCGCAAGTACAATGCTATCCATAAAATACTATTTTTCAATTTTTTTTTATGAATTTTTGGTTTTTTGGCACTGTAAACAAAGTTTTTGCATTTTTTTAATTTGAAATTTTTAAAATATTTTTTTATAAATTTGAAACAATAAAGTCAAATTAAAAAATATTTTTATCATTGTAAAGAAAGTTTTCGCAATTTCCCCTTATTGACAACAATTTGCCTTTTTAGCGCAAAGCGAAAGAGCGGTCCCGTCCGATCTGGCAAGTTAAGCAACGGTGCGCTTGATTATTTCGCGAGGGTTCGAGTCCGCTTGGAAATAATTGGCAAAATCGGCCGTCTCAAGCAGTTTTTTGAATATTTTTAATTATTTTAGATACTAAAAATAAATTTTAAGTTTTAAAATTTTCTAAAATTTTATTTTTATTGAGACTTTCAAGCTGAAAAACAAGTTTTTGTCACAAAATGTTAATTTTTTGATGATTTTCAATGCTTTTTCACTCTTTGTCTAGTACTATTATAAAAGTTATGACATTTTGAAACTTAAAAAAGTATAAATATTTTTAATATTAATATGTTTTATTTACAAATCTACAAATCTTACCTTTTTGGGCACTACTGTAGTTGGAGCTACAGTGTATACTTTGTCCATTATGCTAAAAGTGGAACCATTATTCCTACGTATTTAGTAAAATAAGGTTAAAATGAATTTAATGTCCACGTAAAATACAAAAAAAATCTACTGTAACAAATCAGAACAATCAGTTGTGGTAAGGTAGGGAGAGACAAGGGTAGGGTAGGAAGAGAACAATCAGTAAAAAAAGTTTTGTCTGTGAAACTTGATCAAATGAAATTCGAAGAATTCAAGAATGAGTTTGTAACATCACGTAAAGTAGACGAGTTATGTCATCTGACATGACCTCTACGTTACACTCTGACGTGATTCCATTGAGTTTAATTGAGTGATCGTTCCAAACTCCAGAAGTCTAATTTAATTGAGTTAAATGAGGCAAAAACATTGTTTTAGGTTGGAGGAGGAGGAGAAGAAGCGTAGGTTAGAGGTAAAACAAGAACTCAAGCTACGACTAGGACTCGACTGAAGTTCAGGCCACGGCTAGGTTAAAGGTTTTTGGCTAAGGCGTTGCTTAGGGATAGGGCTGAAGCTGGGGCTGGGGCTGGAGCTGGGGCTAGACTAAAGTTCATGCCACGGCTAGGTTTTGGGTTTTTTAGCTAGGGCTTTGCATAGCGATGGGGCTAGAGCTGTGATTGGGTCTCTGGCCTATACCTAAGGCTAAGGCTTTGGGCTAAGGCTCCAGGCTAAGACTAGAGCTTTCGCTACGGCTAATATAAACTACATTTCACCAAACAAGTACTACCAAAACCTCAAAGCACCTCTTCAGCCCTCCTCTACTACAACATCAAAATAACACTTCCACTACCAAAGAAAACACACCTCCACTTACTGTTTTCGAACCGCAAATTTCGAGTTGAAAATAAAAAAAAACAACCTGTGGAAATAATCGAAAATCCCTCGATTTTTCTCTCGAAAATTTCTATTTTGTCGCGCGACGCCGCCGGCTGAAAACTGGATCAAAGGGTCAGGAAAGGCGGCACCGCCTCGTCGATCCCTTAACTATGCGACTTCACACGAAATGCACTTTTACGGCTCAAGGTGAATGTGGGAAGAACGTGCGGTTACAAGCCAGTCTAGCCAAACCTTTTTCAAACTTTTTTCTTGCAATGTGCTTTTTCTACTTCCGGTAACAAAAGTGATACGTATTAGTAATTGATGCGTTAATATTAAGGTAGGGAAAAGTGGTAAAGGTGGGAGAAGTAAAAGGTTATTGAGAATTAGTAGAGGTAAGAAACCTAACATTGACTGGGGATGGTGCTGAAGCTAGAGCTTGGGCTGGCGATTGAGCTAGGACAAGGACTGGGGTCGGGGTTAGAGCTAAAACTGGAGTTGGAACTGGGAGTACTGAGTCTGAAGTTGGGGCTGGGCTAGGATTAAAACTAGAACTGTGGCTTTAGCTAAGGCTAGGGCTTGAGCTTTAGCAAGACCGTTGAGTTGAGTTCTGGCTCTATATTAAGGTAGGGAAAGGTTAAAGATAGGGGAGGGAGGAGTGAAAGCTTGTTAAGAAGATGCCGCTTTTTTTGACCTAGAGTATGTAAAAATAACGTAGGGCAGGCTAGTATAGGGCATAGACCTAAAAGGAGACACAACAATCCCGGGACTTCAAGCCGTGCTAGGCTAAGCCAAAGCAAATTTAAAACATTCAGAACTAGACCGGCATAAGGAGGATGCCTAGGGCCCAAATCAAAGCCCTGCTTGGCTTGGCCCTTTTTTAAGCTTAATAGGGCAAGGTAGAGTCGGATAGGAAAGGTTAGGATAGGATAGGACAGGATAAGGTAATAGATAGAAGGTAGATTAAGGTAGGTTAGGGTAGAGTAAGGTAGGGTAGGCTGAAAGACCGTGCCGTACTGTGAATTAAATGTAAGAGAAGGGCCTACAGTATTTAAATTAAACGTTTCACAAATCTTTTGGTAATTAAAACGTCCTTGTTCTAATTAAAAACGGAAGTTGAGGTAACTATTTTTATTTACTTTTAAACTTTTGAGTAAAATTAATTTAACTTAATACCTAAACAGGCTAGCTTTAAAAAATTTGAAAATTTTGAAAAGCAAAAGCAATTTTTAAACTTTAAAATCATGAAAATCTTCAAAAAATCATAAGAAACACATTATTCAACACTGTAAACATCACTCAATCGAAAAGCCCATGAACACGGGAATCACAACATTTTGCACTAACTAAAAACAAAAAGTACAAGAACGCCTAATTTAAAATGTAAACACTTTACAAAGTCATTATTTAGTTATAAAACAACATCAACATTCTAAAATATATAGTATATGATTAAACAGTCAGCAAAGTGTATCTTGAAAAAAAAACAAAGTCTTGTCGTCAACTTACATAGCTTTGTATAGCGAAAAACGACAAAACTTTCCTTGAATTTTTAAAGGTGTATTATATTATTTATAACAGGTACTGTATGTAACAGCTACTCTGTACAATATACTTACATAAACTTTTATGTATAACGATACCTGACCACTTGGTATGTCTATAAACTGAAACTCACAGTAATATCCCATAGATAGCTTAAAAAGAAATATGTAGTCTATCTTACGTCACTACGTCATAAACCTTTTTGAAATGTGTCATGAGTCACGATAGATCTATATAAATCGTATTCCTTCGAACGGTCAGAGAGGAACGACGAGTCAGCGTGAAATCAAAAACTGTTGAAATTTCTTTACCCTACCCTACCCTACCCTACCCTACCCTACCCTACCTTACCCTACCTTACCCTACCCTACCCTACCCTACCCTACCTTATCCTACCCTACCCTTTTTTAAAATCAGTTTTTATTGTAAGTTTATTGATTGAAGAGTCAGTATATAACAGCCATCGTATCTTGAACCAACACAAAAATAACCTAAAGTAATGCAGTATACTTTACGCTATACTACAATACTTTATTCTCTACGAAATTATTATTTTAAAGAAAGTTATAATCATCTAAAGTTGTAACACATTAAATTTCAGTGATACCTCAACCCAATAACTTTTTTCAACATGCCGTACATATCGTATGTAGATAAAGTAATATTGTTTTGTTTTCTTGGTTTATAAAGTAATCCTTGATCTACACAATGATATTTTTTACTACTCAGTAAAGTACAATTGAAGCGAGTTATGACTAATTAAACTTGGCACACTTTAATTGTCTCATGATATTCGCAAGTCAGTACTTTTCAAAATGTCATAGCTATTAACTGTATACGTAATAACTAAATTTTGTCTGGTAGACTTACAGAGTAATTCATGCTAAACACAACGGTATGTTTCACTAAAAGAAAGCGTCATTTTAAAGCAAGTTATGACCAATAAACCTTGGCACAGCTTAATTTACGCTGATTGCGAGAGAAATTCCTCCTCATTCCGCGCGATCTCTCGCTTTTGCCACCATTTATTCGGACCACCCGCAGCGGTCGCCCAAAATTCGCAGGCCCTGAGGGCCTCGTCTCTGTTGAAAATTGCTGGGCGCTGCGGGTGGTCCAAATAATTAGTGGCATTTGAGAAAGAACACGCCGAACGAAGAGACCAAATTCCTTTTGCAGACATTGATCGGGGCTATACAAAACTATTGCGAAAAGAGCGCGCGTAATCGGGAGACATTTGATTTGTGGTTAGAGAAAGGGAAGTGGTGAGACAAAAGCGCGCGAAAAGACGCGAGAGAGTGTGCGTAAAAGAAGAGAGCAGTGAGAAAGGGCGAGCTAAATGAGAAAAAAGAGTGCGCGTGCGAAGAGAGGTTAGAGAAGTGACAGAAAAAATTAGAGAAACGGCAATAACTTTTTTTTGGTTTGATGGATTTTTATGAAATTTGAGAATATAATAAGACTTTCAGTAAGCAATATAGTGTTAATTTCTTTATGCAAAACTACTATATCTTGGAGTGTTAACTTACAACCCAAAATTTAAAATTATAGTTTGTTTTGTAGTTTTCCTAATCTTCCTGATATAATACTATAATTATTTTCAAAATCAAATATTTGTCATCAAAACAGGTGTGCCTTTCTCTATTGTATAAAGAAAGTTAACTCTATAAAAGGGCTTGCCTTCCGTTCCTATCAAATAAAGTTTGGTCTCTAAATATTAAAAAATGTTTCTTTACGTCCTATTGTCTATAATCGTTTTGAATTGCCATGCTGAATTGTTTAGATATGATGGAAGTAAGGTTTTGTAATTGGTACTGCTTTTACAATAGTACTAATATTCTTCGTTTTTATTTTTTAAAAATTGGTAAAACGCTTTGGTCGGAGTAAGGTTTGAATCGGCATAGAGCTAAAGCTAGAGGTAGAGTTTGAAATACGATCAGAAAAAAAAGCTAGAACTAGGGCTAAAAGTCAGGATTATAAGTTAGGTCTAGAGCAGGTGCTAGTGCTAAGACTAGAGCTACCTAGAGAACGTCATCAAATGTCCCTCTAGAGCTAGAGCTAGAGCTAACTAAGGAATTGCATCAAATATCCCTCGGCTTTTTGAACGAGACTTATATAGGATAAAAGAGCATAAAAAGTACCGGTAAAACTGTTTTTAAAAACAAAAGCTAAATGGATTCGGCTAACGAGTTACAGTCCGCGCAGTAACCTTATATGTTTAAAAGGTATACCTTTAAAGTTTGAAAAATGATCTTTTTTAATAAATATTTTCTTCTAAAAGCGACTAAAAGCAAAAAATAGGGCTTAAAAAGTATTTTTTAAATCAAATTATTGTTTGGCTAGCCAAAACTTCTTGTCATAATGGGTGGGCGCCAAAATGAAATTGGCGGGGTTCGAACTTCTCACCTTCTGCACCCCAGACTACCTTTTTAACCACTCGACCACACTGGATTGGAGTTTCAATCCATTCGTTTTGCACAACGCGAATCAGAAGGATAAAATAGAAAACCCTATATAAGAGAGTAAGGCATAAAAAGTTCATAAATGTATGTTTTTTTAGATATACCATTCCTACAGACGTACTTTTCAATGTCAAAAGATGAAGCATTTGGAGTGGAGTTGAGTTTACAAAATTCACATTACTACTTTTTGAGTTCAGAATGTAAAAAGTGTACCAAAAGTAGTAGAACCATCAACTTTTCGTAAGGTTTTTGAATTTCAAATTTTAAAAATTTTTAAATTTTAAAAAAATTGAAAACTTAAAAAAATTAAACAAAATTTTAAAAACTAAAAACGAATTTTAAAATTTAAAAAAAAATTAAAATTTTAGAAAATATAAATTGGAGAAGACAAGCGACCCAAGATTCACTTACCCGCACGATAAAATCACCTTTAGTGGTCAGAACTATAAGAGCTTCCTCGGTACCAACATGTTTGACGGTAAGGATGGTGAGACCGTGCCCATCGTTGATACCGAGTCCAAATACAAGTATGTCACGTCTTGGTCTGGCTTTTTTGGATTAAATTTTGAGAATTCGTGGAATGAAAACTGGACTTGGAAAAAGTTATTTAATAGAATTTCAAAGAAAAAGTTTATTGTGAGGCGTGGACCTCATTATCATATTTTGGTAGGTTATGATGTTGCGTTAACTTGAGCCGATGGTGGAGGATGGGGGGGGGGAATTATAGGGTATTTAGAACTAAGATGATAATATGAGACGCTACAACTCTATGTTGGAGGACGGAGAAAGAAGAAGGTGTGATAAGCTTAAGGTAAGATACCAGCCCTACCTCGGGTAGAATAAAGTAGAGAGAGCTAGTTAGAATAAGGTAGAATATAATATAGTAAGGTATGGTATAATATAGTAAGGCAAGGTATAGTGTAGTAAGGTAAGGTAGAAAAGAGTAAGAGAGGGCAAGGTAAGGTTGGATAGGGCAGGGTAGGGTAGGGTAGGGTAGGGTAAGGTAGGGTAGGGTAGGGTAGGGTAGGGTAGGGTAGGGTAGGGTAGGGTAGGGTAGGGTAGGGTAGGGTAGGGTAGGGTAGGGTAGGGTAGGGTAGGGTAGGGTAGGGTAGGGTAGGGTAGGGTAGGGTAGGGTAGGGTAGGGTAAGGTAGGGTAGGGTAGGGTAGGGTAGTAACCTTTATATATTATTCTTTTATTAGAACAAAATTGAAGTAGACAGTGACGCTCTGCATGGTGTGTTAGCAACAGACGTTGATACGGTTAAAGGATGTGGTGAATTTACTTATTATGACACAATTGGCAAAGGTTTAACGCTTCGGGGATCGTAAGTGGTTTCTAAATTTTAAAATTAAAAAAAGTATTATTAGGCTGTCTAAAAAGTAATGAGCCATGTTTCTTAAAGAGATATGGTGTTCAATAGCTCATTATTTTTTATACAACGTAAAAGTAATGAGCCATGTTTCTTATAGCGATTTAACTATCAGTGGCTCAATATTTTTTACACAAGCTAATAAAATCTAAAATATCTGACTTCAGAATTAAAATCGGTGAGAATCTGTATCCAAATCAGAAAATTCAATTCTCACTCAACAGTTTCTCCAAAGTACCCAAAGGTATCTACAAGGAGAACTACAAGTTGTTAAACGTGGAAGAAGAAGATGTACCACCAGTCGAAGTGACGTTTGGTACCCAAAAGTTTTCGGTACCAAAAGAAAACTTTATGTTTTATCAAGGCGCAAATTTTGATAACATGCTATATATCCCGGTAGAAGAAAGCAAAGATGACATTGTCACGTTGGGTTACGACGTTCTTAGCACCACTTGTATCAGCTTTGCAGCCGATGGTTCCAAAATGACAGTAGGACTAGCTGCAGCTGAAGTGTTGGATGATGATGCTAAGATGGTACCAAGAAAAACTGGTGTTGTTACTACTACACCTACTACACCAGAACCAGAGACTACGATTAAAGGCGCTGGAGCATTTGGTCTTTCTGGTGCTGTTGTTATCTTTGTCATTGTTTTTTTGTTGTTTGATTGAAGTTATAATAAACTACCATGTATAGTACTTACACAAGTATAGTACGATAGAGTAGGGTATGGTATAGTAGGATAATGTAATGTATGATAAGGGAGAGTAGTATAGGATGGAGATATAAACTATATAAGATGACATTCCATCTATTAAATGTTAAACAAAAGTCTTGTCGTTTTTCGCGTAAAAATACATATAAAAAAGCGACAAGACTTTTTAAAGCTTTAAAATTCGTATTTTTTGGTACATAACTGCCATTTTTGTGTAACTCAGACTCTCTGGATACATTTTTACATTAAGTAGAGAAATCAACGCCGCACAGAGAGACCGAATTCCTTTTGCAGACATTGATCGTGTAGCAGAAAAGAGCGCGCGTCTGGAGAGAGGTGAGAGAAGTGAGAAAAATACTTAAAAAAACGGCAATAACTTTTTTGTGACTTGACGAATTTTTATGAAACATGAGAGAATTATAGGTCTGACAGTAAGCAATTTAGTGTTATTTTTTATATAAGTGTATTATACCTTTCTGTATTAACTTACCTAACCCAAAATTTAAAGATTGTAGTTAAATTCTCGTAGTTGTTTTGATCTTTCTGATACTTTAATTAGACTTAAAACCAAATATTAGTCATAAAACAAGGTGTGCCTTTCCCTATTGTATAAAGTCAGTTATCACTATAAAAGGGCTTGCCTCTCGTTCCTGTCAAATAAAGTTTGGCCTCTGAATATTAAAAAATGTTTCTTTACGTCTTATTGTTTATACTCGTTTTAACTTGTCATGCTGAAGTGTTTAAATATAATGGAAGTAGGGTTTTTTAATTGGTACTGCTTTTGGTACTATATTTTTAAAAATTTTTAATGGTTTGAGTAGGTATAGAGTTAGAGCTAAGGCTAAAGCTAGCAATAAGGGTAGGGTCTCGCTAGAGTTAAGATTTAGGGGTATGCCTACGTTTAAGGCTAAAACAAGGCTAGAGCTGACGGTAAAGCCTGGGGTGCAGGAGCGTCGCTAGGGGGGGGAGGAAACCTGTACGCGAAAAATCGAAAAAAAAATTCTTTTTTTGGAAAAATCGGTAATCGGTAAAAATAAACTTTTGGGTCTCCACCCCCCTCCCAGAAAAAAAAAATCCGTAGCGACGTCCCTGCTGGGGTGATTCAAAATAAAAGTTTTATAAAAAAATGAATAATTGTATAATCTTTTTAGATGTGCCATACCTACAGACTTACTTCTCAATACCTAAAGACAAAATATTTGGAGTAGAATTGAGTTTACAGGATTCTAATTACTACTTTTTGAGTACAGAGTGTAAGAACTGTACCAAAAGTAAGAGCATCAACTTTTCGTGAGGTTTTTAAATTTTGAATTTAAAAAAAATTCAAAACTTTTTAAATTTTAGACAAAATTTTAAAATTTTAGAAAATATGGTTTTGTGAAGACAAACGACTCAAGATTCACTTACCCACACGATGAAATCACGTATAGTGGCCAGAACTATAAAGGTTCCCTAGGAACCAACATGTTTGACTATAAGGACGGTGAGACCGTGCCAATTGTTGACACCCAGTCTAAGGAACACTTCGTCACAGCTTGGTCCGGCTTTTTTGGATTAAATTTCGAGAATTTGTGGAATGAAAACTGGACTTGGGAAAAGTTATTCAACAATATTACAAACAAAAAGTTTATTGTGAGGCGTGGGCCTCATTATCATGTCTTGGTAGGTTATGAACTTGCATAAAATTTGAGATGGGGGTAGGGTATATTCACCTTCTCATACCGTTCTTTTAGAAAAAAACCGAAGTTGACAAACAAGGTCTGCATGGTGTAATAGCAACCGACGTTGATACGGTTAAAGGGTGTGGTGAATTTACTTATTATGACACAATTGACAAAGGTATAACGCTTCAGGGATCGTAAGTGTTTTAGGATTTTTGAATTTAAAAAAAATTATTAGGCTGTATAAAAAATAATGAGCTATAGTTCTCATAACCATATAAAACTCAATGGCTCATTATTTTTTATAGTAATAAAATCTAAAATATCTGCCTTCAGAATCAAAATCGGTGAGAATCTATACCCAAATCAGAAAATACAATTTTCCCTCGACGATTTCTCCACTGTACCAACAGATATGTTTGAGAAGAACTACAAGTACAACATGAAAGAAGAAGAAATACCACCAGTCGAAGTGACATTTGGTACCCAAAAGTTTTCGGTACCAAAAGAAAACTTTATGTTTTATATCGAGGACTATAATGATATGTTACATGTTACAGTAGGAGACAGTAAAAATGACATCGTCACGTTGGGTTTCGACGTTCTTAGTACCACTTGTATCAGCTTTGCCGCTGAGGGTACCAAAATGAAAGTAGGACTAGCTGCAGCTGAAGTGTTGGATGATGATGCTAAGATGGTACCAAGAGAAACTGGTGGTGGTACTACTACACCAGAACCAAACGCTGGAGCGTTTGGTCTTTCTGGTACTGTTGTTATGTTTGCCATTGTTTTTTTGTTGTTTGATTGAAGTTATAATAAAATACCATGTAGTACATAAAGCTGTGGTTGGGCAGGGTAGAGTAGGGGGTAAGTTAGACGAGGATAGGATAAGTTAGAATAGATATACAAACTATATAAAATGATAATTTATCTACTAAATGCTGTTCAAAAGTCTTGTCGTTTTTTGCAAAAAATACATATAAAAAAGCGACAAGACTTTCTTTAATACTTTAAACTTTTTATAGGTGGGGTAGACTAGGGTCTTTAACATAAAACTGTCATTTTTTTGTTACTCATATAGTATCAGTAATTTTTTACATTAAAAAGCTCTAAAAAATGATATGGTATTTAATAAAAACGTTAATGAAAAGTCTTGTCGTTTTTCGCAATGAAAATACATATGAATTAACGACAAGACTTTTTCAAGACCTTAATTTATATTTTTGATATAAAAGTGCCATTTTTAAGTTACTCACACACTGTCAGTAAAGTGTTACATTGAGTAATTATAAAAAGTGACGTGATACGAAATAAAAACGTCATCAAAAAGTATTGTCGCTTTTTGCAGTGAAAATACATAGAAATAAGCGCCAAGACTTTTTTGATCTTTCAATTTAAATGATTTTAATACTAAGATGATATTATTTATAATTTTCATAAATTTTCAACCTTGTTTTTGTTATTTTAATACCAAAAAGCTCAAATTATAAGTTTTTTTCATAAGTTCGTTAATTTATGTCCGGTTCTTATCAAGGAATGTTGTACTAACAAGAAAAGCCTACAATGAGAAATCAAAGCTGAATTCCGAAGATACGTTATCACTATCAATGAAGCTTCCAATGTGAGCCTATTTTAATTATGGTCATTAACTGATAAGTTGGTTCTTGTGGCTTCTTTAGCCTGTTAAGAAGGTTTTTTTAAAACAGAAGCGGGCTTGCTGAAGTTATATTAACGTAATAATAATATAATCATATTATGATTAGTCATAATAATTTAAGGCTAGAAAATTGCTAGGTTGACGTATTGTAGGGTAGGGTAAAATAAGGCAAGGTATAAAGGAATAGGGTCGCGTAGGGCAGGGTTGTGTAGAATAGGGTAGTGTATGGCAAAGAAAGCCAAAACAGGGAGGTAAAGTAAGGCAGGGTAAGGTAGGGCAAAGTATGATACGATAGCATAGAACAAAGTAGACTACAGTAGGGTAGAGCACAACAGTGCAGCGCAACGCAGAACAGGGCAGAGCAAAAAAAGGCAAGGTAGGGCAAGACAGAGTAGGGCAAAGCAGGGTAGGGCAGTGCAGAGCAGGGTAGGACAGGGCCAAGTAGGGCAAAGAAAGGCAGAGCAGAGCAAGGCAGGGAAGAACACGATAGGGAAAATCAGGACAGGGCATAGCCATTCAATGTGGTGTACTAATATAAACCCAAAGAAGCCTGCTTTATATTAACTTTTACCTTTTTTGTGAAACGGTCCCTTTTTTCTATTCATATTTGTAGAAAAATCCCACAAAAAACCCCAATTTCAAGTCAATTTAGCCTAAACAACGGTTAAAATGCAGCAGATTTTGTTACTCCTAGCCCTTTCGGCTACCGTATACTCATTGGGTAACTTGTTGTCGTTAGGCAACAAAAGATATGGCAAGTTAAGAAGACTTGAAATCTTGGAACAAATTGCTGACCCACATGACATTGCTCATTGTAAGAACTCGACTACAAATGATGTTGAGGATAGATATGTGACTCAAAACTGGGATCATTTTGATAAGGATAACAAGGAAACCTGGCAAAATGTAAGACAAATAGCGTTTAAATTGGCAAAAACTTAGTTTCCAAAGGTGAAAGAGATTGATGTCTCTAGAAGATAAAGGTAGAGTAAAGACAGTTAATATAAAGTATGGTAGAATAAAGCAGAGCAAGGAAAGGTAAGGTAGGTTACAGTAATTTAGGGAAAAATAAGATAGAGTAGGGTAGGATAAGGCAGAGTCAAGTCGGGTAAGCTAAAATGTAGTAGCTTCAAGTAGGATACGATAGGATAAAGTAAGAAAAGGTAAAGTAAGATAGGGTAGGGTAAAATAAAATAGAGTAGGGTAGTATAAAGTAAAGTAAATTAGGGTAGAGTAAGATAATGTAAGGTAAAGTAAGATCGCATAGAGTAGGGTAGGGTAAGGTAGAGTAGGGTAGGGTAGGGTAGGGTAGGGTAGGGTAGGGTAGGGTAGGGTAGGGCAGGATAGGTTAGGGTAGGGTAGGGTAGGGTAGGGTAGGGTAGAGTAGATTAGGGTAGGTTAGGGTAGGGTAGGGTAGGATAAAGTAAAGATAAGGTAGAATAAACCAAGCCATGGCAAAATTTAAATTAAAATTTTTAAATTTTAAACCTTTAGCACTACCAAGTCCAAAGCCGATACCACGACAACTCGAGTGAGACTGTATTTTTGTTGATCGGTGGAGAAGGCACTTCTTCACCATTGTTCGTATGTCTCGACGATGTGAACATCATGACTATGGCAAGAGAACACAAGGCTTTAGTCATCCAATCGGAACACAGATTCTTCGGACCTAAAGAACAGCTTTTGTAAGTTACTGTAACATCATATTCATGTTTTGTTACTGCACCGTATATATATGTTCTTTGACAAAATTTTTTTTAATTTTGAAAATTTTTAAAAATTAAAAAAAAGTTTTTAAAAATGAAAATACTGCCATTTTTAGTAACACCACCACCGAAAACTACAAATACTTGACTACAGAACAAGCCTTGGAGGACTTGGCCCATCTTATTGACCATGTCAACCAGGAATACAAGTTTAAAAATCCGAAATGGGTCGCTTTTGGTGGTTCATATCCAGGTATGTCATTGAACATAAAAATCAAAAAAATTTATTTAAAAAATTCCGCTTTTAACAAAAAAAAATAATTCTTTTTTATTTTCTTATGCTATCTAGTCGAAAGGCCGTATTTTACTCAAAAACCCTATTTTTTAAATTTTATTTTAGGAACAATGGCAGCTCTGTTCAGAATTGTCCATCCAGACAAGACTGTTGGTAATGTTGCCAGTTCGGCTCCATTATACCCAAAGGTTGACTTTTATGGTAAGTAACTAACACCTTCCCTACTATCTACTACCCTACCCTGCCCTGCCCTGCTGGTTTGCCTTGGCCTGTCCTGCTCGCTGTACCCGACCGCCATGCTCTGACTTGCTCGGTCTGCTCTACGGCCACGAAATGCCTTGTCTTGCCTTTACGCTGTTTTACTGCCATGCCATGTCTTGTCCTACTCTGCCGTGACATGCCTTTGCCTGCCATGCCCCTGTTTTGGCCTGCCCTGCTCGCTTTGCTCTACCGCCATGCCCTACCGTACCAACGTAATCCTGCCCTGCGGTACCTAGCGCTGCCATTCCCGGTCCTGACGTGGCCTGACCTGCCCTTCCCGCTCTGCTCAACCCTCATACTGCCCCCTACTATATCCTCTTTCTTTTTCAAATATGAGTTTTTCTTTTTGTAGCCTAATTATTTTAGAATACGCCCAAGTGATGGAGAAAGCCTTCAATGAAACCTCACCTCACTGTTTGAACGACATTGCGGCCGCTTTCAACGAACTAGAACATAAAGGTCTTTCAGCCGAAGGTCGTCAAGAGATTGGCAAGGCTTTCCAGTAAGTAATATATTTAAATTCGTGCTGTCTTCCATTTACATTTAGTTCCACTTTAAAAAACGACAGAACTTTTTTTACATCCCAGTGGGTCTAATTTAACACTTATTTTACTGTCTGTAAAAGGGTAATACAATAACACATCATTTAGCATTGAAAACTTTGAAAAAACCGACGATTTGAACGACATTTACACTGTAAACTTGGCCATTTTCGACGCCTTCCAAGGAATTGTGCAGTATACTTATGACGGATTGGTAGGTTTAATCATAACATTACTACTACTCAACTTTCTCTTTTATCCAAACAGTAGGGGTAGGGTATGGCATATAATAAACATACTATTCTACAATAACTAACCTATCACACAAGCCTAACTTTTTACATTTCCACCTTCATATAACCAAGATATGATCAATTTAAGACTAGAAACCTTCTAAATATCTCATTTTTTCCTACCCATTTTTCAGTACGGATACCGAGAAACCGGTGGAAATCATACTGTAGAGTACGTATGTGAAGTTATGGCTAAAAAACAAAAAAACTTGGACAAACTGTTTGAAGTGTTCAATGTAGCCCATGACTTCAACGTGACTGTAGACTCATCGTATGCTGAATACATCGCCCCTTATCTAGATACCTCTGCTGATGCTAGTAGGTTTGGTTCTTTTGGGTATAGCCTTTTTAGTTTTTGGGATTCTAAAATGATTCCTGTTTTAATGTTTAGATAATAAGGTATCTTATAGTGTAAAAAGTTTGATTTTAAAAGGAATAGCTTTAACGTAACAACGATTGTTTTAAATTGTTATAGGTGACCTGCTCATTTTCTTAAATCTTTTTTTTAACTATCATCCTTAATATAACACTCATACCTTTAACTAAAACCATCTAACATCATTTCAAAATGTAATTCTCAATGAAAAACTGCTTTTAACTTTACTATATTAACCATAACATTGCTATCTTATCCATGACCCTTGTAGAAGTAGGAATTATTGATATGCGTGGATGGATGTGGTTGAGTTGCTACGAATGGGGATGGTTACAAACTACTACAAACAGTAAAACATTTGGCAACACCGTGCCAATTCAGTATGTTTCAATTTTTATCATTTCGGGCCATTTTCTTCGATTATTCGGTTCTGCAGGCTGCGGGAGACATGTTATACGATGATTCTTATATTTCGGTTTTTAAATATAAACATCAGTTACAAACTGAAGAATAGTAAAAATATATTTTAAAATAGTAGTAAAATACGTCTTTCCCACAAACGTTTTTTAAAAAAATTTCAGTTTCTACTACAAGATCTGCGAAGACATGTTCGGCAAAGAAGTCAACGCCAACTTGGTCGATTCCCGAATTCAACAAACTTTGAAAAGCTACGGATACCCGGAGAACTTCAACGCAACTAATGTTGTATTACCAAATGGTTCGTTTGACCCATGGAGCATCATTTCCAGTTTCGTTACCAACAACAAAACCCATACCTACTCGGTTGTTACTGAAGGTAAGTTTCCGCTCATTTTTCAAATTTTTTACTCAATATGAAGCGTAAAAAAGCTAAATATTGTTAAAAATGTCATTTTCTAGCACCCTTCAGGCTTACCATCCAAAAGTTTTAAATTTCCAGAAAAGGTTGAGTCCCGCCACGAAAACCTTGAATTCAGGAAATTTACAAAATATATCATTTTTCGTACTTTACAACGTAAAAATGCATAATAATATGCGTTTGTGTAAAATTGTAAAATAATTAAAAATTGGGTCTCACAACGAAAACCCTGAATTTAAGCAAGTTCTTAAAAAAAGTCATTTTTTCGTGTTTTACAATTTAAAAAAGCATAATAATGAGTGTTTTTCGTAAAATAATTTTAGCGGTGATAAGTTATACCAGTGATAACACAAAAACTTCATTTTCCGAAAAAACATTTTGGGTCCCACCACGAAAACCTGATTTAAAACAAACCAACACGTACAATTCGTATTTTACAAAGCCCGATACATTTCTGTCTCCTTAAACATTCACTAAAAAAACTTACAGGAGCCGCCCACTGCCACGACATGTATCCACCGTACGAGAACGAGCCAGCCGGTTTGAACACGACCCGAGCCTTTATCGAGGAGAAAGTTCGCGAATTCTTGAAGACTTCATCATCCTTCTCTTTGAACACATCCGTTTTTACTGTTGTTTTGGCTTACATTGTAATGACTTTTGCTTAAATTTGAGGTTTTACATTAAATTTCGCAAAATTATATTCACCATGGCACTGAACTATTCAAAAGGAGTAACTATTCCAAAAAACGTATTTTACATTCAGTGACAATCACAAACAAGGTAACATACGATTGTACACAACATATAAAAGCCAAAATGTCAACTTTAACTCTTCAAATAATTTATTTTATAACAATGTAAAACAACATACGATAACAATATAACTTATCAATTACAACAAAAATAGACAATAAAACCCAAAAAAGAAAAGGATAAACAACATATGAATGAGAAATTACATAGGAATATGAAAATACAATGTAGATTGGAATGTGAAGGAAGGAATACCCAAAGTGAAGACTGACTAGACATTACCCATGAGACGTGATAGCTGCCCTTTTATTGAGTTTACTGGCGTTTTTTTAGCAAAATGTATACATGTTATAGTGAAAATATAGTAGGAATGACCCATGACTGTACAAAAAAAGGTATTGCAACCAACATGTGTTATTTAAAATGTCCTAAAATGCGAAAAAATCCCAAAAAATTCTCAAAAAATGTTAAAAATGATCAAAATTGGCCAAAAAAAAGCTAATTCTACGTAGTTTTTGACCATGAAAATGAATTTGAAAATACAAAACGATAACCCTAAACAGTACCCACTTCGAAACTGACCAAAATTGAAGAAATACTTTGTCAGAAGTGCTCCAAAACACCTACCAAAAGGGCACAGTGCAAAATTAAAATTTTTTATTTTGCACCGTGCAAATCTAACCTTTTCTAAAAAAATTCAAAACCGCCTATTAAGCCTAAATTACACAGTCTAAAAGAAAAAACTCAGAGGAATGGATTCAGCATTTTGAATGATGAATTCTTGGCCTTGGACAAGGATGGGACTTGCCAACATAAAACATGAGAGTTGGCCAAAGCTGCGTATAATCGACGGCTTTCGTTCGTGAATTGGAGACTGAAAATAAAACAAATAATTAAAAGTCAAATGTCGAACCGTATTTTACCTGTTTTATGATTCATAAACTTTTAACTTGTAATTAACCACTCCTCAGGGACGTCGTTACATATTTTTTAAGGAAAGGAGGGGTAAGAAGTAAAAATCAAATATTTTTTGGTTCAAAGGCAGCTTGTACCCATTTTTCAAAAAAATTACAATTTTTCACACAGGTATTAACCTAAAATTGTTTTTTCAAATCGGCTATGGAGGGATGGAGATCCTGCTCTAGCTACTAGCTTGAACCTAAAGTAACGGGACACATTTTAGTGGAAAATAACTGAAAAATGTCCTGCTACTTTTGGTTCAGCCTAATATGTCCCTGCTACTTCAAAAAAAATCTTTTAAAAAATACCAGGCCCTAAACTTAAAGCTTAACTTCTCTCTACTAACCCTGCCCAAGGCTTACCTCCTAGTTATCTAGCCTTAAACGAGCCCTAGCTTGGTTTAGCTTCCGTTTCTTCTATCCAAAGACAACCCCTAGCTCTTTCCTAACCCTGCCTATAAAAAACCACCCCCTCTCCATTAAAAAACAGCCAAAGATCTCTTAAAAAAATAAAGCCCATACCCTCCCCAACCCTGCTGATACCACTGATTTTCAAAACCGTCCCCCCTCCCCCGTCCCCACCCTCACAAACTTCAAATCCCTACCTAACCACCGGAGCATGAAGATTCTGGCAAGAAATCAATCGTATCGTGCTCAACGTCCACATTTCCAGAAGCCTGATGACTCCGGTTTGTAAGCCTAAAGCTAGACAATTCACTCCCAGTCCTTCATCAAGATTTGTCATTGTCATACTGGTGACCTTCATCTCGTCCTGATGAGTTCCGATTAGGTCTCCATTAACTGTGTATAAGTTGACTCGACTGCCAAGTTTCGAATCAAATACCACTGCCATATCCGCATTGATTTGTGAAATACAGGATAAAGTGGCAGTTTCTTGAACTGGGACAGACCGTGGGTGGGGGTCGAGGGTTCGGATGAACTCGAGGCTAAAATGACATTTTTATAAGAAAATTTTTTAACTTTTATATTGGGTTGTTCAAATAATTCTGTGCCCCCTGATTTCATAAATTAGCTTTGAAGTAAGGCACAAAATTATTTGAACGACCTAACATTTTCAAAAATTCAAAATCCACCCCCCCCTACACCAAAAATATGCAAAAACCATACCCTATACATAAACTTTTGTCATAAAAACCATTTTTTTTTAATTTTCAAAAAAATTTACCGATTAGTGTCCCAAACAATGAGAGTGGAGTCCTGACTGGTTGATAGTAATATATGGAAAGTTTCAGATATGCTCAGCGATGAGATTGCCACTTTGTGTGCATGTAACTCGCCTTTTTGTGTGCAATTAAACATCTTCTGAAATATATTTTGTAATTAAATTTAACAGTAAAACTATATTATTTTATATAATGGTCCCACCACGAAAACTTGAACTTTTGAAAATTAACAAATAAGCTAAATTTTTATAGAAAAATATTGTAAATTATTTGAAATAAAGTGATTTTAAAGTCAAAATTTTTGGTAACATAAACAAATTTACTCGACCTTTGGTCCCACCACGAAAAACTTGAATTTTTAAAAATAAGCAATTAAGCTTGATCTTTATAAAAATATCGTAAAATCTTTAAAATAATGTACTTTAAATTATAAAGTTTTGGTAAAATAAGGAAATCAACTTTAAAAAATGGTCCCACCACGAAAACATGATTTTTAATAAAATGAATACAAAATGTAGCGAAAACTGTCAAAAATCTTAAAAATTTGCAAAATATCAAATTTTAACAAAAAAATTCATTATACAATCCCCTCCCCCTCTCCCTCCTAAATCACATTCCCTCCCCCCCCTCAAAAAAAATAAAAGCTTAAAAACCCGCCGTATTCGTATCAAACACCAGATTATAAACCTTGATCAAGCCATTTGTAAATCCAATGTACATGAGATCGTTGCTAGGTGAATATACCAATTGACTGACTTGAAATAGGTGCAAGTCCAGCAGATTGACCCAGACTGAGTCCTCAACTTGGACCGGTTTGATTCGTAAAATACGGTCGGAGAAGCGCCATGATAAGACGGCTGTCATTGAGAGTTCAAAGTTTCGTCGAAGTGCATCGGTTTTGTCACTTTTGTACTTGGCCACCATCGCCGTGTCTTCTGGCATTCCGTAGCAGATGAGGTGGCCTTCTTGGTGGATTGTGGTTAGGTGGTCAATTCTAAAATTTACTAATTTAACTACCCTGCTTTACCTTACTCTACCCTACCCTACCATATTCTACCCTGCCCTACCCTACTTTACCCTACCCTAGCCTACCTTACCCTACTCTACCCTACCTTACCCTACCATACATCGCCCCTTTTCTACCCTTACCGTTCATAAGCCTCCAGTTTGAAGATGCATTGAGGAGCGAATGCCAACTTGTCATCTGTATCCGGGCTTCCCACGAAATCGCCCCATCTAATGCCGCGAACGGATGGCAACAATTGATTTTCCACGTTTGGCGTGGCTATACATTTGCCAGTCTCTAGATGGGGTAGATGTGGTGAAATAAAGAGTTGGACTGGCATTTGGCCATAGGTTCGTACCATAGTTTTGACGGCCGACATAAAGACCTCGTCGGTGTTGCTTTCTTTCTCTAGGTCTCGGCCGCGGTAGGTCTGAAATTGCATCTTCATTAACTTTGAGATGTATATCACATTCTTCTTTTATTAATATTCAGCCGTTCACTTTATTCTGCGCCCCCTACCAAAATAGTTATTAACCTAAAAACCTCAAACCCATACAAAACTATGAGTAATATAAACCCACAGCTGGATGAAACACATTGACAGCCTTGATGGCGGCTTCACCACTTTGTTTGTAGCCAAAGATCAAATCAATCCAATTGTGTAGGGCCAAAGTGACATGAAGACTTTCCAATGCTTGTCGATGAATCAAACAGAACAGTCGAGAATTGCCCCTGGGACACCATGGAGGAAGGATAACATGATCTACTTGTACACCAGACTGTCTTACGCCTAGCTCCAAATTCTCGCGATTCTGAAGCATTTCAGGAAAGAAAAAGAATTCTGGAATCAGCTCCTTAAAGTCGGTAGTCGATTCCGAACTCGACAACCTCCATGTTGTCTCCAAGGTATTGAACAGTCGATCTGGTATGTCAAAGTTGTTGTCTTGGTACTCTAATGCTACATTTGTGTATGGTACCACTCGTACCATGTAGTGGGCGACTATTCCTGTGTTTGAGTAGTGACTGCCGTAATGATACGGCCCTAGGTATGAGGCTGAGTAGACTTGTTCTGTTTGAGGTTTGTTATGTTCTTCGTTGAGGGCGTTGTAGCTTTGCGTGTAGACTTGCTCCATTTTGCGGTCTTGAATCGCCATTGGGCGGGCAAGGTCTCTGGAAAGAAAATTTTAAAGGCTATTAGGTCTAACAGTATCAATTTGCGTTTATTGCTACGACTTTAATCCAAAATAAAATATTTCTTATATAAAGTTTTGTGGCTCAAAACTTTTTACACAACCTAATACAAAAAAAACCAAAATAAAAAAAACCTTTTTTTTTCATCTCCCCCCCCCCACTTTCTCTGGAAGAAATTAAGTGGTTTGTTATGTTGAACAGTGCCATAAACAATATTTTCAAAACGGCAAAAAAAATTTTTTTTAATTTAAAAAAAACCAACCTGAACGAGTAAGGTGAAGTCAAGTCGAGTAAACTTGAAGAATAATCCGATAAGATGAATGGGAACACTGGATATTGCATGAGATCATTGAACGAGCGTCCGGCTAGCTTGTTTAAGACAATTAGGTAACTAAATTTGTATTTTAAATCGCAAAAATTTTTTAAAACCATATTTTTTAGTTTTTTCAAATAATTCTGTGCCTCTTAAATCTAAAATTTGCTTTAAAAAAAGAGGGCAGAATTATTTGAACGACCTAATATTTAAAATTTTAAAATAAAGTTTTAAAATTTTATTGAGTGCCATTTTGATGCTATAACGTGTTGTAAAATGTAAAATACGTTCGACAAACTTCTAATTTATATAAATTCAACCCTTCTCTTACTCAAAATTAGTTATAAGTCCATTTCTCCACAGTTTAGTAGCACTATTCAACTGTACCAGCGGATCCACCATCAGCGCGGCCAAATTCATTGAAATCAGTTGTGTTAACAACGAATTCCTCTGTTCTGTCGTAGCAAAAACCATCATGAAAGCATCACCAGTCGTGGTAAACAACTCTACCGCTGTATCCTTCAACAAGTACCATCTTGACTGTAGTTCTCGGATCTGTTCGAAGCTCCATGAGTAGTGGACAGGTTCGTATTGTTGACCTTTTTGGGTTGTTTTGGCCATTTCCCCGAGGAAATAGAGCTTTTTGTCAGATATTACAATCTCTCCTGAGCATTCAAAGAAAGTTCGTACTAGGACAGCACTGAGAGAGTATCTGACTTGGGTGTGGGCCTCTATTTCGACAGTCGATTTGGCTACAGAGCCGGCTAGGAGTCGTTGAAGAGGTTGGGGAGAGCGGGCGTTCTTTTGGGCCTGAAATAGTACAAATATGTAATAGATTTAGATCATTAGTACAAGAATATAGCTTAAAAATTAGGTTCAGCAAAAAAAAAGAGAAACTATGGCCAATAGAGCCTATATTACAGATGGCAAACTCAAAAATAAAAAAAATATTTAGCAAGTTTAGAACGGCCTATACCTCAAAGAATTGGTCAATATAAGTCTACTACTCAAAGATATAGGTTAATATTACACTTTAAAGAAAGCTAATTTCCTGGAGATTCTAACATTATATTGGTCATCCATTATAGTCAACAGAGTAATCAAAGAAACCCTCTATAATCCACAATATACACCCTAAACAACCCACCCGTACCCATAAATCACCCCCCTAAAACCCACACCCTCTCTAACCAAAACCAAATACCCATCCCTACTCATTGCCCATACAAACCCACATCTATACCTCCAAAAAACCTACCAACTCCCTCTTCTCTCTCCTCAAGAATCGTTCCTGAAACTGATATCTACACGGTTTCAACCTTCTCCTTTCTCTTTTCAAATTCTCTGTCGTATCCAAAGACCAGCCCTGTGGCCACGATTCGGAATCATAAAATACGGCCGAAGGATGACACAGTTCTCTGACCAAATTCCACAGTGTTTCAGCAGCTTTGTTGACATTAGATTGGTTTTGTTTCCTGAAGGCGGTCGAGGTTTTGCGAGGGATTCCTTGGAGTTTGGCTAATTCACAGGTTAGATCATTGGCTTTCTGAAACAGAAGATTTAAAATTGATTAAAAAAAATTGATTATTGTTCAAGATTTTTAAAAATAAAATTCAAAAACTAACATCTCCAATGGTCCGCAAGAAGATCTCTTCTTTGTTCTGAATCGCTTTCACTCTAAAGTACAGGTTCGAGCCCATATTGGTGAACTTTTCATGATAGGTCTGAATCAGCAGGTCTTCATCGGTGGATAGAGCTACTAATTCTGCTAAAAAAATCATTAAACTTTAAAAGATAAAAATTGTTAATTGTATATTCGTATTTTACTTAATTTCAACGCTTTTTGACCAGAAAGAAATACAATTCAAGCTTTGTTATTCATAACTATGTTAATATTCTACATTAACATAGTAAGGTCTTTAGGTTTAAAATCGCCAGACAATATATTAATTGTTCAAATAATTCTGCACCCCCTCTCAAAGCAAATTTTGGAAGTTATGAAGCACAGAATTATTTGAACAAAATAATACGAAAAATTTGTCTTCGGTTTATTTATCAAAATATTATAAAACGTATTTTACTCACGATCAGTTAAATTCGACAACGGTGAATCCAATTGTATAGCTCGTAAGAACTTTAGAAGCTTGTCCAACTTGGAATAGGCTTGTTCTGAATCGACCAATGCCCAAAACCGTGAGATTAAGCCTAGTTCATGTAAGGCTATTTTGAAGGCGTATTGGTAGTCCTGAAAATATCAAATTTGTCGTAGAAACATTAAAATAGTACTAAAAAAATTATAATAGTGCTAGTAACAGCAAAATGAAATAAAAATCTTACTAAAAGCATCGATTCTAATCAAAATTTTTACTGGCAAGCTGCGCCCATGCTGCGCAGCCTGCAAGACATTCATTTTTTAAGCTGCAGGACTAATGCTTGAAATATATGCTTCATATAAGCATTGTTTGCTTCTGTGAGTACGCTAAAAAACGATTCCTAGAACTGAAAAGAAAGCATGGATAATGTCAAGTAGAGTAAGATACCAAAATATTATCATAATTATATTATCCATGCCTTTTTTCAATCAAAAACCTTCAAAAACCCATAAATTCCTTTTCAACTCTTACCAAGTTGATCTCCAACAGATTGATAAGCCCAATCCTGTTAACCTGAAGCTCCTTTTCCAAATAATCCACCACTTTTAACCTCTTTATGATTTGAAAACCCTCATCCACCGTCTCCTCTCTGATCTTCGACTGTACATCAAACAACAAGAATGCTATAATATCAGCCAAGATAAGCTTGTTCTTCTCTTTACATAAGCCTAAACACTTGAGCCATTCGTCCTGTACCTTGATATGATGTTGGAACAGAAGTTGTAGTAGTTTGTCAAAGAGGTTCTCTTCCTCATCGCACATTATTGTACTCGGTTGTAAGTATAGAAAGACGTTTGCTGCCATTTGAATGCCAAAGCTTAAGCGTTGAGCCAGTTCTTCCGATGCTGCCAATTCGATTGGTGTTTTTGGAGTTCTGTTAGGTACGTAGCTGATTGGGTGAGTGTAATATGAGTCTAAGTCGGAGTCGGCTCCTAGGACCTCAAATTCTGAGCTTTCATCTGATAGATCTGAAAGTTTATTTCAAAATGTCATTTTATGTTAAAAATGTTATTTTTTTACCACATAGCATTATATTAGATTGTCCAAATAATTCTGAGCTCCTTTTAAGGCAAATTCTCGTTTTTAAGGGGCTCACTACTATTTGAACAATTTTATACACAAAAAAAATTAAATCGACCCCCTTCTATTTTTAGCCTTCCCATTTTATAAGTTTTTAAAATAATATTTTTTTAAAAAAAATTTTTAAAATCCACCCCCGAAAAAATTTTTACCCCGCCCTATCAAAAAAATTGAAAAAAAAACTTCTCCCTTTAAATATTTTTTTAATTTCAAAAAATAAAAAACAGCCCCTCAAAAAAATTTTTACCCCCCCCCCACATCCCAACCTCTGCCAAATTTAAAAAACCTACTAAAATCCGCCAAGCTTTTAAAATTATTCATAGGATCCGACAGAATGTTTTGAATACTCTCCACCCATACTACAATAACATGGCATAGCATTCGCCTCATGCTGATCGAATGTCTCTCTCGTTTCTCTTTGTCTCTCTTCCATTCCACTCCGAATGCCAAGTAAATCAGGTCTTCACATCGTTGTACAGCCTTCTTGTTCTTGTATGGTATGATGCCTTGAATTAAACAGCGAGCCAGCTTCATCCAGCAGTCTAGGACTGGAAAGATCGGTCCGTTTAGAGATTCTCTGGAATATTAAGGATGTTGTTTACATCAGCCCTTCCTTAACTGTATCTCTACTCTTTCTCTAACCCTTACTGCCAAATTATTAAGTGCCGACATAAAGAACCCGCCATTCTTTACAGGAAATTAGAGGAAAAGTATGGCGGGTTCTTTATGTCGGCACCTAATACCTATGCCATCGTTACATTAGGTTGTTCAATTAATTCTGTGCTCCCTCTCAAAGCTATTTTTAGAGGTTAGGAAGCACAGAATTATTTGAACTACCTAATATATAAAAGTTATAGAAAAGATTCCTCTCTTACGTATGATGAAGCTCGTCCATCCGGACCAAAACCGCCACCATGCTAGCCACCAATCCATGTTCCAAGAACGTTGTCCTTGCAAATACACTTCCAGCCAACATCTTTTCAATAGTTGAACACACATTCCAAAACAAATTCGGATCTTCGACCGACTGTTCTAGTCCAGCCAAGAGTGATATGAAGCTAGCTGATTGGAACTTGTCATAGCGAAAGTCTTCCAAATGTCCTGAGTCGATTCCGTTTTGAATTTTGACATGTTCGCCGAATGTTAGAGAGAAAATGGCGTCGGCTACATCGTAGTTGAACTTGGTCTTCTTTAGTTCGTTGGCCAGAAAGACGAAGCCATTCTGGTCAACAAAACTTTTTCGATGTTTTCGCTCGACTCGAAGCTAAAATATTTTAAAAATAAAGAAATTGAAAAAATCCGTCATCATGTCCTCTTTTTTATAAAAAATCCGCCATCATGTCATATTTTTTATAAAAAACCCGTCATCATGTCCTCTTTTTTATAAAAAATCCGTCATCATGACATTTTTTACTACAAAAAGACGAGCACAAACCGTATTTTACAACAAAAAAGTTCTTCTTCATAAATCATTTTACAAAAAATCCGTCATCGGGACATGTCTCATTTTACAAAATTAGTAATTTTGAGACCTTTAATTCGAAAAAATCCGTCATCATGTCATATCTTTTTCAAAAATCAATCATCATGTCGTATTTTATTTTAACAAGCCTAGTCATTATGAAATCTTTTATTTTAAAAAATTCGTCATCACGATGTACTTTTTTCTCAAAAAATCAGTACTCATTACACTTTAACACAAAACCCATCATCGTGACACATTTTATATTTAAAAAATCCGTCATCATGCCATATTATTAATTTTTAATCCGTCATCATGACATATTTTTAATTTTTAAATCCGTCATTATGACTTATTTCTCCATTAAACCCGTCATCGTAACACAGTTTCTTGTCCCAACTCAAAAAACCTCACTTACCATGAAATTGACCAACAATTTGATGGTCAATGTCCGCACTTTTGTGTGTTTTTGATTCGTGAGTAGTACCAAAATGGCAGGCCAATAAATGATGTCGAGTTGGAGAACAGCCATTAACGAGTCGTTGCAATTGAACACAACCTCAGCCATCAGTGAGATGACATTGGCTTTGAATTGGACTAGCCAATGTTCCGTGTTTGGGATTTCGCTGACAGCACGGTTCCTTTCTTCACATGGACAGTCTCCGTTGTAGGGTAGATGCCGTATTGGCGAGGTGGGGCGGGGCTTACTGTAATTTTCACTTTATAATTAAGACTTTTTATTTTGTTAAGTCTTTCAAATAATTATGTGCCCCCAAACCCAAAATTTTGCTTTGAAAAAAAGCACAGAATTATTTAAACGATGTTGACTCTTAAGAACCTACGTATTATCACTTTTGTCCAAGAAGGTCTTCCTGATAGCAAGTAGCGAGTTAGTTGAGGCCCAAACACTCTCGATTTCGTCTTTACTATGTAATTTTGTCATTTGATTTAAAAGTTCACATAATTCTGATTCATGTCGTTCTTGTTCTTTGGTTACTGTAAAACCGGTTTCTTCTGAAATCACAAGTTTAGAAAAGGGGTAGAAAGAGTCTATGGTATGGCTTTAAATAGAGAAAAAGGTAGGCTGAGCTAGGGTTTGTGGAATTGTAAATAAATATAAGGTAAGGCTGTGGCAAGCATAGTAAAAAAGAATAAGCGGAAGGCGTGGTCTTTTAAAGACCTTTTGTTAAGGAGTTGCAGACGCGTAGCTATGTGAATCTACTTTTCCCAATATTCCGCGTAATGGTTACCCGTAAATTTTTTGTCGGATCAGCCGAGGAAGGAGATAAATCCCTTCCGCAACATCCCTGACTACACACCTTTTAAAAACCCCCTCCAACCTACCATACTGAATCCAATCCCCCTTCCCTTGAATATTCTTGTCAATGTAAAAGTCGGGTGCTGGGTGTGATAACAATATAAAGTCCCAAAGTTGAGATACTTGTTTACAATTGTAAGGTGAATCCAAGCATGCTCTAACTAAACTACACAAAATTTCGGCAAAAACTTCGTTCTCTGGCTTTATCTTGTACTGATATGGGTATTTGAGCATCTCCATTAGGCTCTGAAGCAATATTACATTATTGTTAGTATATCAAGACATCGAATCCGTATTTTACCTTTAAAATTTTTTAAAAGGTTTTAAATTAACATATTTTTCAAAATAAATCAGCCTTTTTAACCAATTTAAACTATAACTCCCACAAAAATAAAAAATTATATTATCCATGACCACTCACCACCCCAACATCTCTAACTCAACATATCTCGTTCCGAAACCATCCAATTAAAAAACTTACAGTAAGCAGAGTTTGTAGAAAATTGTAGGTTGCTAATTGTGCCAAATTGAAGACCTTCACCTTCCTTGAATAGCTGTTATCACCAGTTGAAGAGTATATTATCCTTATCAAATTTGTAAATTTACTAAAATCTTGATGTTTCCACATTGAAACGGTCGAAATTAGTGTTACCAACATCTTGGGCTCGGTTATCAATGTGTGTGGTGATGTTGTTATAGTGTTTTCGTTGCCTTCTTTTTGGCCTTGTTCGAGTTTTGTGAAGATGAAAGAGGTTAGGACCTAAAATGAGGTGAATATGAAAGAAGTTAACACCTAAAATAAAGTAAATTTGGGCACAAATAGAATAGAAATACCAGGCTAACAATGATAAAACCAACGAGAGCCTCGTATTAGACTGTTCAAATACTTCTGTGCCTTCTAAAACCCAAAAATTTGGTTTAAGAAAGAACACAGAAATATTTTAACAACCTATCGAATTGTATAAAAAATAATGAGCTACAAAGCTCCATATTGCTATGAGAAACATAGCTCATTACTTTTTATACAACCTAATAATATTTTCAAAAAATCAACAACAGGCAAAAAGCTCAATCAAAACCCCCAATTTATCACAAAAATCAAAATTCGTTACCTGAAAAGCCTGATCTGATAGTAAAAACTTGTTGGACATGAATATCCTGGCCAACACTGAGTGTCCATCTAGCTCGACAAAGGCCGCGTAGGCCGTAGGATCTCGTTTTAGAGCCGTGATTAGTGTGTTCAGTGCTTCTGCTTGTGTTTCTGCTGAGTAATCTCGGTCGACTGTCTGTAAAAAGCACTCATTTACTTTATTATAATATCATTTTACTGTATTTTTTGCTTAATATGTATTCACAATAAATTATTCTCAGTAATTTTTAGAAAATCATTTTTTCGTGGCGAGACACAACTACTGTGGAAACTGATGGAATTATCAAATAGTAAGTCTAAAATACGATCATAATTGCATATTTTTAATGACTTTCAGATTGATATAAACAACTACTTAAAAAAATAAAAATAAATGTTTTCGTTGTGGGACCCACTTTGATTATAAAATTTCATATGTAATATACGAATAATGGATCAAAAACTTATATTTTTTTCATTTTTAACCGCAAATTATATGTAAAAAGTTTTTAATAATGTTTTCGTTGTAAGACCTAACCCAGTTAACAAAAATTATCAAAACATGTAAAATACGCTTCGTTGTTCAATATTTATAAAATTATCGTTATCCAACCAACCCATTTTTCAAAATTCCATGTTTTTGTTTTAAGACCCAACTTTTTTTCGAACGTGAACTTTTCGTATTTTACTCATTCTACCATACTTACCAATGCAAAGTAGAGTAAAAATACTTTGATATGACCAATAGTAGTGAGTGATCTATCAAAGTCGTCTCTTTTCACACATTCATTAACACATTGCCATTTTAGAGGTATTTCTTGTGATATGGTTAGGAACAAGGTTTGGCCTGAATTGAACTTTTCCACTTCCATACCTCTTTGAAGGACACTCAAGTTGTAGCAATCAGCTTTGTCGGCGAATATTGTGACTAGAAGGCTTCTCTGCAATGATAACAAGATAAATCATTATTGTTTTTGAACTTTAAAATAAGAAAGTCTTGTCGTTTTAAAACGTTGAGACCAAAAAAGGCTACCTGCAACTTATCCAAGTAAAACTTGGGATCAGCAAACAGCTTGTGTAGATCTGGTTTCGTCTCCACCAAACTATGACTGACACAATTTTGGAATGAAAAGTTGGTTTGGCCTAGGACACAACAGTTCAGTGAGGCTCTGTTTACGCCCATAGCCTTGAGTAATATCGCACAATCAGTTGTTATTACGCCTTTGAAGCCGAGGACATTGCTGATGGCATAGTATTGTTGAGTTTCTTCTTTTGTCGTTGCTCCAAATGAAACGTAAAATGGGTTTTGGTCTCCGACGTAGTCCTTGTTTAGTAGAGAGACTTGACGAAGGCGGGTGCCGTAGAGGATCTAGAAAGAAGGGGAGTATTACAATGTTAGGTATTGATTAAAAATGATATAGTGGAACTACTGTTCAACAAATTGCTTCAGGATTTTTAAATTTGTTCGTTATAAAAGAACTTAGGTATAGAGAAGCTTGAAATATTTTGAAAAAACCTTTAACCGTTCGCTTTTACACTTACCAATGCCTTGATCTGATTCTCACTGCACTGAACTCCTAACACACAATTTGTCCACGCATTTTTAGTTGAAAATGCCTTTTTTATTATTACTTTCTCCACCATATTGCCTTCGAATGATATTCTAAAAGTAACATACATATGCAATACCAACTTGCAACCCCGTATTTTACAAAATTTTAAAAATTTACCATGCTTATATTATTGTACAATAGACCTTATTACCTTACTTTAAACTATTCTATCCTTCCCCCTATGCTATGCTACCTTAGTGTAGCCTACCCAACCTTACCCTACCTTAACTTACCCTTCTTTACCCGACCTTACCTTACCCTACTCTACCCTACCATACCCTATATTAACCCTACCGTACTCTACTCAACTGTACCCTGCCTTACATTACCCTACTCTACCTTCTATTACCTGGCACTGCCCTGGCCTGTCCTGCTCAGGTTCACCTCACAATAACTTACTTTACAACAATCGTATTGCGTTGTAAATCAACTTCCATAGTTAAAGTGATACGTTTTGTGCCAAATTCGACTACTTGATATGTATTTTTAGATATTGATCTGTCAGCTGATAACCAAAATGATAACGTTAATCCATCTGGAGCACAAATATTGTGGATTGGATCCAACTTAAAATAAGCTGCCACGTTTTTGAAGCGTCTTTCTGGCTAAAAACAGTTAGTATATTAGTTTTAAAATGAGAAAACATAGCTAAATGTAGCAACATATTATCATAGATAACAAAATGTAACCTTAAAAAATGATTTTGTACCCAAATCACCTCTCTCAACCCCCAAAAACTTCAAAAATAGACCACAAAACCCCCTCAATACCCTACCGTATCTCCTTCAATAGCCACTTGTGGGAAAGCCAAAGCAGCTGTCGGTTGAACTGGACTGTTTTTCATTAGCCTTGTGTTACAGTTGGCAATAGTTTGAGCAGTTTCAGTTGATAAATAAATGTGTTCCATCAGTTTGGACAAGTAAATAGGTTTTGGATCTTGTTCTACCCTCATTACAATCTCGTCGATCATTTTGTTGATCAGGTTTTGGGAGGCTTCTTTCTTTATCAGGTCTTGCAGTAGGTCGAAGAGAAGAAGAATGTACTATAAATTTAAACTTTATTGATTTTTATAAAGGCCGAACCATATTTTTCGGCCCAGTACAGTCCACAAATCAAGACTTGGTTTTGAAATCCCCCCGGCCCTCGAGCCACATGTCAAACCGGCCCAGCTCCATTCAAATTTGCGTAGACCCAGGCTAGTGGGCCGAGACAAGACCTATTGAGCTGAACTGATTGTGAGACCAAGCCTATTAGACTAAAACAGGACCTTTTGAATCAAGACCGGGACTAGTGGACCAAGACCGGGCCTAGTGGACCGAGACCGTAATTAGTAAGCCAAGACAGAGCCTAGTAGGCCAAAACTAGTGATAGTAAACCAAAGCCGGGCCTAGTGGGCCGAGACCGAGACTATATTAGACTTAGTAAACCAAGACCAAGACTAGTAAGCCAAGACCGCTCCTAGAGGGCCGAGAAGGAGCTTAGTGAGCCGAGACCAAGCATAGTAAGCCGCGATTAAGCCTAGCGAGACAAACCCAAACCTAGTAAAACAAGAAAGGCCTAGTGAGCCTCCTTTCACTTACACTATCCCTAACCCCATCTTCAACATCCTGAACCGCGTTGATCAACATCATGAGTTCGAACTCGAGTTGTTCGGTGTATTTCTTGACCTTCTTCATCAGAACTCTCAGTAATTTCAATATGAATCCAAAGATTTTGTCGCAACAAACTGTATTCATCTTTTCGACCGGTTTCTCCATACTTTCCGACCATTCGTCATCTGATTCTTCTTGAATTGCTTTTGGCTCTGACTTTTCGAAGCGTTTTATAACTCGAATGTAACCATCTTTGATTAGGAAATGTAGTACCATGAAGCTGATTGAAGCCGATGAGACGTCCAGCACTTTTTTAATTGAGGTTTTTAAAAGTGAAATTCGTTTCTAAAAAAATTTTTTTATTCGCAATAACTTTCTTTCCAACTCCAAAAAATAACAATTTCAAGAAAAATTTTTAAAAATGCAAAAACTTTCTTTCCAAACCCCCAAAGCCTAAAAAAAGTTAAATTTTGAAGAGAAATCAAAACCGCAAAAACTTTCTTTACAGTGTTAAAAACCAAACTTTCAAAAAATTTTAAACCGCAATAACTTTCTTTCCACCTCTAAAAAAATTTTTTTTCAAAAACATTTAAAATCGCAAAAACTTTCTTTCCAAAACTCCAAAATCAAAAAAAGTTCGAGATAAAGGTCAAACTTACATCATCACTTTGAAAGATCAAAAATGACAATAATGAGAGTAGTTGAGCAGCTTTGCTCAGCTCCCTGGTCGTCGTTGTTTGGCCATGTTGTAGTACATCAACTGATGATTGAGCTAACGTTTGCAGCTCCAGGTTCAATTTACTTGCATTTTTTAGAAACAATTCTGAAATTTTTCATTTTCAAAACAGTATATATAATTCTCTAAAATTTTTGTAAAATACGGCTGTTCTAAGTTTTTTCCTAATTGAAAGAATAAGGCGTATAAAAATTTAGAAAATAACCAAAAAATTAAAAATTATGCAGAAACATTCTTGCAATACTAACTTCAAAAACATTATTTCAAAACTAAACTTACCAGTCGTATTCTCACAGCAATAACAATTCTTAAACAACGTCAAGAACCTCCTCAAAGCGTTATAAAAGTTTTCGGCCGATGGTGACAAAAGTACCCAGATGTCAGTCAATGCCATTTTCAAAATCGGTGAAAACTTGCTCAATGCCAAGTCAAAACATCGACAAAACTGAAAAATGTCAAATTTGTTAAAAAACGTTGTTTTATAAATTACATAAACCTTGTTTACAACAAAAAATAGTATTTATCATATATCTTGCCACCCGCAGGCTGCAGAACACAAAATTTTGTATTATTTATAAAAAATAGCAGGAACTTCCTTTACAAAACAGAAAATAGCAAGAACTTTCACTACAAAGCAAGAAATGGCAATAACTTTCTTTACAAAACATAAAATAGCAAAACAAATTTCTATTAAATAAAATGGCAAGAACTTTCTTTACAAAACAAAAAATAGCAAGAACTTTCTTTACAAATCTAAAAAATCCATATAAATCTTACCACCCCGTATTTTACCTGAATTTCATCAGAACAAACAAGGACAACATGAAGTAGCTCAAAGAATCCGTCTTGAAGATGTGAATTGCTGATACATTCATCAATGTCATTGGCTATCACAAAGTCAACCAAGTCATCGATGGCTCTACCTGGTCGCATTCTGGCGGCAAATACTGACATCATTTCATTATGAATATTCGATTTGACCACTTCATCCGCGATTACTGTAGCATTTAGTATGACTTTGGATATTCTTCGGAAGTCTTCGTCTGACATCACTAGAAATGGCAAGATTTTGAAGTTTTTAAATTTAAATTCGACCAAAATTCAAAATTTTATTTTTTTTAAAATCGACCAAAATCAAAAATTTAAATAAAAAAATTTCAAAAAATCAAAATCCACCCCACCCAAACCTACTACTAGTCAAGTGATAGAACATTTTTAGCACCGCCAAAGCTACTGCGACGTTTTTAATTCCCAACCATTGGTCGAAAAGTAGCCAGACATGTCTCAAATCCACTTTACTTTCTTCTTTTGGCTGATTAAAATGATATTCAACTAGCTTCGACAGCCTTGTGACGTGTTCTACTGTGTAGACTGGTATCATTATGACTTTCAGGAAAGATGCTTGATCTATACATTCGCAGAAGCCTTTTGGACATATTGATGTTAGATCTAGAAGGTGCTCGAAGACGTCACTATAAATTTCGCAAATTTAAAATTTGTGACTTAAAAAAGCTCTACCTTATCTTACACTACCCTACATTACCCTACCCTACATTATCCTACCCTATCCTACACAACCCTACATTACCTGGCCCTACTCTACTTTACCGTACCTTAAATTCCCAATGCTTACCCCACTTTCCCCTACCCTATAATACACTACCCTACATTACCCTACCCTACACAACCCTACCCTACATTACCCTACCCTACATTACCCTACCATACCTTGCCCTATCTACTTTATCGTACCCTAACTCGCCAAAGCTTAATTCCTTTCCCCAAACCTATAATACTCTACCCTATCCTACAATACCCTTACTCTGCCAAACCAAAACTAGCTTCAACTTACGAATCCCGTTTCAGATGTTCCATGATCTTCGAAAAAATGCAAAAGACCAGCCTGGCAGGACAATTCATGTTCAACTTGTGCACATTAATCCTGTTCAAAGTCACAACCATGTCCTTGGCCACTTCATATAACGCTTTTGTGTCATTATATTCGATAAACGAGTCTACCATGTGCAAGAACAGCTCGGAAACTGTAGACTGGGTTTGTAAGGACAATGCAAAGCTTTGTTGGTAGTAATTTATGGATTTGGTGAAAAAGCTAAAACAATTTAGATAGTGAGCAATTTTATACCGTATTTTACATGTCAACATGTTCTAACACAAAAAAAATATTAAAATTAAAATTTAGATCAAAAGTTTTAAGAATTAATTTTTGTTACCAAAAATTAATCAAAAGCATATTACCTCCAAAAATTTCAAAAACTTATCACCTCAAACCGAAATTTGTTTACAAAACAAAAACAATAGAAGTAAAAACTTTGTTTACACAACCCACCGTTGAGCCAGCTCCCTTAATCTGTCCAGAATTCGAACCAGATTCCGCGTTTCGCTTCGATTTTGAATAATTTCCTCCAGGATTTCGCAAACCGATATGAACTTTCGACAATGACTCAATGCATGTCGTATAGTCTCGACCAGACACTGCTCAAAGTCGTCTTGATTATGATGTAGCACATCGTGATGTTGTTCATCTGCATTCACATTCTCCGACGTTTGTTTGATCAAAGTCCCGATTTCCACAGATAAATTGACAAAGTTTAACCAATTGTCCAGCAATTTCAATGAGTTATCCTCCAAAACTGTCTCAAAACTTGGCATTCGAAAAGTCGGACAATATTTGAATATAACTTCTAAAATTTGAGATTCACAAGTGTGTTTGGCAAAGGCTCCTAACGTCCTGATCAACGTTATCACTATATCAAAGGCGGTGGGGTCAATAACGTCCAAATCTAATGATGGTACCGTGCCATAGTAAAATTGATGCCACTTCGTCACTTGATACAAATCCCATGTGACGAAGGTTGGAGCACAAGCCTTGTTGAGCTCACATCGATATGGTGAAGATTGTTTTATTATCTTACGACCAAACACTTTAGCAGTGTCCAGTATTTTTTCTGGATTTGACATCCATTCAAGAATGTTTGGAGATATATCACATCGTAGAGCCTTCAGAAGATTAAACTGACTTAAAACTGTCTCCAAAAACCTCCATGACTTCTCAAATGTCTTCTTGTCACCTAAAACATTACAATATCAATGAATAATACACTGAATTCAATCTTTACAACTATTTTTTACGCAATAAAATATAGTTTATTTCGTGTAACATAATATAAACGTGATTTTTGAGTGTAAAACAAAAGTAATAAAAAACCTGTGTTAACAATTATGCTACCACAATGCCTTCCCTTTAATTTAACACCAAAAACATACTTCTTCTTGCAAAATATACCCCTTGATACCTAAATTTCAAACAACAATACCTAATGTGAAGTGTAACATAAAATAGACAAATTCTTTTAGTTCAAATCAAATTAATCCAAAAATGCTTATTAAAAAATGAAGAATAGTATCTTCTCTTTACTTTGACACCAAAAACTTCCATCTATCTACATTACTCTTCACATTACTTCCAAAGAACCTACCAGCTTCCAATGCAAATCTACACAATAAGTTTATTGCAGCAGTGGTTGATTCTGAATCCGCTTGATTATACTCCACCTGTTCATTTATTATTGCAATTAAATCGTCTACATGTCTTCCATGACTCTCATTTCCAGCCATATCCCATATAAATCAAGCCGGATCTAAAACAAACTGTCTTATTCAAGGCCAAACGTTAAGTATAATATGTGTTTCGGAAAGGAAAATCTAATTTTGATATCGCGGAAAATTTTTTATCAAAGGGCAACCAGATTTGGAGTTAAACACGTGCTGTGGCCAAAGAATCAACAAGTTTCTTCGCTTCCAAAAAATTTTTTCCAAATAATTGATAAAAAGTTTGAAGAACGCGCGAAATTAGCACAGCTCTAACGGAATGCCAGGGTTTTTATTATTGAATTCGCGGCTTTTTTGCTTTTTTGGAAACGTTAGGCCAAGAAATCTCGAAAAAATGTACTTTTAAAGTCGAGAAAATTAAAAAAATGAATTTTTAAATATAAAAAAATTGGAGATCTTTTGATATTATAGTAGGTATTGGGCGAAAAGATCGTTTGAAGGTAATTTTGAACGGATAAACTTTTTGTAAAAGATATTTTAATGGGCTGATTGATAGATAACACTATTTACGTCTGTTGTTCACATGATTTCTTTTTTCTTTCTACTGTTTAACATTTTTCTGAAATACGTATTTTATGACATGGATAATATACATAAATTAATCGAGTTATTGAGCAAGTCAACTGATTTTTAAAGGATATTTTTGTTCTTTATAGTATCTCTGACCTTTTACTTCTTTTTTGCTTAATTTCGTGGATTATACGTTCACAAATTTTATACAAAATAGCAATTCAATATTATTGAACTAAAACACCTTATCTATTTTAGTCATGGGTGCCAAAAACCAGAATCAAAGGGACCTCAAAGTGCAGGCAGTTAATGAAATTGTTGCCAAGCTTATTGAAGCCCAAAATGCTGGTCAATCCGTCAACTTAAACAAGCTGAAATGTGACATTTCATCGAGATTAGGTATGGACCATCAGCCGAAATTGGTTGAGATCATAGCTGCTGTTCCTGAAGACTACAAAGACTTGTTGTTACCCAAATTGAAAGCCAAGCCTGTTCGAACTGCATCAGGGATTGCTGTCGTTGCGGTGATGTGTAAGCCTCATAGATGTCCACATATCAACTTTACTGGAAATATTTGTGTATATTGTCCTGGTGGACCAGACTCTGATTTTGAGTATTCTACTCAAAGTTACACTGGATATGAACCTACTTCAATGAGAGCAATCAGAGCAAGGTATAATCCGTATATTCAGACAGTGAACCGATTGGCACAGTTGAAGCAGCTTGGACACAACATTGATAAAGTAAGGGTTTGCGTTTTTTGTTTTGATTTTAGGTAACAACTTGGATTTCTGGTTGATTTAAAGGGGAAAGGTCTTGCTTCTAAGCTGGTTAATATACAGATACAGATTATGGGTACTTATTTATCTAGGAAAAGCATTCCATCACTTAACTGTTACTTACTTTTTAACTAATTTATAAACAACCTTCAATTATAGGTAGAGTTTATTATAATGGGAGGAACATTCATGTCGTTACCTAAAGATTACCGTGATAACTTTATATCTAATCTTCATGATGCTCTGAGTGGTCACATAAGTTCGTCAGTGACTGAAGCAGTCAAGTTCAGTGAAGTTAGTGACACAAAATGTATTGGTATTACCATTGAGACTCGGCCCGATTACTGTTTACCACGACACATGGATGACATGTTGTCTTATGGGTGTACGAGATTGGAAATTGGTGTTCAGTCTATCTATGAAGATGTCGCTAGGGACACGAATCGAGGTCATACTGTAAGGTTTTTTTTATTTTTTTTTGGCTTTAGGGTATTTTATAGTTGTAGGGTTCTTTAAAGTTCGGGGCTAGTTTTAAAGTTTGAGACGAGATTTTAGGTAACAAACAGTGTTTTGCCGGACCGGTCCGGTCCGGATTTTCAAAAATTGCAAAATTGAAAATAACTTTTTAGCTTATGGTTTGAAGTTTTTAAAAAAATAAATAACTTTTGTGAAGGTCCGTTTTTGGCTATCAAGTTATTACCGAAATGGACCGCCCGGACCGGCAAGACCGATTCAGTCCGGCCGGTACAAATGTTTAGCGAGGAACTTGTATGAGACGGACCTTCACAAAAGTTATTTATTTTTTAAAACTTCAAACCATAAGCGTAAAAGTTATTTTGAATTTTGCAATTTTTGAAAAATCCGGACCGGACCCGGTCCGGCAAAACACTGGTAACAAAGTGTCATTTTTAAATATATTGTTTTAGGTGAAAGCGGTGTGCGAAACCTTTCACATGGCAAAAGATACTGGCTACAAGGTTGTCATTCACATGATGCCAAACTTGCCAAATGTGCCTATTGAACGGGATTTAGCGCAGGTATGATAATATTGTATATTATACTCGGTTTTTACTATAAAATTAGTTTTGTTTTTAAAAATTTTAACTTTTCGCTTTTTTTGGCTTTAAACTTCACGTATTTTGTGATTTTTAAAATTTTTCAGTGAACTTTTTGGTCTAAAATTTAAATTTTTAGTTTGTCGACCTCTTCGAAGACCCTGACTTTCGACCAGACGGCTTAAAACTCTACCCCACACTAGTAATCCGCTCAACCGGTCTCTACGAACTTTGGAGAACAGGCAGATACAAGTCATATCCACCACAAGTACTTGTTGATCTAGTAGCACAGATCCTCGCTCTAGTACCACCATGGACTCGAGTCTACAGAGTGCAACGTGACATCCCAATGCCTTTGGTATCATCTGGAGTTGAGTACGGTAACCTGAGAGAGCATGCTTTGGCCAGAATGGAACAGTTGGGTTTGAAGTGTAGAGATGTGAGGACAAGAGAGGTTGGTATCACGGAGATTCATCAGAAGATAAGGCCAGCTCAGGTGGAGCTGGTCAGAAGGGATTATGTTGCTAATGGTGGATGGGAAACGTTCTTGTCGTACGAGGATTCTGAACAGGTATGGGTGGTTTTTGTTGGATTAGGTTCAAAAAATTAGTTTTTTGATGATGTTGAGTTAGATTTTTAAATTTTTTTGTTTGGATGATTGTAGCGGATATTGTAGTAGGTAAATCTAAATTTAAGCTGTTGTAAAATACGTTACCAACAGGGACGTCTTTATTTTTAAAAATTCATTAAAAATTGTTTGTAAAAGCAATGTTATGGAAGTAGAACATTGTTTACTTTCTATAGTTTATAATGTTATCATTACATCTACTACAATATTAAATAACTACAGACTATAATATGTAATGTAAGAGTATAATGTATGAGTTTAATGTAAAAGAAGACGTTGATTATGTGCTAATACTAATGCATTTTCAGGACATTCTAATCGGATTGCTACGACTACGCAAGTGCACGGACAAGGTTCACAAGGAGGAGTTGAAGGTAAGCATTTTCATTGGGTTTGTAAAATACGTTTTGGCACTCGTTATGTTTAAAAGTGTTAAAATTCTTAATTTATCGGTTGTAATGTTTACAATTTGGGGCTAAAATTTTAGTTTTTCAAGTTTTTTAAATTTTTAAGTGAGATTTTGAGTATTAAGGGCTTGATGTGTTATGGTATTCTACTTGAAGGCTCTTTAAAGCCGTTATTGCTTAGACTATAAGAGTTATGGGTTTTACTACTATAAAATTATATGGCTTATACTTACCAATGTAAGAGCATATACTAAAAGCAGCGTTTTGGCTTTGTAACTTGGGGTATCATACTGTGGTTTATAAGATATGATGTATGATGTAATATTAAAGTTTAAGCTGGCTGCGATAAATGAGTTTTAATGTACATATAATTTTAATGTTTTTTGTTTAAATTTGGTTAAAATACGTTATATGAAAATTTTACTGTGTGTCTAAAAAGCAGCTATTGATAGTGCATAAATATGTGAGCGTTGACACAATTACGTGTATGTTGAAGTTGTGTTTAAAGAACATGGTGGGATTTAATCTACTATGGTATGAATGAGAAGAATAACATATTAGCACTTTTAATATCTTAATTATGGGAATTATTGTGTCTCCAGGATTTGAAAATGAATGAAATATTAAGGCATCCCACTCTGTTTTTAGTAGGAGTACAAGTTATTACTATATTGTAAAGGGGTATTGTGAGTTGGTATGTACGTAGTTGTGTGGAGTGTAATTGGGAGAAGGTCGGGTTTGTACCATTTTTAACTGGGCTTGGTTTTTGATTTTTTAGGTAGATTGGGGGGTGAGAAATAAAGACATTTTTTGCAATTCTTTAGCTGGGTCTACTCTGACTGTAACTTTGCTGTAGACCTATTTTTAACGTGTCTTAGTCTTAACTATTGTGTTCCTTACTCCTACCTTAGCGTTTCTGTAGCCGTGTATTAGTCTTGCCCTAACTTTACCCTAACGTACTCATACCTGCCTTAGTCCCTTACTCAATTCTACCTTGCTCTATCCTACCTTACTCTAGCTGTACCTATTCTAGTCCTACCCTACAGCTAAGGATGTGGACGTGCTTTGCTTTAAGTACGGCAACTTAATATGATACTTATGATTGTTTATATTTATGTCTATTGCAATATAACATAACTATATAAAAATATAAGCGCGATTTCTGCAGTTATGGGTATAGCAAACATTACATGATGTATAAAACCCTCCCAAACTAGAACACATCATAATGCCTACAAATTTTCGTATTCATCTCAACGTCATCAGTTTCTTAATTTACAGATTTTTAATTGCAAAAGCTGAATGAAAGGGTAAAGACTGTCTTAAAAGGCTTATAATGTGTTAAGCCGCTTGAACATAGATCACTTATCCACAACTATACTGGGCTTAAAACACAAAATACTGTAGGGCTGTCAACGAAATGTAGTTTAATCAGCTAATGTACTTGTATAGTTAACGAAAGGAAGCGGTTTCAAAACGTGGTAAACATGACAACTTGAGGAAGGTGTTAAGAGGATGTACTATGCTAAATATAGGGTTTATAGTGGGAGTAGGGATAAAAATACAATTTGTAGTCGGGAGAGCCCATACCTAATCTTCCAAAAATAAAAAATCAATTTTCAGGGCAAAACCTCAGTAGTACGAGAACTGCACGTGTACGGCACCTCAGTACCAGTAGCTTCGCGAGACCCAACAAAATTCCAACATCAAGGCTATGGCAGTTTGTTGATGGAAGAGGCGGAAAGGATTGCACGTGAAGAGCATGGCTCAGAAAAGATTGCTGTCATTTCAGGAGTTGGCACCAGGCATTATTACAGGTAATTAAAGGGATTATTGGATTTGATAATGAAATTAGGGATGATTTTGAGAATTTTGGATTAAAAATTTGTTGTAGTTCTGTGGATAAAAATGGCATTTTTATCATATTTTAGGTATGGAATTTACTTTTTTCTAATTTTAAATCCACTTTTAATTTGCGTTTTTGCAAAATTTTTTATTAAAAACGTTTTTCATAAAGACCAGCACAGAATAAGTAATAACCATTGACACGAATGCGCCTATTAAGCGAGAAAAGTTGCCTTTTTCAAGCGGAAATTACATAATTTGTGGCCAATTTTCAGGAAACTGGGATACGAATTGGATGGCCCATACATGAGCAAAACACTCCTCTGAATGGGCGTTCGATGCATCTGAAGGCTTGTTCAACATACAGCTGTGAATTTACATCAATATCAAAATATTCGGATTGGTACAACTAAGTTGTCTTCAACTAACTAATGTCTCGACAGCTTTTTCAAGTTTTTAAATGGACAGGTCTATGTCGTTTTGGTGTTGGAATGAGCCTTCTATTAATATGAGCAGTGGTATCAGTTTTGTATGAAAATATTTTTGGTGGAAAGAATTTTTCAAGTAATTCTTTGACTTGTTAGGTTGTTCAAATAATTCTGTGCTCTTTCTCAAAGCAAAAAGTTTAAGGAGTTAGAGGGCGCATAATTATTTGAACAAGCTAATATGAAAATATTTTTGGTGGAAAGGCTTTTATAACGGTGTGAATTGGTTTTAAAAAGATTCATCAAGGTTTTTATGTATTCCTTGATGAAACTCTTGTATTTTTGTTGTTTTTTTGTTTAAAATTTTTTATTGTCTTATAAATTATTGTTGATTTTTGTTTGATTCTAATGTCTTTGTCTATGTCTTGAGGTAAAGATGAGTGCTTCAGGGTATAAAAAATTTAAATTTAAGTTAAATTTTTATTGTAAAATACGAGGTACAGGTTTCTTCTTTGTAACTACAGGTGGATTGCTGTATAACGAATTGATGGGGGATTTGTTTTTCGTTATGAGGGATGTAGGTAATGTCATGAAGGAGTTTCGGTATACAGTAGGCTCACTGTAAACTAAAATTGAGCCTAAAACATTTAAAAATGGTAAAAAAGACCATGAAAAATGTGTAATGTCATGCGAGAATGTCGTAGGAAAAGTGCAACACAGTCAAAACATAAACAAGTTTTTAAGTGTAAAAGGTGTAACACTTCCTAGAAACTGTAATCATGTTTTACAAAGTGAAACAACAATACGGAGGAGGTTCGAAAAGTGGGTTGGAAGTGTCATAAAACGGCACGACACAAGGTTTTTACGAACTTAATTACTATGTAGAAGGTGTGGTAGTTTGCTTTGTGATAATGAAGTAAATTACGTTACTTTATAAAGATGATAAAGTAACTTATTGCTAAGATTTATAACTAGGACTCTTTCACAAAAAAATCTTTTACGAACAACAAGTTTTACACTGTTTTGGACTAATATCTTCTACTTGACTAGAAGATATTACTTTATCTAGTACTTGACTAGAAGATATTAGTCAACCTTCTACTAGACTTAAAGAAACACTAACATCTTCCACTAGACCAGAAGATATTAGTCAAAAAAACCTTATATCGTCCACCGAGCACTCTACTGCAAATGTAAAGAGCACAGTGACGTTGTTTGTGTCTGAGTATTTAAAAAAACGTACTTGACTGCGAGGAAAGGACCGACTGAACCCCGCCCATCCAATGTTTTCTGAAATTTCGTGGGCTTTCTCTCCAGTTTTTTCCCAGACTGCGGCCGAAAAAGGGGCAATATGTAGTGTTTATGAGGAAAATAATTTGTTTTACACTTTTTGGGTTCATTAAAAGTGGGTTTTGAGGATGGATACAAGCTTAACATTAAGGTTTTCTGATTTTAAAGGATTTGGGATAAAAATTCGAAAATTTTTAAAAAATTTAATTTCCGTGGTAAAGGTGGGACAAATAGTACCTTCGTACTAACGTTAATACATGTAGCCGAAAAGGTGCAGAAGACTTAAAAATTTTGCTCCAAGGTTTTAAAAATTAGCCTTGAAACGCTTTTATATGGTTGTTCAAATAATTCAGTGCTCCCTTTTAAAGCAAATTTTCAGTGTGCGGCACAGAATTATTTGAACAACCTAATAGGTTAAAAACGTTTTTAAAAATTTTAGTGTTACATATGACTTTCTTAAATGTACTTTTTTACTAAAAACCTGAAACCTCTTCTCTCAAACTCAAATACCCCCTCCCAACCTCAAAATGCTCTCTCCCACCATTCCTCTCCTAAACAAAGTTGTAACACACTATTCGAAACTTGGCCGAATATCCTGTTATGTCTGGCCACATTTAAATTATGTCTGGCACGTTTGTTTTCACACCGAAAGGGAAAAGTTTTTTTTCAAATTTGTTGTTTGTTATGTTAGATTCGAATAAACTTTTTTCGAAAAACGTGAGTTCAAAGGAACAGTCGTTTCGGAACGACAAAACCTGTAAAGGTTTTATCTTTTTCACGTGTTTTTTTGAGCTGGTTAATGTGATGTTCTCTCGCACTTTTATCAAAACTTTTCCTTTTTTGTTTTGAGAGCTTTTTGGAATTTGAAATGGACTTTTATGAGGGTTTTTAGAGGGTTAAGCTATAGGGTGAGGTAGATTAGGCTAGGGCAGAGTGGGGGAGGATAGTGTATAGCATATTAGGGTAAGGTAAAGTTATGTGAATTAGGTTGGAATAAGCTAGAGTGCAGGATAGAGCTATTTTTGCGGTCAAAAAAGAGGTTGTTATAGTAAGTAGGATAAGATAGAGTAGGGTAGATGAGGGAAGAGTATGGTAGAGTAGGGTTGGACAGGGCAAGATGAAAAAAACCAACGTAAACTAAAGTAAATTAAGGTGAATCAATGTAGAATAAGATAGATTTTTAAAAGATAATATTTAAAAATTTTATCAACAGTACTACAACCTTATTATAAATTAAAAGTTATGGTCTAAAACATTTTTTTTTTGGCCAATCAGTTGGCGTTGAAAAAATCAATTTTTTTGGTCTTCTGTTTTAATATTATTCATCGTTCTTCGCCTTTTCGACTTTTTAAAAAATGTTTCTGAATACAAATTCTGTTTCAAAAACACTGGGTACAGTCGCACTACCGTATTTCATTTTTTTTTCTTATTTTTTACACAAATTTTGTGGGATTTTCAATGTTTTTAAAGGTTTTTGGTACATTTGATAATGTGGAAGGTTTTGATACTGTAGAATGTTTAGATACTGTAAAGGTGTTGATATTGTATAAGATTCTGGTAGGTACTGGCGAGATTTTGCATTATTTAAGCTTTTTAGTTGGGCAGGTATTAGTACTAAAGGGTAAGGTTTATTTGGACTAGGAGTAAGAAATAGGCCGTATATGATCGGCTCAGCCTTACTTACGGTTGGACCGGCCCGGCTTTGAGCTAAGCTTGGTTCGAGCTAAAAATTTTTTTTAAATAAAAATTTTTTTTGTATTTTATATTTTTTTGTGTAGCACTATTAATAAATGGTCTAAAAAGGAATGCAAAGTTAAATTTGTTTTCAAATTTACCAGTTTTACAATTTAAAATTGTTTTAAAAACGGGCCGAGCCGGGCGTAGGATTTTTTTGACTAGACCGGGCTGGCTTGAAGAAAGGAAAACGAACCATACCTAAACAATGGATCCCGGGTCTGAAACGGTCTCCTTCACCAATGGGTATTAAGGCTATTTCTTCGCTGAACGTTAGGTTCTGTACCAGTTAAAATTTATGTCATTTTGATCAAAATCTTATTTTTTTTAAAATCTTGTGACTAAAATATACCTGTGTTTTGTACCTTGTTTACTGACAATCGAATTGTGTCTTTAAAAGTCGCAATCCTATTAATTATGGCTATTTTAAACCCTACTACAATTTGTAAACATGGTATTCCCTACTTTCTTAACATTACTACGCAAACACTAGTAGGAGGTTTAATAATTGATGTTTACTTAATCAGTTTGATGTTTTAGTGGAATCTGCTAATTTTAGGGCTTAATAATACGGTTTTTGAAGCCGTTGTTTCTTTCGTTTCTATCACTTTGAAGCCCTTTTTCTCTGCCATTCCCAAGGCATGGTCTTTCGCTTCTCGGCTTAAGGGGTCAAACATCAGATGGGGGAAGTGATTCGGTTATTGTTTTTCTTAAAACATTAGCGTGGTCGTTGATTTTTATGAATCTGGTTGATGAATCGATTTGAATAGCAAAAACTTGTTTGTTTTTGTAATTTTGATCGTTTAAAATACGAAGAATAAATTTTTACAGTGACTCTAAGGGGCCAAAGATTAAGCTTGGCCATCATTGAGGTTTCTGGGGATTAGTATTTCAAATTGTAAAGAAAGTTGTTGTTTTTTTATTTGAGAGTTGTGGTAGGGTAAAGTAAATATCAGGGTGAATTAAGGTAGGCAAGGAAAGGCAGAATAGGATAAGATACTGTAGGGTAGGGTAAGGCCAGGCAAGGTAGTGTAGGGTAGGGTACTTTAGTAGTAGGGTACGGCAAGGCAAAGGCAGGGCAAAGGCAACGCAAAGCAAGACAAGGCAAGGCAAGTCCAAGGCAGAGCAGGGTATGGTATGTAGGGCAGGGTGGGCAGGGTCGAGTTTCTTTATAAGGAGCCCGTCTTAAAGACGACTACCAGGGCCGGGCGCGAGGGGGGGGACGGGGGGGGTACCCCTCGTCCCCAGTAAAAAATCGGTAGCAGTAGCTACCTGTGCCGATTTTTTGGACCCCTGCCCCCAGACCAAAAGTCCCCGCTCGGCCCTGACGACTACCAATCGAATTATTATTTTCTTGGTATATTAGGGTAAGGTAGGCTTTTTCTATCGACGTTTGGTATACATAAACATCTTTTACATTACACATTTCACATCTAAACCATTTCTCCCTAAAAATTAAATGCGATGTTATACTACAAACGTTAAGAGTATATCTACATTTTCCGTTAAGAAAGCGGCTTAATGTCATAAGATTTTGTATTTTGTACATACGAATCTCAAATACAATTTATTATTTTCATAATGGTCTGAATGGGATACAGCTGTTAGTGGAAAGTAGTAGTTTACCATGTAATTGGTTTTATATTTGTAGGTTTTACGAGGGGGCATTTTTAACATGGTAATTAGAAAGGTTATTGGAGTTAGATTTTAAAAATTTTGAGAAAAGTTTTATTTGTAAAATACGGGAGTTTTACTCATTGGTTGATATCAATAATCATATATATACAGGGTGTTTCAAGAAAAGTGCCGAAAAGTTAACAGCTCTTTCTCAAAAACTATTTGACCAAATTGGGTGATTCTTTTTTTGGTACACTTCAA